CCCCCCCCCCCCCCAGTAGATACATTCAATAACATAAAGTTTACAAGTTTAATGTTACAGTAGTATAAGCATGTTCTGTGTTAACGTTGCAGTGTCCAAAGTGGCATTACAAGAATATGAGGAACTGAAGGCAAAGTATGACAAAGAAATGGCACTAAAACAGGCAGCTGAATCTTTTGCATCTAAGGTATTTTTAATGATAATACTCAGTATACCTAACTGTGTCTAACTTTTCTAAATATTGATAAACAGAAATAAATCAATAGAAATAAATAAGTAAACAATTAATAATACTAAAATGATAAAAATGAAAATATATTGTTAAAGCAAAAAATTGGGATTTTGTCACTATATTTTTTAGTAATGCAGAAAAGTCTTTTTCATGTTGTTGAACATACATGTACTAGGTTTGACTGGAGGTTTTAGTTATTTATGGACAGCCTGAGTATACTTGACCTGTTTTATTCAATTAACCATTGTAGTTGCATGCACAATCTGCTGTTATAAAAAGACAAAGTGCTGCAATCATCAGCTCCTCTGCAGCCAATGAACAGTTGGCTAAAGCCATGAATGAAATAGAAAATCTCACAAGACAGTTAGAAAGCAATGAAGAAAAAAGCAAAAAAGAGGTAAAATATCTTTATTATATTCAGTGGTAATAATGTTGAATAATGATAACCTTTTTTATACATTAATCAATTTTTTCTTAAGTGACTGATGAATTTCAAGAGTACCCAGTAATACAGCATTTTTAAAGAAATTATGTAACACAGTCCTAAAGAAAGTATTTTCTTATTAAAATTACAGATTGATGATCTCAAAGTTGCATTGGAAAAAGCTGGAAATGTAGAACACATAGAGAAGCTGGAGGAAAATGTGTCTTCTTTGTCAGAACAAATTGAAGCAATGACTGAAAAATTAGCAGTTTCAGATAACAAAATAATGGAACTTGAAAGGCAGAGTAAGTTTTCTTTTTGTTTTGCTGTTTAATTTAAATCAACCATACAATAAAATATATGAATTTCAGTGAAAAATTTGAGAAAGCTGGTTAATGTAAGTTTCGTGTTTTGTAAAATCAAGGACGTATATTCAATATATGTCCTTGGTAAAATGTACATGGTAATCTATGCAGTTTACATCTTTATCAAAAATTCATACATAATGTAGCAATATGTAGAACAATGAGCGACATTGTTTTTATTTAAAATGCTCTGATGGATAATATATATACTGTATTATGATATAACTCATAATCCCTCGCCATTTCAGAGGCTGCTATAGAAAGTGAGTTGAGGGCTGCTGAGAAGAAACTTTCTCCTTCCATTCCTCCACCACCACCTCCTCCTCCTCCTCCTCCACCAGCCTCACATGTCATAGATGTGTTCCGGTAAGTTGATTCCACTGCATCCATAGTCATCTGTATAAGACGTACTTAATTATGTAACTGGATATTGTAGTATGTCATGATCATAATTTCAGTATGTTAAGTTTAAAAAAATATAATTTGTTGTTTTTGTTCATGTTGTTCCCTAATTTTAATTCAATATTTTTAAATTGTGTAAAAAATGTAAATTTTGTTAATATATGTAGCATATTCTATTAAGTGTAGCATGGTGAATTCATTCCTATGAGCATTGCCAAGTCATTTCTGTTGTTAAAGGGATAACAGCTATTCATTTTGGCCAAAGTATGGATTTTTCTGGGATAAACAACAATTTTCCCATAATAACCAATGATAAATTAATCTGTTCCAAGATTTGAAGTTAGTCCTCTTTTTTTTTTTTTTTGTAATAATAGATTATTACAGAGGGTAGCCATTTATGGAGGACATGCAGTCCTATGGCAAGCACAGATTCCAGAATTATTGTGATAAATGCTGTTTTGGTGGTAAATTAGAGTGTGAACTGTTTACAATGTATTTATTGTGAAATATGGATCTCATACAAAAAGTTGTTATCCCTTTAATGAATCTGAAAGAAGACAAAAGCACTGGGTTATATATATGCATGAATAAACTTAATATAATAATTTTTTCAGCAATATTACCAAAATGATAAGAAAAAACAAAGAAGCAAAAGGATTGGTGCCTGCAGGTGCTGATAAAGAAAAAGCCGGTAAAGGATTCATGGATTTATTTTCAAGCCACACATTGTCAATTGTATATGATGTTGTACAGAGTACATACAAAAATGTATGTTTGCATTGGGTATTTAGCAAAATAATTCACACAGCTGCTTAATATCTATATGGTTTGCAAAGTTAGCTTACCTGTATAGCGATAGATGAAAAGTAATTTAACATTGCTGTTTTAGGAAACGAGGTGTATGCTGCAGCTATAGATGAAATGATGGAGAGAATAAAAAGAGGGAACCTACAACTGAAACCTATAGCAGCACCCAGAGTAAGCTCAGAACTAAACACCTTTTATGGATACACTCATCTACTTTTTATTTTAAATGAGGTCCTTAGACCAAAGAAAATAGTTTGAATTTTTTTACAATGTGTGTAAGATAACCTCTTCATGTGCATTCATTTTTCTTTATGGTCCTTTATTGTGTATGTACACTAGCTCTATTGGTGAGAAAATCCTTAGAAAGTTTTTTGTCATTGTCAATTACAGCCAAATTAAAACACAAAAAATGTCTGACATTTTCAGAGTTCTACGAAGAGGGCCAGTAAACCAACTGCCATGGATGAAATGCATGGCTTGCTGGTGAGTATTTAGAGAAAAATGTAGTAGGTAGCATGTTGGCAGTTTTTAAAGATATACTGAGTTGAAGTGCCACAGATAACAATGTACTAGTAGTTTAGTACCTTTGGTTTTAAATGCAATGGCAATTACTCTCTGTGGTGAAGGGGTAAAATATCAACACAGTAAAATATCCTCTCACCATACAATTGTCACACCCACTTAGGAACATTATCGTGTTTTGAATGGTTCTTATGGTTATTAGTACATATCTCAGTTTTTTTTTTTTTTTTTATAGGTCAAACTGAAAAGGACAAATTCTGAAAGTGAAAGTAGGGCAAGAGCAGAGGAAGAGAAGGGAACAGAATTGTCCCAGATTTTACTTAGAAGGAGAAACAAGACAGAAGGATCTCTTCCAGAAATCATGGAAGAAGTGAAAGAATCTGAGACAGAAGGTGGGAGTCGTTGATAAAAAAGAGTGTGTAGGTGTGTTGCTTTTTCTTTCTTGGCATGGGATTAGGGTTACAGTAGACATAGTGTAGCTCTTTTTTAACATATTCAATGTGTTTCAAATGTTTATGAAACTCTCTTGTACCAATCAGCACAAGTATTTGGTGTCCATTCTGCTTGATCTCAGCACTGCAGTCACTCTTGTCTGAAGATATTTTTTGACCTGTAACAAAACTGTCTTTGTGACATGTTGAATTCCTTTTTTCTAAATGTAGTGAAACGTCCTGAGAATGTTTTACTAAATAGATTAGATTATGCTATAAGTAAAAGGTAAAACATACATGTATGTTGAGCTTTGAATTTTTTTTTCTTTTTTATTGAATTAATTTTAAAATAATCTAATGAATAAAATATCTTCTATTTCCTGTTTGTGTTCATTCGTTTTATTTGCTTCTGTGCTTGTAGAAATAGATTTCACAAGAAATATAACTCATTTTTATGTACAGACACAGATGTGTCTGTACATATTGCCATCACCTGCGTCTGTCGTCGCCGTCGCCGTCGCCGATGCCGATGCCGGCGCCGTGCATTTTCCTTGTAAACACGANTCCATTCCTATGAGCATTGCCAAGTCATTTCTGTTGTTAAAGGGATAACAGCTATTCATTTTGGCCAAAGTATGGATTTTTCTGGGATAAACAACAATTTTCCCACAATAACCAATGATAAATGAATCTGTTCCAAGATTTGAAGTTAGTCCTCTTTTTTTTTTTTTTTTTTTTTTGTAATAATAGATTATTACAGAGGGTAGCCATCTATGGAGGACATGCGGTCCTATGGCAAGCACAGATTCCAGAATTATTGTGATAAATGCTGTTTTGGTGGTAAATTAGAGTGTGAACTGTTTACAATGTATTTATTGTGAAATATGGATCTCATACAAAAAGTTGTAATCCCCTGAAAGAAGACAAAAGCACTGGGTTATATATATGCATGAATAAACTTAATATAATATAATTTTTTCAGCAATATTACCAAAATGATAAGAAAAAACAAAGAAGCAAAAGGATTGGTGCCTGCAGGTGCTGATAAAGAAAAAGCCGGTAAAGGATTCATGGATTTATTTTCAAGCCACACATTGTCAATTGTATATGATGTTGTACAGAGTACATACGAAAATGTATGTTTGCATTGGGTATTTAGCAAAATTATTCACACAGCTGCTTAATGTCTATATGGTTTGCAAAGTTAGCTTACCTGTGTAGCGATAGATGAAAAGTACGTAATTTAACATTGCTGTTTTAGGAAACGAGGTGTATGCTGCAGCTATAGATGAAATGATGGAGAGAATAAAAAGAGGGAACCTACAACTGAAACCTATTGCAGCACCCAGAGTAAGCTCAGAACTAAACACTTTTTATGGAAACACTCATCTACTTTTTCTTTTAAATGAAGTCCTTAGACCAAAGAAAATGGTTTGAATTTTTTACAATGTGTGTAAGATAACCTATTCATGTTTATTTTTGTTTCTTTATGGTCTTTTATTGTTTATGTATACTTATTCTATTGGTGAGAAAATCCTTTGAAAGTTTTTTTTTATGATAGTCAATTACAGCCAAATAAAGCACGAAAAATGTCTGACATTTTCAGAGTTCTACAAAGAGGGCCAGTAAACCAACTGCCATGGATGAAATGCATGGCTTGCTGGTGAGTACTTAGAGAAAAAATGTAGTAGGTAGCATGTTGGCAGTTTTTTAAGATATACAGAGTTGAAGTGCCACAGATAACAATGTACTAGTAGTTTAGTACCTTTGGTTTTAAATGCAATGGTAACTCTCTGTGGTGAAGGGGGTAAAATATCAACACATTGAAATATCCTCTCACCATACAATTGTCACACCCACTTAGGAACATTATCGTGTTCTTATGGTTATTAGTACTTTTCTCAGAAATTTTTATTTTATAGGTCAAACTGAAAAGGACAAATTCTGAAAGTGATAGTAGGGCAAGAGCAGAGGAAGAGAAGGGAACAGAATTGTCCCAGATTTTACAGAGAAGGAGAAACAAGACAGAAGGATCTCTTCCAGAAATCATGGAAGACGTGAAAGAATCTGAGACAGAAGGTGGGAGTCGTTGATAAAAAAAGAGTGTGTAGGTTTGTTGCTTTTTCTTTCTTGGCATGGGATTAGGGTTACAGTAGACATAGTGTAGCTCTTCTTTAACATATACAATGTGTTTCAGATGTTTATGAAACTGTATATTCTCTTATACCAACCAGCACAAGTATTTGGTGTTCACTTTGCTTGATCTCACCACTGCAGTCACACTTGTCTGAAGATATTTTTTACCTGTAACAAAACTGTCCTTGTGACATGTTGGATTCCTTTTTTCTTAATGTAGTGAAACGTCTGAGAATGTATTACTAAATAGATTGGATTATGCCATAAGTAAAAGGTAAAACATACATGTATGTTGAGCTTTGAAATTTTTTTCTTTTTTTATGAATTAATTTTAAAAGAATCTAATGAACAAAATATCTTCTATTTCCTGTTTGTATTCATTCGTTTTATTTACAAGTATTTGCTTCTGTGCTTGTAGAAATAGATTTCACAAGAAATATAACTCATTTTTTAAATTAAAAACTTAGGTGATATTGTTGGTGACTGTTTGTATTTATGTAAATGCATCGAGAACCCATACACTTTTAATTACGGAAACCATTTAAAAATCAGTATTCACATGGGATAGCTTTAGTACTTTCACAGCACAGTAGTTATACTCATAAAATATATATTTTATATCTTTTCAGATCACTATTTGGAAATCAGTGTTGAAACTTGAATATGAGAATGTATGAATATCTTCCACATGTACCAGTACCTTACATTTGCATTTTGTAAATTAAAATTTAAATGTCTTTTCAGATGCAGTGTTTGGATAGGAAGAGACTTACCTCTACACTATGGATTTTGATTGACTTTGCAGTCGAGGGATGTGTCTATGCATATTTTTTAAAGCATACAAGTGTTGGTCATATTTCAATTAATGTTCTCCAAAGGCAATACGTAATGTATGCAAAGAGGGACAGTTTAATAGATTTTGTTTTGTAACTTTTTATCTTTTTTTTATTTAGTCTGTGCTTACACTTGTGTCTCAAGACATATCATGTCACTATTTTTTTTAATATGTGACCACTTGCCATGCTCAACAATCACATTTTGATGCAAAGTGTAAATGTGAGAAATGTATGAAACAATTTGGTCATCTTTAGTGTAAAGAGAAAAATGGGAATTAATATATCTGTTGAGCTAAGAATTCGGAAGAATAATCATTTCTGAATAAAAAAAGTTTATGCAATTGACAACAGATAAACTTTTTATTTTAACTTTTCACAAAAAAAAGCTGAAAAATAGAATTTGTTTACAAAAGCTATATATTATAGACCATTGGAAAAGAAAAATAATGGAGGCATTTACAATAAAAGATTGATATGGTGCCTAGACTGTGTATTCCATGTTTCACACCTTTACTGATATTTGAATTTCCTAAATGAGGGAAGTGTTCATTGGTTCCCAGGGTTGCTCATAGTGCAATGAGGTTCTAAAATTGCTATCTCAATATACTCCTTGAACATTATGACTTGGTGCCTTTATCAGTTGTTCAAAGTGTTAAGACATATATATATATATATATATATATATATATATATATATATATATATAAAAACAAATTAAATGCAAAGTGGTTTAAATAATGAAATAATTTAATATCCTGTTAGTTATCTTAAAGTGAGCATTAATTCTACCAAATTATTCAATTTAGTATAAAGTTATGAAGGGCAAAGATATGTAGCATTTTAGATCGTGATACATTCCAGTTATACCAGAATTACATGCACGTGTATGTGATGTCACTATATTAATTATATCATGGGTAGATGAACAGAAAATTGTAGTGTATATTTTTTTGTGTTAAAACAATGAGATGGTATTAGGAAATTCTTATTAAGCATATGACTGTAATGTTACTTGGAGAGAGTTTGCAAACAGTGTAAAATATACTTCTTTTAGTCAGGCTGCAACTCTTTGAACTCCTTTGCCATCTATCTTGCCTACATGTCACTGAAACTATTCCATTAAATTTCTTTGTTTCATGTGTATAATGTGCCATTCTAGTTTAATTCTATGTTTAAACAGCCCATCCTGTATACTAAAAAATAGCCAGCATTTGGAAATTCAGTTATCAAAGATTTGCTGTCAGTTTTTGTTACATAACCTATAATAAACATTTGTATGGTTGTATAATATATAGATCACAGAAAATCCTATATAATATCATGTTTCTTTTGTAGTTGGTTATCAAATTTTTGTTACATTTATGAATAATATTGTCAAAAGTTAATGATTTGTATTGAAAACACTGGTTTCATTTGTGAAATGCTTATAAATTACAAGTCACATCTTTTATTTAAAATATTATTGCTGCAAAGTGTACTTCAAGTTTGATAAAATTTCCATTTATTACTTAGAAGTGCACTTTTATTCCTTTTTGGATCTCCATTATGATAAAAGTTTGTATTGATGTTCTGTACAGATCATCTTGGATGGTTTTCAAAAAATAAAAGTATAATGAAAAAAAAAAACATGAAACTTGCTATTATTAATATCCATATAACCCAAGAGTCCACATATGCACACCCACAAATGCCTAGAACCAGTTTTTCAAAAATGACTTTAAAGCAGCTATGCAGAGCCATTTTGTAATATTGGTGTAAAGGTTTTGCTATCCATTTACAAAAAATACAATGTACATACTGGGGTATTTAAAAATAAATTGTTACCACAATGATAAGTAAAAATTTTAAATTCATAAAATGTTTAGAACAAACCATGTAAATCTGACATGTACAGATAACCTGTGTCAGTGTACACATTTTAGTATTAAAATACTTGCAAAATTAGAACAATATTCAAGGAAGTACAATTTGCTGCAGAAAGTGGTTCATAGTCATATTCAACTTTGGATTTTCCAACTATGATTTCCCATTCAATCCAATAGCAATAGGGAGACACTTCTAGTTCTGGAGTTATGAGGCCTGGGAAACTGTCCCAGACCGACATTATTAAATAAATTGTATAGCATCCCCATTTCAAACTTGACAGGTATTTAAAGCCCACAAGTAACCCTAGCAGTAGGATTAGGTTAAAACAGTTACCATTTGGATGAGAGTGTCAAAAGACCAAATTATTAAAGAAATATATATATATATATATATATATATATATATATATATATATATATATATATATATATATATATATGGGGAAATGTAAGGAATAATCATTTCTTGCCCATTTTTGACCCACATTTTAGGACAAATAATCACAAGAGTTTGAAGAAAAATGTTGACACTAGGTTGTTGACGTTGGGCTAATGCCACATGCATGCCAATGCTGTCTTGCTACATGTATCTGGGTAATTTGTTTGCACACAAATGTGAGGCTAGTGGTTTTTTATATTCTATGTAAAACACAAGTTTACTAGGATTCTTGGTAGGTTAAGCTTATAATGATTTTCTACTATATTACAAAGGTTAGAGCAAGGTAACATTGGATCAACATCGACAGGGCTAACATTAGGTTGTTGATGTTTGGCTAACACCATATGCATGCCAATGCTGTCTGGGTAGTGTTTGTACATAAAAATGAGGCTAGTGGTTCTTCAAATTCTATGTGAAATGCAAGTTTATTTGCTAAGATTCTTGGTAGCTAATTAAAGAATGATTTTCAATCTATGTCCTTTTGAAAACCAGATTTTGCATATTTTTTTCATTTTATCATGATATTAATATATCATGGCTGTTTCCATTAAAATGATGCCACTGGCATAAAGGAAACCCAGAGTTTAATTCTCTCTATCAATATTTACCTAATATATTTGCTGATCTGTAAAACTAACTAAAATTCAATGCTCCCTCAACCAATGAACCCAACATGTTGGTTCTATTTGAGAACTAATTCAATTCAATTAAAGAATATTCTCACTTGATAAACTCACAAAATACAAAATTACTGAATGTGCATTGAATTCATGTGGAATGTAAATTAAGCGCCATTTAATTCACTTGATGGTATTTTAACACAGCTAAACTGGATAAAACATCAAATCAAAGTGAAATTAACCAAGCAATCCAATAAACTAAAATCACCATATCCCACTTAGGATGTCTTTCAGTTAGTATGGAAGCCCATATGTTTACTATTGAGTTTGAACTTAAACCATTTCTGCCAAGCCTAGTGCTAGCTTGGCTGATCTTGCTGTAAAGTATGGTCTTCCAGTTCATCATCAATAAATCCCTCCTGTGTCTCTCTGTCAGGTACACTGCAACTTGAGGTTACTGTGTCAGAGCGAGGCACACTCTCAGTTTTTGTCACCTCAGACTGTTTATCTGGTGTTACTTCATCATCATCATATATATAACAATCTTCAGTTTCCCTGGCCTCTGTGGCTTCATCTGGAAATGAAAACACTTTAAATATGAAACACAAGTAATACCTTTTAACTGCGGACCACAAATGTAAGTTGTTAAAAGACACTTAAGTATTATTATATCTGATATACCATATTTACACTGACAAACATGCTTTCACTGGCATCAGCATATCAGCATATCCTGATTGACTTTCTTATGATTTGCTTAAAACTTGGCCTGTGGAAAAAGATTCTTTTTTTGTTATCATATGAAAAACTGAAAGATGTCAATATGATTTATATTTCCTCTCTCACCAAGCTCTGTGGCTGGCTGTGCTGGGTCCAGTTCAGTGGAGTCCAGGAAGTCATTGAGGGCATTAGGATCCTCTTCTATGGACACTTCTGCAAGGTCCACTGGCTGACCACTATCAGAGCTGGGTTGTCCTGGAGAAAAAAATAACCTCAATAACAAATTTTCCAATGAAATAAAGTTGTTACTTCAATTGAGTCTTTTTGGAAATGAAAATATTTGAGTACTTTTATCAATCTTTTTCTAAAAAATCTAATTGATTTTAAAGTAATTAACATTAATATGAATTCTTTCATAAAATTTTGAATAAAAAAAATCCAATATTAAAAACAATAATATCTCTCAGACAATTTAAACTGTGCTGCATTGAGCATGAACAGTAATTATACAATCAAAACTTAATAAAATTAATATTAAAGTAATGCTTACTTTGCATCTGTCCATAAGTCTTGTAGTATTCCATTTCCTCTTCAAATGCTTGCTCATAGGCTTCTTGTCTTTCCTTCATCCTTAACTGACAACTTAGTTCATAATCCCGCACCCTTACAACATGCTCCCCTGCCAGCTTAACTGCATAATAAGATATACAAGTCAAACACTGAAGTTGAGATCAAGCTTGATACTTTTTTGGTATATTAAAAAAATGCCACAAAACATTTTGTATTACAAATTGGCCACCAGCAAAAAAAAAAACTGTTTACTAACTATTACAATCCATAACAAAATACCAATATAACATAAACACAAACTTTATTCCTACACTGAATATCCTTCACTAGTCCACTAACCTACCTTTCATCTGCTCCAAATCTGCCTTCTTCTTCTCCTTGTACAGTGCCAGCTGATACCTATGGTTCAGTTTACTCCTCTCCAGCTCCTGCTGCTCACACACTTGTTCCAGGGAAACCAACAATTTTTCCACATCCTCAAACTGTGAACTTAGAGATGCTGGAGGAATAGAATAATATAATTTAAATATGAAATTATCTCTATATAAAATTGTAAATGTAAAAGGGAGCCCTGTTTGAGTATGTTTGATAAAATTAACTTCTGTTAAGGAATAATTTCTACCATGATGTAAAGTGTTTTTTCCGGGTAAAGTTTCATCTAACATTATCTGCAAACTCAGTTATTCTGATGCTGACATTAAAAATATATATTTCTTTGATAAAAAGACTATAGTGTAGTATAATATGCTGGTATCAAATCTTGAGTTATTCCTACCAATTTTCCTGCTTATAAGTTCAATATCTTGAACAAGTTTTGGCAAGTGTGACAGCTCCAAATTCAATTGGCTCATGAGGTCTGACTGTCTCTGACATAACTGGTAGAGACTAGTGATTGTTTCATCACATTGCTGTGCTTTTTTGGCATTCTCCTCTGATGCCAGGTGGATGGATGACCAATGTTGTTGGTACCTTAAGAACCACATGTTAATACAACTTAATTTCAGCAATATTGACTTTAGGCTATAAATTGGTAGCATACTTTACATGTTGCTTTGACTATGCGATAGCTACTAAAAACGAAATCTGGAAAGGCAAAAAGTTGGCATTACACTCCTGATGCTAGTATACTTAAATGTAAACTCAGCAGTTATTGTGTTTAAAAATTATAAGTCGACAATACGTAAAACTGTAATATGCCTCTGAATTACCATGTACTAGTAAGAGGGTAAGAGAAACTGAATGAACCTACATGTTGAGAATATCTGCCCCAGCATCATAGTTGACATTATCCTGCAAAGACAGTTTCTTCAATTCAGTTGCCACTCCACTCTGAGCTCCCTCTCGCAATGATTTGAACCTGTATAAAATGTGGGTTGGAATCTAATATAACCCATTTTCTTGTAAATATAACCTGATACTAAATAAACTAAACAGACAAAACATATAACCCAAGTACAATGATGGGGGAAATAATTAAATAAATTACCTTAGTTTATGTGATAAATGAGCATGCTCTTGGCTATGGTTTATCAAACCACAAAGAACATCTCAATTACAACTACCCTACTGTACATCACAGCTCTATGTTAGAATAGCTGCACGTATTTCAACCCTCTGCTGCCTTTATTGCCTCAGTTTTCGGTCTTACGTGCGTGGTTACGTGCACTGATCACATGTACCTACTGCAGCATACAGACCAAAAACGCAGACGACTAACGACGTACATCTGTAAATGTACGTATACAGTGTACATGTACCAGTACTGTACATACATAACGTTGTGTTGCGTTGCACCCTTAGCTTCATCTCATAAACCATTCGTCTTACCCTGCACTTATATCATTTTGAACGCTCTGTAAAGTCCCTTTTATGGACTTAAATACACTCATTTCTAATGTTTAAACGTTGCCTTCTTCCCTTGCTTGCAATTAGTCACATCAACAGTACATCGTCAGGTGACTTCTCAAGTGAAACGAGTAATTTCTCGACTCCAAATAAAGAAGATCATGTTTTTCTTTTGTAAAAGCATAGAAGTAGAGATGAATTCTATTCAGTGTTAGTTTGTTTTTAGCGTAGTTGTGTCATAATATGTGTATTTGGTTGTATTTCCTTTTTTCATATCTTTTTAATTTATTTAAAATGTGAAACATAAAATATCTATAATATAAAACCGACATTAAAAGAGACGTTTTGCAGACAAATTTGCCGAAAGGGGGCGGTAGTTACGCTCAGAAAAGTACAACTTACAAGCGCAGGAGAGTCGCTAGAGGTAAATCGAAAGTAGCATAGAATAAATTTATCTTTAAATAAATGCTTGAAGCATCAATTGNCCCTAAACACATTTTAAGGAATGTACTTTTGCATCAGAATTGACAGTAGCCTATTTTGTGCATAGTTATTTCCTGTTTTTTGTCTGTACATTTGACAGCTTTGCTGCCTTGTTTTAATTAAAAACTTAAGTGACATTGTTGGTGACTGTTTGTATTTATGTAAATCCATCGAGAACCCATGCACTTTTAATTAAGCAAGCCATTTAAAAATCAGTATTCACATGGGATAGCTTTAGTACTTTCACAGCACAGTAGTTATACTCAAAATATATATTTTATATCTTTTCAGATCACCATTTGGAAATCAGTGTTGAAACTTGAATATGAGAATGTATGTAATATCTTCCACATGCACCAGTACCTTACATTTGCATTTTGTAAATTAAAATTTAAATGTCTTTTCAGATGCAGTGTTTGGATAGGAAGAGACTTACCTCTACACTATGGATTTTGATTGACTTTGCAGTCGAGGGATGTGTCTATGCATATTTTTAAAAGCATACAAGTGTTGGTCATATTTCAATTAATGTTCTCCAAAGGCAATACGTAATGTATGCAAAGAGGGACAGTTTAATAGATTTTGTTTTGTAACTTTTTATCTTTTTTTTATTTAGTCTGTGCTTACACTTGTGTCTCAAGACATATAATGTCACAATTTTTTTTTAATATGTGACCACTTGCCATGCTCAACAATCACATTTTGACGCAAAGTGTAAATGTGAGAAATGTATGAAACAATTTGTTCATCTTTAGTGTAAAGAGAAAAATGGGAATTAATATATCTGTTGAGCTAAGAATTCGGAAGAATAATCATTTCTAAATAAAAAAGTTTATGCAATTGACAACAGATAAACTTATTATTTTTACTTTTCACAAAAAAAAGCTGAAAAATAGAATTTGTTTACAAAAGCTATATGTTATAGACCATTGGAAAAGAAAAATAATGGAGGCATTTACAATAAAAGATTGATATGGTGTCTAGACTGTTTATTCCATGTTTCACACCTTTACTGATATTTGAATTTCTTAAATGAGGGAAGTGTTCCTTGGTTCCCAGGGTTGCTCATAGTGCAATGAGGTTCTAAAATTGCTATCTCAATATACTCCTTGAACATTATGACACTTGGTGCCTTTATCAGTTGTTCAAAGTGTTAAGACATATATATATATAAACAAATTAAATGCAAAGTGATTTAAATAATGAAATAATAATTTAAAATCCTATTAGTTATCTTAAAGTGAGCATTAATTCTACAAAATTATTCAATTTATTATAAAGTTATGAAGGGCAAAGTTATGTAGCATTTTAGATCATTGTGATACATTCCAGTTATACCAGAATTACATGCATGTGTATGTGATGTCACTATATTAATTATATCATGGGTAGATGAACAGAAAATTGTAGTGTATATTTTTTGTGTTAAAAAAATGAGATGGTATTAGGAAAATCTTATCAAGCATATGACTGTAATGTTACTTGGAGAGAGTTTGCAAACAGTGTAAAATATACTTCTTTTAGTCAGGCTGCAACTCTTTGAAAACTCCTTTGCCATCTATCTTGCCTACATGTCACTGAAACTATTCCATTAAATTTCTTTGTTTCATGTGTGTAATGTGCCATTCTAGTTTAATTCTATGTTTAAACAGCCCACCCTGTATACTAAAAAAATAGCCAGCATTTGGAAATTCAATTATCAAAGATTTGCTGTCAGTTTTTGTTACATAACCTATAATAAACATTTGTATGGTTGCATAATATATAGATCACAGAAAATCCTATATAATATCATGTTTCTTTTGTAGTTGGTTATCAAATTTTTGTTACATTTATGAATAATATTGTCAAAAGTTAATGATTTGTATTGAAAACACTGGTTTCATTTGTGTAATGCTTATAAATTACAAGTCATGTCTTTTATTTAAAATACTATTGCTGCAAAGTGTACTTCAAGTTTGATAAAATTTCCATTTATTACTTAGAAGCGCACTTTTATTCCTTTCTGGATCTCCATTATGATAAAAGTTTGTATTGATGTTCTGTACAGATCATCTTGGATGGTTTTCAAAAAATAAAAGTATAATGAAAAAAAAAAACCATGAAACTTGCTAATATTAATATCCATATAACCCAAGAGTCCACATATGCATACCCACAAAAGCCTAGAACCAGTTTTTCAAAAATGACTTTAAAGCAGCTATGCACAGCCATTTTGTAATATTGGTGTGAAGGTTTTGCTATCCATTTACAAAAATATATAATGTACATACTTGGGTATTTAAAAATAAATTGTCACCACAATGATAAGTAAAAATTTTAAATTCATAAAATGTTTAGAACAAACCATGTAAATCTGACATGTACAGATAACCTGTGTCAGTGTACACATTTTAGTATTAAAATACTGGCAAAATTAGAACAATATTCAAGGAAGTACAATTTGCAGCAGAAAGTGGTTCATAGTCATATTCAACTTTGGATTTGCCAACTATGATTTCCCATTCAATCCAATAGCAATAGGGAGACTCACTTCTAGTTCTGGAGTTATGAGGCCTGGGAAACTGACCAAGACCGACATTATTAAATAAATTGTAAGGCATCCCCATTTCAAACTTGACAGGTATTTAAAGCCCACAGGTAACCCCAGCAGCAGGTTTAGGTTAAAACAGTTACCATTTGGATGAGAGTGTCAAAAGACCAAATTATTTAAGAAATATAAATGGGAAAATGTAAGAAATAATCATTTCTTGCCCATTTTTGACCCACATTTTAGGACAAATAATCACAAGAGTTTGAAGAAAAATGTTGACACTAGGTTGTTGAAGTTGGGCTAATGCCATATGCATGCCAATGCTGTCTTGCTACATGTATCTGGGTAATTTGTTTGCACACAAAAGTGAGGCTAGTGGTTTTTCATATTCTATGTAAAACACAAGTTTACTAGGATTCTTGGTAGGTTAAGCTTATAATGACTTTCTACTATATTACAAAGGTTAGAGCAAGGTAACATTGGATCAACATCGACAGGGCTAACATTAGGTTGTTGATGTTTGGCTAACACCATATGCATGCCAATGCTGTCTGGATAGCGTTTGTACATAAAAATGAGGCTAGTGGTTCTTCAAATTCCATGTGAAATGCAAGTTTATTTGCTAAGATTCTTGGTAGCTAATTAAAGAATGATTTTCAATCTATGTCCTTTTGTAAACCAGATTTTGCATATTTTTTTCATTTTATCATGATATTAATATATCACGACTGTTTCCAATAAAATGATGCCACTGGCATAAAGGAAACCCAGAGTTTAATTCTCTCTATCAATATTTACCTAATATATTTGCTGACTAACTAAAATTCAATGATCCCTCAACCAATGAACCCAACATGTTGGTTCTATTTGAGTTTTAAGAATATTCTCACTTGATAAACTCACAAAATACAAAATTACTGAATGTGCATTGAATTCATGTGGAATGTAAATTAAGCACCATTTAATACACTTGATGGTATTTTAACACAGCTAAACTGGATAAAATCGAATCGAAGTGAAATCAACCAAGCAATCCAATAAACTAAAATCACCAAATCCCACTTAAGATGTTATTCAGTTAGTATGGAAGCCCATATGTTTACTATTGAGTTTGAACTTAAACCATTTCTGCCAAGCCTAGTGCTAGCTTGGCTGATCTTGCTGTAAAGTATGGTCTTCCAGTTCATCATCAATAAATCCCTCCTGTGTCTCTCTGTCAGCAGGTACACTGCAACTTGAGGTTACTGTGTCAGAGCGAGGCTTACTCTCAGTTTTTGTCATGTCAGACTGTTTATCTGGTGTTACTTCATCATCATCGTATATGTAACAATCTTCAGTTTCCCTGGCCTCTGTAGCTTCATCTGGAAATGAAAACACTTTAAATATGAAACACAAGTAATACCTTTTAACTGCGGACCACAAATGAGGTACATGTAAGTCGTTAAAAGACACCTAAGTATTATTATATCTGATAAAACATATTTACACTGACAAACATGCTTTCACTGCCATCAGCATATCCTGATTGACTTTCTTATGATTTGCTTTAGACTTGGCCTGTGGAAAAAGAATCTTTTTGTTATCATAAAGAAAACTGAAAGATGTCAATATGATTTATATTTCCTCTCTCACCAAGCTCTGTGGCTGGCTGTGCTGGGTCCAGTTCAGTGGAGTCTAGGAAGTCATTGAGGGCATTAGGATCCTCTTCTATGGACACTTCTGCAAGGTCCACTGGCTGACCACTATCAGAACTGGGTTGTCCTGGAGAAAAAAATTACCTCAATAACAAATTTTCCAATGAAATAAAGTTGTTACTTCAATGAAGTCTTTTTTGGAAATGATTTTTTACATAACACTAAAAATATTAAAGTACTTTCATCAATTTTCTTCTAAAAAAAATCTAATTGATTTTTAAACCATATTAACATTATTATGAATTCTTTCATAAAATTTTGAATAAAAAAAACAACATTAAAAACAATAATATCTCTCAGATAATTTAAACTGTGCTGCATTGAGCATGAACGATAATTATACTACAATACATCAAAATGTAAAATTAATATTAAAGTAATGCTTACTTTGCATCTGTCCATAAGTCTTGTAGTATTCCATTTCCTCTTCAAATGCTTGCTCATAGGCTTCTTGTCTTTCCTTCATCCTTAACTGACAACTTAGTTCATAATCCCGCACCCTTACAACATGCTCCCCTGCCAGCTTAACTGCATAATAAGATATACAAGTCAAACACTGAAGTTGAGATCAAGTTCGATACTTTTTTGGTATATTAAAAAAATTTCACAAAACACTTCGTTTTACAAAATGGAAACCAGCAAAAAAAAATGTTTGCTAACTATTACAATCCATAACAAAATAGCAATATAACAAAAACACCAACTTTATTCCTACACTGAATATCCTTCACTAGTCCACTAACCTACCTTTCATCTGCTCCAAATCTGCCTTCTTCTTCTCCTTGTACAGTGCCAGCTGATACCTGTGGTTCAGTTTACTCCTCTCCAGCTCCTGCTGCTCACACACTTGTTCCAGGGAAACCAACAATTTTTCCACATCCTCAAACTGTGAACTTAGAGATGCTGGAGAAATAGAATAATATAATTTAAATATGAAATTATCTCTATATAAAATTGTAAATGTAAAACTGAGCCTGGTTTGAGTATGATTGATAAAATTAACTTCTGTTGAGGAATAATTTCTACCATGATGTAAAGTGTTTTTTCTTTCTGGGTAAAGTTTCATCTTACATTATCTGCAAACTCAGTTATTCTGATACTGATATTAAAAATATATAATTCTTTGATAAAAAACTATAGTGTAGTAAAATATGCTGGTATCAAATCTTGAGTTATTCCTACCAATTTTCCTGCTTATAAGTTCAATATCTTGAACAAGTTTTGGCAAGTGTGACAGCTCCAAACTCAATTGGCTCATGAGGTCTGACTGTCTCTGACATAACTGGTAGAGACTAGTGATTGTTTCATCACATTGCTGTGCTTTTTTGGCATTCTCCTCTGATGCCAGGTGGATGGATGACCAGTGTTGTTGGTACCTTAAGAACCACATGTTAATACAACTTAATTTCAGCAATATTGACTTTAGGCTATAAATTGATAGCATATTTTACATGTTGCTTTGACTATGCGATAGCTACTAAGAACGAAATCTGGAAAGGCAAAAAATTGGCATTACACTCCTGATGCTAGTATACTTAAATGTAAACTCAGCAGTTATTGTGTTTAAAAATTATAAATCGACAATACGTAAAACTGTAACATGCCTCTGAATTACCATGTACTAGTAAGAGGGTAAGAGAAACTGAATGAACCTACATGTTGAGAATATCTGCCCCAGCATCATAGTTGACATTATCCTGCAAAGACAGTTTCTTCAATTCAGTTGCCACTCCACTCTGAGCTCCCTCTCGCAATGATTTGAACCTGTATAAAAACAAATGTGGGTTGAAATCTTATATAACCCATTTTCTTGTAAATATAACCTGATACTAAATAAACTAAACAGACAAAACATATAACCCAAGTACAATGATGGGGGAAATAATTAAATAAATTATCTCAGTTTATGTGATAAATGAGCATGCCCGTGGCTATGGTTTATCAAACCACAAAGAACATCTCAATTACAACTACCCTACATCACCATCATCAAAGCTCTATGTTAGAATAGCTGCACGTATTTCAACCCTCTGCAGCCTTTATTGCCTCAGTTTTCGGTCTTACGTGCGTGGTTACCTGCACTGATCAGGTGTACCTACTGTAGCATACAGACCAAAAACGCAGACGACTAACGACGTACATCTGTAAATGTACGTATACAGTGTACATGTACCAGTACATACATAACGTTGTGTTGCGTTGCACCCTTAGCTTCACCTCATAAACCATTCGTCTTACCCTGCACTTATATCATTTTGAACGCTCTGTAAAGTCCCTTTTATGGACTTAAAGACACTCATTTCTAATCTTTAAACGTTGTCTTCTTTCCTTGCTTGCAATATACACATCAACAGCACATCGTACGTCAGGTGACTTCTCAAGTGAAACGAGTAATTTCTCGACTCCAAATAAAGAAGATCATGTTTTTCTTTTGTAAAAGTGAATTCTATTCAGTGTTAGTTTGTTTTTAGCGTAGTTGTGTCATAATATGTGTATTTAGTTGTATTTCCTTTTTTCATATCTTTTTTTTAATTTATTTAAAATGTGAAACATAAAATATCTATAATATAAAACCGACATTAAAAGAGACGTTTTGCAGACAAATTTGCCGAAAGGGGGCGGTAGTTACGCTCAGAAAAGTACAACTTACAAGCGCAGGAGAGTCGCTAGAGGTAAATCGAAAGTAGCATAGAATAAATTTATCTTTAAATAAATGCTTGAAGCATCAAATGGAAATTAACAAGTAAATATTTTCATAAGTCAGGTTTTTATTTTTTTATTGAGAAGTGTGGCAATGCATTTTTTAATTAATTTGAATTAATTTATTAAAATAAATTAAAACTTGCTGTTGTTCGTTCTTTGGCTACTACTACCAGTAATACATATACATGTAAATATATAGAACAGATGTGCTTGATAATGTTACAAGTATACGTGTTAAATTCTTTAACATAATTGTTTATTTGTGTGGGGGCATCATGTGCAGTGCATAACCAGATTCTCCATACTAAGCCTGCTTTGTTTTTAAATCATCAACAATATTTGGTTTATTTTTTAAAAAATATTTACAGTAGCAACATGTCACAGATTATACTAGTTACAAATAATTTCATCTCTTTCTTGCAAATTGTTATCAATGTAAAAAGAGTTCTGAAAATATTTATACTTTAATGATTTAAGTGTTTCATGCACACATTTTATGTTATAATTAAAATGCAAACTAATATCCCAATTGTAATAAATGTATTTACAGAAATTTTTATTTATAAATAGTTTCAGAAACACCAAAAATATCAATATTGATGATAATATGAACAATTCACATGTTACTGCAAAGTGCTGATTTTGATTAAAAATAAAAATCTAGCGCATAAATCAGTCAAATTATTTTTTTCTTCCTGAACCAGAGCGCTGGCTGGCTGTTTCTGATCCTGGTTCTTTCTTTTGTAGCGTAGTTGTGTCATTATATGTGCATTTGGTTTTATGTGTACTTTTTTCATATCTTTTCAATTTATGTAAAATGTGAAACATAAAATATCTATAATATAAAACCGACATTAAAGACGTTTTGCAGACAAATTTGCCGAAAGGGGGCGGTAGTTACGCTCAGAAAAGTACAACTTACAAGCGCAGGACAGTCGCTAGAGGTAAATCGAAAGTAGCATAGAATAAATTTATCTTTAAATAAATGCTTGAAGCATCAATTGGAAATTAACAAGTAAATATTTTCATAAGTCAGGTTTTTATATTTTTGTATTGAGAAGTGTGGCAATGCATTTTTAATTAATTTAAATTAATTTATTAAAATAAATTAAAACTTGCTGTTGAGTGTTGTTCGTTCTTTGGCTACTACTACCAGTACTACATATACATTAGCACGAAAATCCATGCGTTAGCACTCCTATTGACGATTCTGATATGTACTGTCTGTGCTAACACACAGCTGTGTTAGCACAGCCAGTACATATCAGAATCGTCAATAGGAGTGCTAACGCATGAATTTTCGTGCTACATGTAAATATATACATGTAGAACAGATGTGCTTGATAATGTTACAAGTATACATGTTAATTTCTTTAACATAATAGTTTATTTGTGTGGGGGCATCATGTGCAGTGCATAACCAGATTCTCCATCATCAACAATATTTGTTTTATTTATTTTTATATTTACAGAAGCAACATGTCGCAGATTATACTAGTTACAAATAATTTTATCTCTTTCTTGCAGATTGTTATTTATGTAAAAAGAGTTCTGAAAATATTTATACTTTAATGATTTAAGTGTTTCATGCACATATGTTATAATTAAAATGCAAACTAATATCTCAATTGTAATAAATGTATTTACAGACATTGTTATTTATAAATAGTTTCAGAAACACCAAAATAGCAATATTGGTGATAATATGAACAACTCACATGTTACTGCAAAGTGCTGATTTTGATTTTTTTCTTTTTTTTTTTTAATCTAGTGAATAAATCAGTCAAATTATTTTTTTCTTCCTGAACCAGAGCGCTGGCTGGCTGTTTCTGATCCTGGTTCTTCTTCCTCAGGAACTGGAGGAGGAGAGATCTTTGGAAATGCATGAGGTTCTAGAGGTGACAGCTTTCCTTGTTTACTTAAATTGTCTTCTAATTGTAAAAGTCTGTTTATTTTAGCAATTCTCTCTCCTCGGCTTGGACCTCCAACTTTTATGAACCTTGCATTAAGACCCACAGCCTAAGTAAAAAATTTAATATATTTCACAAAAAATATATAAAATTATTGACATAAAACACAGACACATCAAATCAATATGTATTTATGATTTCCTATAACTATATGTATACTATTAAATTTTTGTTTATGATATTCTATATTTTCATAAATTAATGCTGCAGAAAAGAAATTTACCATATCTACTATTTGTGTGTCACTGGTTTCACCCTGGCATGAGGACAAGATAATCTGATTCCCTGCTTCTGAAAAAAATTACAGAAAATTAAAACATTAACTTATCTTGCTAAGAGATAATAAAGTTCATCATCATTTCATATTTATTATTTATTTGTTGTTGTGAAAATTTACTTAATCCAGAGGTGTACTTTCTGGATTCAGTGCAGAAGATAATATTTTACCATCCATATTAAAAGTACATCAATACTTATCTCATAGTATCAAGACATTTAATCACATGAGTAGCACCTCACCTTCCATTTTCTTGGCACAGTCCAGTATGTCAGTCACTTGGTTCATCTGCTCCAGTCTGAACACTACCCCACTGCTGACAAACTCCTCTGTGAGTTCATCATGCTTCAGAAGACCTGGCCTGCTGTACACATTCTCACCAATTATAAAACATCTCTCGGAGAGCCTGTCACAGATTTCCATCCACTGTTTTTTCTCCTGTTAAAAAGAGTTTTAAAAATATAAGGTTTATAAATGAAAAAAAAAATTATCTCAAATTTCAAATGTTACCACCATCAAAATCATTAATTCATACTATGCAAGGAAAAGAATACTGCATTTGTCAATTTGTATATTGTATAGTGATATTTAAGATTGATTATTTAGTGTGTAATAGGAAGGCCTCAGCATTCACCTGTTGTCTGATGGGATCAATAAGACCTATCACAGAGGGATATCTGCCCAGCAGCTCTGCCCAAAACTCAACCATATCTTCATAAGACTTCTGTAATCCTCCAATCACTTCATATTTGCCTTTTTCCTACAGAAAGAATCAAATAAATTAATATTTTACATCATCTGTGCTGTGAATGCATTATCAATGAAATTTATTAATTTAAGTTATCATTTTGTTATTGAATAATCATCATGCTGGCAAGAAACAAACCTAAATTGTATTATCTATCAACTGTTATAACTACACGTATCTCTGAATGAGGGACATATACCCTACCTATTACTGTACAAATTACATTTTAGTTCCACATATGAGTAAACCTTTGTTTCTAAATGTTTAAAAAAAAGCATAATCCAGAAAGTCTATTCAGATTTTCTTTTGCATTTTGAAGTTACTCGGGGGCCAGCCATACCAATTGCAAACTCAAAGATACATTATCCATTGCTTCATAAATCTGTCATGAGGACAACATGGCAAACAAACATGTATTGAAAAATACAAGTTCTTTTAATATAAAAATGACCTCTATGCATCACTTACAGCATCAAACCACTCATGTGCCCCACAATTTAGAACTATGTGGAAGTCTTCCCCAGGGGTCAGCTCTAGCCCTGTTATGGCATCCTGTAGCATGTCCAGTCCCTGCTCAGGACGGTCAATCTGGGGGCACAGTGACCCAAGGTCATTCACATTTTTCTGGATAATCTAAATAGCGTGAAAAAAAACACGAAAAAATTAATTTTTCACTTCTATTTTCTTTTGAGTGTTGTCTGATCCAGAAGATTGCAATGTGAAGAAGTTTTGATGAAACAATTACATTAATTTTCACACAAGCTTTAATGCATTTATAATATTATATTTCCAACCTGCAGTAATGGTTAGACACGAATATAATTGTGTTATAAATTGTTAAAAACACAGATACATTTACTAGCCATAAATCTTATACAAGGATTTAACTACGTAATGACAATCTTGTATCAGCTGACTGTTCATCACTGGAAAAGAATTTAAATTTATATCATCTGCATGCCAGGGGGCATGCAAAACCCTGATGAGATTGAAATGAAATTAATATTGTCTAATATGTTCTGTCAATAAAAAGGTAAAAAGAAAGACCTGCTAATGCATTCAAAATGATTATCCATCCTATTTAAAGAGGAAATGAAAAACCAGTCACATGCACTGCAACAACGTCTAAAAAGTAATCACTCCCAAATTCTAATGAATAAGAATTAATAAGAATTTTTTTCATAAAATGCACAACATTTTCTATAATTTTATTTTTAAAAATAAGTTATTCAAATTTAAATTGTCATTTATATCAAAATTCAAATCATAAATGGTAATATCACTAACCAACACTAGTGTTAAGAAGTTATAAGAATATTGAAATAAATCAAATGTCAAAATGCAGAGTTTATCATCTTGCATTCTGAAAGAAGAAATAAGCTGCATATGTAGCAAAAGAGATGTAGCGAGGAGAAAAATGTCATGTTTTCAAAGACCTCATCGTTGGCTGATGTCATCCTGGCACTCAGCCTGGCACTGAGTCTGGGGTCCCTCTGTATTGACTGAAAGTGCCGCTGCCAAATGCAAATTGAAATTAAATTATTATCTTGTTTGATCTGATGGCAATAGCGTCATTTTATAACAATTATTATTTTGACATATAAACTCAAAATTTTAACTACCACAACAAACTATCAATATCCATGTGTTTATGGAACTGCTGGTGCTGTCATCTACATTGCAGACTAATTCTGATGTGTAGGTAATATATCTCATAAACACTATGTATCATTTCTATTTACAATATTTCTTGGTACTAAGGCAGCAACCATTAAATATTTCAAGCTCTCTGTGTCTTCCATACACTCCCCCATAACTAAGACTCGTCAAACTAAGTTCCATGAGTCCTAACCATAAAAACTTAACTTGGCCAAATATAAAGAATGGGAGTCCCTGTCAGTGTTAGAGAAAATTACATGTTATTCAGTCCCTGTCTAACCTATCCAAATATTTTGTCCATCTATTTGGTCCACTAGCTAGTGATGCGTTCTGTCAGTAGAAAGTGTAAAGAAATCTATCAGACACCCTGTGCCCAGGGTTTGGTATGAAAGTTGTTAGCTCATAACTTTGTTCTTACTGTGTTATCAAGTTTAGTACAATTTTGTGAATATTGCTTACCCCAGCCTTTGCCATTAGTCCTTTTGCAATATTATTAGAGATGGTTGTCATGTGCCTCATAGCCTGAAAATAAATTTACCAACAGGGATTGTTAAAGAAAAAATATCTCAAAATGTAGACAGAGACATTTTTAATGAAAAAAACCACTGCTTTATGAGTTCACACTTTTTTTGCACTTGTGAATTTTCGTTAAATTTACAGATTTATTACTTATGCAGCAACATGAGCTACAATAAGTTACAATGTACACATGGTATATAAGTAGTTTATGTCTCATACATCAGCACACAGTTATTCTTTTCAGAATAAATAATGACAATGTGCATAAAATAATATAATAATAATTTGTTTATATTAAATTTACATTACATTGGCAAAATCTTGGATTTTGTACTTTTTACTATTTTAAAATTACTGTTTCAGTAGTCAAACTTTAATTTTATATATAAATACATCTCTTAATCATACTTATCTATAAACATTTATAAATTTTATATATTGTAAAATCTACCAAACATTATATGGATTTAAGACTTAAAAGACAGAAATACCATTATACCCCCATGGTGAAAACATGTACTGTAGTACTAGCAAGAGGAGTAGCAATGGCACGTAGTACAAATAGTAGTGGTAGTACATGTATGTCCATGTTTACCTCTTGCACTGGCATCCCAGGTTTTGGAACTAGCATGAATTCTTTAACACAATTCAACTTTCCAGGAAAGGCCTTTCCACTCTGAAGTATTGTAACCATGGGGAGAGGAACACAAAATTTAGATGGCATCTGGGAAGAGAAAAACAGTTCTGATACAAGTCTCAAAATATGATTAGATCTATATAAAACACAGTCACACATTGGATGTAGGAATAAAAAATGATGAACCAACCAGAATGACCAGACATTATGTCAGTGTGTGCAGTTCCTTTGATAGCCCTATTAGTAATACAACACAGTAACACAATTTCCATGCATCATACAGACTGTTTTAACTACCATACTGGTACATTGCTTTGAAATTGTTTAGACATCCTACCACAATGCAACAACAGTTTTAAAATGTCAAAAAAACACATCCCTTACCTTCTCAAACCTTAGACTTGCTATATGCTCATATAGTTCTACTTTCTTGAGCTGTGCAGCTGCCTGGCATACTGTAATAGACACTGCTCCAAGGCAATTGCTACCTTTGTACATTTCTTCCTTTGGCTCATCAGGAATAACCGCAACTGCTGGAGCTTTCCCCTTACCCCTTGAAAATTAAAATGAAAATACAACTGTCAAAATTCAATTAATACCCCCTGTTTGAGAAAGTAAAAAGTTAATATGCCGATACAATTTTTTTTCCAAAGATGCAAATCTCCTAAACAAGCAAAACATTCCACAACCAATCATTTACAAAATTTATCACCTGTATTATATGTACATTAAATAGAACAATTCAAACATCTTACTTTGGAGATTTAGGAGGTGATTTAGCTTTTCCCTTAGAATTAGCTTCCTCAGCAGCTAGTGCTGCAGCTTGTTCTTCTTCTTGCTGAGCTGCCAACTCTTGTTCCTTGGCCACACGCTCTTCAACCTCCTTCAACCTCATCCTCTCAATGATTTCACTGAAAATAAAACAGTAAAAAATGTAAAAAAATGAGTTTGCTCTAATACTTTTGCTTATCCTGAATTCAGGTCATATCAGTATATTACACATGACAAAATCCTGAAAAAATATAATCTTACACTGTTTTAACCTTTACTTGTTTTGCTATTCAAAGAAAAGAAATACAAATTTATTAATTTATTTGATCAGTTCATGAGTAGCACAAGGAAGACTTTGTTGTTGACAGCGGACACTGACTATATAATCTGATCCACTTCTTTCTGATTCTTAGGGTCAACTCCTTTCAGTGCAGCACTGAGGGATCCATTAACATGCTCCACAGCTGCAGTAACAAACTCCTGTCTCTCTGCGTCCTCCGTGTCCTTGTCCTCTTGGCGGGCAGAGTCTGGCAACCAATTCTGACTGGATAAAGTGGCAGTTGCTAGGAGCTGTTAGGAATAATAGAAATAAATAGAAATACATATGTACATGAATTATAATTATGTATTAAATTTATTTTACCTTAACATTAAATTTCCATTTACTTATCTGATGTGGGACATAAAATTTGAAATTGTGCATATGTTTTTCAGTAATCCATTAGATATAATATTTATAAGTAACTCAAGAGATATAATGCTTAATTCACATAATAAAATAAATATGCTCAGTTGGAGAGAGATTAGTTCATTTTACAAACCTGCTCAAAGTTCTTGACAACACAGTAAACTTCTGTCTGCACTGTAGGTTGTCCTTTACTATCAAATGCTTCTCTTGCTAAAAGCTAAAACATTTTGTAAAACCTATAAAAAGCATAAATCACTCGCAATAAACCCAAATTAGGATTTAAAAACAAACATGCACAATCAAATTTTCTATCTAATGTGTCAAGTGCATTTTTTTCAATTGGTTTGCCTTTAATTGAATGTTTGTAGACCTATCATCTTATTATGGCAGTTGATCAAGATCGACAATCTGTTTTTTTTTTCTTTTTTTTTTCTTTTTTTTTTTACCTTTGTGATTGTTGGCGTCTTAGAAAAACTTTCAAAGTAATTTGCCTGGAAAAGAAAAAAAGGATACTAAAAATATATGAAAATAGTACTATTTGCCCCCAATAAATGTGAATAACTTTTGTTAGCAATGATAATCAGTTCATGGCTAGCGCAAGGAAGACTGTGAACACAAAGAAGATTGACTTTGTGAACATTCGTCAATTCCACATTGAAACTGCTGCACTGAAAATCGATACAGGCGTCTTCGTTCAAGATTATTTTTCTTTGACTTTGTTCGATATTTAGATCGTCGAAAAACGCATAAATACCAACCACGTGTCCATAAGGATCATCTGGATCATCAGCGTACATTGTGTTGAGGATATCTTCCATTTTTTGTGGAACTCCATTCTCCTTATAGTACATAAGTACCTTCTGTTTCAAGTCATACATTTCCCTCACCTCCTTTTCTTTTTCACGAGAGGGCTTTGCACTAAGACTACTCATTTCAGTTTTTGGTAGCTTCAAATGATTAAGTTTCACCAAAATAAATTACTTCCTTGATTACCACGCAGGATATCTATGTTTTGCAATAGATGGAAATAACATTTAACTCTTTTGAAATCCTTTGTAAAAACGAAATAGATCAATGTTAGTTCGAGCTTCGAACTAGACCGCCATATTGCCTCGTTGCTATGCAGGTGTCTCACGGGATTTTAAAAATCCTTTCACATTTTGTCATCTTATGACATTTAAAAATCTGATTTGACATAAAAATATTGCTTGTAGTTCAAAACATATCTTGGCTGTTTTATTGTACGTAATACACACTCAGACTGAAAAATTGCCCCAGTAACCGGAAGTAGCAAGTGCACGTAGTGAAGGCAAACAAACATGGAGTAGAACGAACAGGAGCAGTGACAGCAATGTAATCTTTACAAGCTTAACAAACCAGTTCCGAAAAGTAATTTTCGTCAAGAACTAGGGTTTCATTGAAAGGATTTAACTACTTGGTGAAAATGGGCGAAAACCAGCCAAAGAGCTCCGCCGCGCCAGTGAGGCGAAGAATACGTTTAAATACTAAAAAACAGCACAATGAAGATGAATTCATGGCAGCTGCCATAGGAGACACCGAGTGGCTGAGGCAGAGTATCCGAGAATCAAGAGGAGAAATACATTACGACAAAAATGTAAGTGACTGATGGATTGCAGTTCCCCTTGAGTAAAGGTGACTTCTTACTGGGTTACAAGACATATTGTACAAAGTGCTGAAATACAGGACGTACCACATTGTCAAATCATGCATACATACTTAAAAGACATATGATTTAAAATTGGTAGTTAAAACAATAATATACATGTTGAAGATTGAGAAAATAACATTGATAGCAGAAAGTGGTGCATGAAAAAACAGAAATTGCATGAATGGTCTTTTGTCATCATTTCTATATATATATATACTGAGTATATATATATATATATATATATATATATTTACTAGTATATATGAACACAATGAACATCATTTTTTATACAGGGCTTAGCACCAATCCACTTGGCTTCTATCCATGGAAGGTTGGATTGCATTAAGCTTCTAGTAGAAAAATTCAAAGTTGATGTGAATCTTCCAAGCACAACAGGCTGGAGACCCATTCACCTGTGTATCAGCAACCAGACAGGGAAGCGGTCATTTGCCTGCCTTGTCTACCTTCTAGAACATGATGCTGACCCCAACATGTGAGTTCAATGCAATGCACCCTACATTATATTTATTGCACATTCACCATACCTGTTACAAACATTTCAAGTGTCAAATATTTTATATTGAAAAAATGTACAAACAGTGTATCTGCCTTTTAGTAGCACTAATGCTGTTCAGAGCTCTCATTTTTCAGCTGTTTGTCTGTCTCATTGCACCTTTTGAATGCATGACTGTCAAAATGATTACTAGTATTGCATGAGACTACAATCAATATTGTCATTGCATTAAAGCACTGCATGGTTCGCATATGTGTTGTTTCACTGCAACTTTTATGTTGTTGTTTTATAGCACCAATGATGACGGTGTAACACCAGTTCATCAGGCAGCAAGTGAAGGGCATGTTCAATGTTTAAAGCTGCTGATTGAGATAGGGGCTACCATTGATGGGATGGACTGTAGGGGACACACCCCTATTGTGCTGGCCAAACTTTGGGGGCACAGAAAAAGTGCTAGGTGAGCCCTGTGATAATATGGGTCTGGCAAAATGAGATTGTATACGGTGTTAAATATTGTAGTATATCCTTCTGAAGTTAGATCGTATAGAAGTAGTGATGATGCACGAGTATTCCCCTCTCTCTCTCTCTTTCTTTATTTGTGTGTGTGTGAATGTGGAGTGAAGCACTGTTAAGTACCCATACGTCTTAACTGAAGGTGCATTATGAAACCAAACCTTTTTCCCCTTGTGTTAAGGTCTGATGTCTTGCTTTTGCAGTTAGTATTTGTCAGAAATAATAATTGCTGTAACTCTGAATTTTTTAAAAAAGTATACCACCGCCAAAAATCAGAAATAGGTTAACACTTCTTAAATGATGTGCCATTGCTTCACTTAGGATTCTGGCAGCTGAACAGTGGAGCAGAGACAAAGATCACGTAGCCAAAGAAATGAACCAGCTGAAGAAGGTGAAAATGCTGCAGGTTTTGCAGGAGATGGAAGAAGAAGATGTGCACAAAGCAGAGCAAAAATTTTATGGTATGTGATGTGGAATGAAAGTTAAATATTGTCTGTGTTTTTAAATATTGTGCAATTTTTCTGTACATCTTATCGGGTAACCATCCAATAAAACCACTAGGGGTTATTTACTTTGTAACACATGGTTATTCATTCATTGCCATTGTGGTAAAGCATGGAAAGAGATAGTAGTTGTTCTGTCAAGAAAATATCTAAGTACTTTTTGTCATTTTTCATGTTATTTTAGGTGATGCAGCTTTCAAAAACTGGCTGGGAGAAAAAGGGTTGAAAACAACTCCAGCCAAACCACAACTGACTCAGAAGGAAAAACAAGATCAAGCAAAGAAAGCAGCAGCAAAGGCACTAGCTCAGAAAGAACAATCTAGAACAAAAAGTCAAAAATCAGACATTCGTGAAGAGGCAGAATGGAGACAGCAGTCGAGAGAACACACTAGGGAGTCTCTCTTTAAAGCAAATAGCAGGACACAAACCAGTAGGCATATGGATACATTCCCTATAGCTGAAGTTGAGCAGAATGGGAATATTTCTCCCAAAAAGGTTCAGGTAAGCACAAAATGTTCTAATTTTTATCTTGTTCATTCAAATCAATAATACCGACATAAATGAAACCAAAAGGCTTGCTTTCTATTTTTATATTAATCAATGCATAATGTGCAAAAGGATTTCATATAAAATCCTAAATTAACCAATCTTATGATTTTTAATTATTTAAGTAGTCTTATTTTTATCTGATCTACATTATTCATTTGCAGATCATCACCAAAGAAGACGTCACTGGGTCTCCACTTCCCCCAACCAGGGAAAGCACAAAGCGTTTAAAGACTGCCTCTACAGACACTTCATGGGGATATAATTTGCACGAGTCTCAGGCCCCAGGGTATGAAATCAGAGAATCCACACAACACACAGACACTGAGAAAAAGGAGTCTTTTTATAATCCTCTTGCATGGAATAAATCAACAAAGACCCCTGTACCTGAACATGTATCTCGTCTTAGGGATGCATACCCAAGAGACTTTTATACCATGATGCCNTAAACACTTCTTAAATGATGTGCCATTGCTTCTTTTAGGATTCTGGCAGCTGAACAGTGGAGCAGAGACAAAGATCACGTAGCCAAAGAAATGAACCAGCTGAAGAAGGTGAAAATGCTGCAGGTTTTGCAGGAGATGGAAGAAGAAGATGTGCACAAAGCAGAGCAAAAGTTTTATGGTATGTGATGTGGAATGAAAGTTAAATATTGTCTGTGTTTTTAAATAGTGTGCAATTTTTCTGTACATCTTATCAGGTAACCATCCAATAAAACCACTAGAGGTTATTTACTTTGTAACACATGGTTATTCATTCATTGCCATTGTGGTAGAGCATGGAAAGAGATAGTAGTTGTTCTGTCAAGAAAATATCTAAGTACTTTTTGTCATTTTTCATGTTATTTTAGGTGATGCAGCTTTCAAAAACTGGCTGGGAGAAAAAGGGTTGAAAACAACTCCAGCCAAACCAAAGCTGACTCAGAAGGAAAAACAAGATCAAGCAAAGAAAGCAGCAGCAAAGGCACTAGCTCAGAAAGAGCAATCTAGAACAAAAAGTCAAAAATCAGACATTCGTGAAGAGGCAGAATGGAGACAGCAGTCGAGAGAACACACTAGGGAGTCTCTCTTTAAGGCAAATAGCAGGACACTAAACAGTAGGCCTATGGATACATTCCCTATCGCTGAAGTTGAGCAGAATGGGTATATCTCTCCCAAAAAGGTTCAGGTAAGCACAAAATGATCTAATTTTTATCTTGTTCATTCAAATCAATAATACCGACATAAATGTAACCAAAAGGCTTGCTTTCTATTTTTATATTAATCAATGTATATTGTGCAAAAGGATTTCATTTAAAATCCTAAATTAACCAATCTTATGATTTTTTATTATTATTTAAGTAGTCTTATTTTTATCTGCTCTACATTATTCATTTGCAGATCATCACCAAAGAAGATGTCACTGGGTCTCCACTTCCACCAACCAGGGAAAGCACAAAGCGTTTAAAGACTGCCTCTACAGACACTTCATGGGGATATAATTTGCACGAGTCTCAGGCCCCAGGGTATGAAACCAGAGAATCCACACAACACACAGACACTGAGAAAAAGGAGTCTTTTTATAATCCTCTTGCATGGAATAAATCAACAAAGACCCCTGTACCTGAACATGTATCTCGCCTTAGGGATGCATACCCAAGAGACTTTTATACCATGATGCCCCACAAGGATGCAGCTCCCAAAGAGCTTAATATCCGACAAGGTCCTGTTGTAGAGTTAGATGAGAAGTCAGGACTGAAAAGTGTCCGAATGCCAGACTTACCAAGGGATGTTATCATGAAAGCATTAGCTAAAGACCCATTAAAGTATGAGAGACCAGTCCTGTATAGATGTAAGAACATTATTGATGCTCAGACTAAGAAAAAATACACACCAGATAATTCTCCAAGTAGAAGTGAAGCTGGCATTCACTTGTCAGATGACCTGAGGTCACATTTGGTCCAGTCAGGATTGGAGAGGGCAGTTGCTGAGGACCTAATGAGAACCTTCAGCGCTGGGAGGTCAGGGTTGTCCAGCACCACTGACAGTGAAGTGGAACGGATGGTGCAGACAATGAAAAGAATGGCCAAACCATCCCACTTTCCTAACACAGGTGGTGAAGAGTACGATATAAACTTTGGAAATTTGACTTGTATTTAAGAGCATAGTGATTGTTTTATGCTACCAGTTTATTGCATTTAAAAATCAAGACTTAGAAAACAGTTAATATGAATTTTTTAAAAAACATTTTTGCATGACTAAGAGGTTTCAGAAGAGAAAGTGCCAACTGCCCGTTTTTGCAAATCAAGGGAATGTCACCAAAACATTAAATAAGTAGGTTCACATTTGAATATCTCATGTACTATAATGTTTGTGCCAAATGTATTGTGGCTTATTAGTTCTGCTGACAATATATTTTATAGAAATAACCTTCTGTAAAGGGTTTGCAAACTTATGCTTCAGTTACTAGTACTTATTCAAAGCCATGAATCAGCAAAATAGAACTCCCATGAAATGATAGCTCTTTGAGTGGTACAGTCAAGTATATGTTCATTTGCAGCAAAAGTGGCAAATAATTAACATTGTAAATTTTTTAATATGCCAATGGTTTGTGCTCTACAAGCAACTTAAACAAGTGAAATCCTTTCTTTTTGTACTTTTATTTGCCCATTTTATATTAAACTTACTCCAATATCAAAACTGACAGGTTCAGTTGCTAAAAGAAACATACACATCAGGTCACCCTTACATGTGTTTGTATTGAAGCACATTTATTTCATGTAAAAAATGAAACTTTTTCTAGGATAAACTCAGAAAATGTCACAAAATATTGCATGAGCTAATCTTTATCTGCTTTTCAACAAGGCAAATTTATCTAATTATGGCAAAAGCTTCTGAAATACAAGTATAGCAGATATGCTTCAAATATACCAAACTTTTTTTATTTTCACCTTCCAAGCAATATGGCATTTTATGCCTAGCCAATAGTATCTTATCAAAGATGGGAACACATTATGCTAAGATGAATACAACAAACATACAGAAACATCAACCATCTACATTTTGCCATCTCTAGGAGCCCTGCACCCTGCTCAGCCTCACACACATATACCAGTGGCAAAATAAATAAAGTTTAAAATTGGCACTAAGGTACATAACTTAGTTTATTAACAAATAACAAGCACATGAAACATTTGTAATATCTGGGAACAACATTTTATTTTTTCCCCTTTAATTCACTGCTTCTTATTAACTAAACCATCCTACTAACAATGGACATTCTTCTTTTAAGTATTTCAGTGTCTGACCTTACAAAAATGCATTTTATATATATTGCTTACCTATTTAACCTCACTCCTCTTGCTTAAATAGCCCCCACAACAAAATTAACTAAAAAATATTACCAAAATCAGTAGAGATCCACCATCTTGACCATTATGGGCACCCAAATACTGGTTTCCACTACTTTGTAAAAACCACCATTATTCCGTTTCTTGACAAAGTGACTAGAGCACTCCCTAATGTCAATCTATTTACTAAAATTGCATATAAGATGCTCAAAGCATAATAAAGAGTGGACACATGAAGTATGCAATATAGATATGCCAAATGAATATTTATATCCATTGATAAATTTGATATCAAACTTTTGATCCATGCTCCATCCCTTTAGTTGTATAGTTGTGGCTGGAAAAGTGTGTCCCAATCAATACGACTTCTTGACTCTCTGTGGAAGAATAGTCTCTTGGGCACTTTTAAGAAATGAAAGCAGTCCAATTTTCTTTGATTTCCTTTTAAAATAGCTTGTTACTATATCACCTTCATCTGTAAAAAAAAATTACACAAGAACAGTATTTATAACTTATTAAGATGATAAAAAGAGAAGATGAGAGATATCTGATGGATCTTATTTTCAATGACGCAATCAAACTTGTTTTCTGAGCTCAAACTGTTCGAATATTTTCATACATTGCATTAACTGGAAAATTTAATATTAATTTCAAATAACCAAATACTGAAACAATCTGTTGTATCCATATCATTTGAGGCACCTGCAAGATGACATGAAACAAGGGATCTCTTACCAGTAGTTTCATCCCTCTCAGTTTTATCTGATATTGTTGGAAGGACATTTTCATTGGCAGACAGGGAAACAAAATATCCAAATGGAACTAACCACAAACAAATTGTGAAAAAACCAAGAACCTGAAAAATAAACAAAAAAGAACACATAGTTATACAAACAGAAATGAAGAAGTTAACTGTGTCTAATATCAATGTGTCAATGACAGAAGTGGTTAAAATATAAAAAAATTGGAACCAGACATTTTCATGATGCCTTGCACTACAAGTGATTACAGAAAAGGTATCAACATATTTTCAACGCTGAAGTTCATCCCTACAACTATTTCATTCATCAGTTCATTCACTTATCTATTTACTTTATTTGCGGATTCATTATTTATTTGCAGTACCAAAGGATACAAGCATCCTCTCAACTTACCTCTGAGAATGGATACCAAACAGTGGCAAAATGGGAAAATGCCAAATAATGATTGATGAAAAGTAGAGCTAAAAAGAGGAAATAAAAAAGGGCATAAAGATGATCCTCAAAGTATAGGTTATGGCTTAGCTGAAAGTGAGGTCAAACTATAACAAAGGCAGATTCTTAATTCCTCATTTTGTTCATTTTACTTCATAGTTACAGTCAGTAAACTAACAAGTACAAAGCAGTGATACACTTATAAACTAGAGGATCAGAGAGGCGATACCGCCTCCGAATATTGTACCACCAGCTGGAGCAAGCGCATTCGTATAGACCCCCCACATACACAAAATAAGGGACACAGCCACCAGNCAGCGCTAACGCTGGTGGTACAATAATAGATACACTCATGATCACAGTTGCAGTAAATTTGCATACTCAACAAACCAGAATAATTGAAATAAAAATTCTTCACTCCATTTGTTGTCAATTCCAAACTTACAACTTTGTTCCTTTATTCTCTAGGATTAAGTTATGATGGTAACATTATGTCTTAGATGTACATCTTCAACACTGTTATGTGCTTAGTTTCAAACAAGTAAATATTTTTACTTAGGTACATGCCACTTACCTATGCCAGCCAAAAATGTTGGTGAAGTAAATTCAATCACTGGGAAAGTGTTTAACATTAGATAGTAAACACCATTAGACAGCAAACCAAGTGCTATTAAACTAAATGGTAAGTCTTCAAAGAGCAGCAAACCAACGTAAACACATGTGCTTATCTGGAAAAAAACAAAATTCCATATGTGACATTGTTCTTGTTACTCAGAACATACAAATATTGATGAGGAAAATACATCATATATGGAAGATTATCATGGTGTTTGAATTACACGTCAACTCACAGATACTGTGTTATAGTGTTGTATTCTATACAAGATGCAGAAAATATGGAGAATATTACATGTACTGTACTGTACTACTAGAATTAACCATCATAACATATCAAACTACATGGTTTGATCAGTAATTTCTGGGAAAAGTTTTAAAGAAAAATGACAGTATTGTGCTTTACTGAGCAAAACTAATAATTTTATACCCAAAAATATTATTTCTTGATTAATATTCATTTCATGGCCAAAATGATGCAAACAATATAAACAATTAAATCTTAGCCTCAATGTGAATGCATGCAACCTACCACAATTAGATATTTCAGTATTTTGCCAGTCATAGTTGTATACTCCTCCACCAATTCAGCCAAATAATACAACCCTGCAGCTAGAAGAGGCAAAATCATGTATTTAAAAAACAAACTGAAACAAAACTGGAAAACATTTCAATAGAAATTACACCCCAAGTACGATTTTCTTCAAAAGAACTACATTTAAATACAGATTAAATTTCAATGATCAGCAAAATAATTTCGAAGTTCAATTTAATGACTACTTCCCTTTACGTACTACACAGCATCGTAAGACGTTACCAGTAATGAGAAATTCAACATCCACAGAGCAAGTGTGTGGGTTAGGAAGGGAGATGCTTAATAATAATTTGCATAGCTTCGAAAATCTTTAATGTCACTGACCTATTGCCAAAGTCAAGAAACATAGTTGTACCACAAAGGCCAACCAGCTCAATAAGACCATAAACCACATAGTTCTCTTGTTGCTTTTCTAATTCATAACCCTTGTGTGAGATTCTATCACGCCAAATCACAGGTTCACTGCGCGCATGATCATTTTACATATGACTTCCGGTTCCGGTATATTTGAGAAAGTTGCTTCACTCAGAGAAATCAGAGGTTAAATATTTAAAAACAAAATGTCTGTCGTACTTCAAAATTAAGTAACGAAAAGTATGCCTAGAAGAATATGTGTTCCAAGCCTGAAGCGCTGTTGTCTCGTCAATGTCGTCAAAAACATGGACGACGTCTGGTGCAAGGAGAGCGCAGAGATGTTTGCAGAGAACCAGCAGTGGTTGTATGTGTTGGGGCCCTTTGAACATCTAAGTAAGCCAGAGATTGCGACATATCTTATTTAACCGTACGATATACGTATTGAGTCATGAACATTATGCTAAAAGCAGAATAGAGTGATTTTTCCTGTGTGTGTGTCTGTGTTGGAAGGGGGTGGGGGGTCTAAGCTGTCAGTTAGAACTTTCCAAAAGGTCATAATGTACCAGTAAAGATATAAAAAAATATCTATCTGACCAATGAGCTACCGTACTATTTTTAGCACAAAATTATGTTATTTTTCTTCCTTATTGGACCGATTTATACTGAAGAACTTTTCAAGTTACACAGAAAACATTGATTATTTTGTGTCAATAATTGAATTTTAATATTTACTTTCAGCATCGGACACCATTCAGGAGATAATTGATGTGTTGATTGAGAAGAAGACAATTAAAAGGATTCATCTTCAGTTGTTGCTCCAGACCAGGATCCAGAAGCTAAGAGTAGATGTCCAAACAGGTGGACTTCAGACTTGCATTGTACAGTTAGTTGGATGGAGATGTAGGGTATGTGTATAAAATGTGGCTTCAAAGTACCAAATTCACGCCTTAGCACTCTAATTGACAATTTTGATATGTTGCATAGCATACAAAATTGTCAAAAGGAGTGATAACGCATGAATTTTTTGTTAGTTTCTTCATTGTTACATTTAGCCTTGAATAACACAAGAGAGGACTGTTGCTAATGTCCTAAATAAATATCTTAACACTTTTTGAATACTGTGTTTATTTTGTCAAAGAGAGCTGATTCATTCATGACATCCACAGTTTTTGATTAATGAATATAGGTTAAAATGATTAGAGGTGGTTTTCACAATTCAAATTAACTAACGAACCACTTGTGATGAAGTTGTTTCAGTACAGTTAACTATTATTTAATGACATCAATTGGTCTTCCTTTCAGAAATTGACAAAGCTTGACATCAGCAGCTGCAGGCTTGTTCCAGCCAAGTCCCTGGCTGAGATGGTGTCAGGTATTCCTGACATAGTCTCCCTGAACCTGAACAATACTCAGAGCAATGACCAAGTGCTATGTAGGATAGCAGTCCACTGCAGGAGGCTAAGAGAACTGAATGTAGCATACTGTAACATCAAAGATGCAGGTGCTCTAAGTTTATGTGGAGGGTCAACACCAGACACTGTTGATACAGGATGTCCAGAGTTGATAACATTAGACTTTGAGGGGACCAATATCTCCCAAAAAGCCCAAATTATAATACTGTCATCTTTACACCACCTCCACAACATAAAAGCCCCATCACTTTTTCAGGCTATACAGGAATTGGGCTGCAGCGATACAAGAGACCTAAGTAAGCTTAGGAGCTTAGATGTTGAGGCAACCGATGAGGATATTGCTGCAATCCACTTGCTATGCCCAGGATTAGCCAAGCTATATTTGACCTGTCTTAGGGTGAATAACCTAGAAGTCATCGCAGAACTGAGTCATCTTCAAAGCCTGACCCTTCTGGATGAAAACCAGTCTTTATCTTTCACCAAAGTTGTTTATCCTGTTTTGAAACTAGCAGGAGCAAGGTTAAAAAGTCTCATTCTTTTAGATGTGTTCCCAGTAAGCATTTCATTTATAGGAAGTGTGTGTCCTCATCTTGGTCACTTTGGTTATTGCTTGTACAGACGCAGGGATGCCAGTTCTCTAGACTATCAGGTTGCTAATCTGAACATGGACGCACATGTAGGTCAAAAGTATTTCCAACATTTAATGACATTAGAGGTTTCCTTGATTGGAAGGAGTGTGGGTTTAGATGGAATGCCAGGACCGGAGTATTTGACCAGGATAGATGTGAACTGTCTTCTCAGTCACTGCTTGGGTCTGAGGGACATAAACTTTAGAAAGGTTCAAGCTTTCAGTGATGAGGTCTTTTCAGAAGTATTCACTACCAATCGCTTTTTAACCACCAAGCAGTTTGCTCTAGATAAATGTCATGAAATATCAGACCTGTCCATAAGGTGCCTAGTAGAACAGGAGAGTGATCTTGAAGTGCTTAAACTGTGGAAGTGTAAGAAAGTGTTCAGAGCTCATTTCATGAACTATGAAGATTATGCACAGCGTAACCATCTAAACTTGAGAGTACAGTGGACCTGATGTGTCTCACATTAAGACCACATAGGTTGATTCCAGATATGACATTATAAGGATCAATATATGTGCTGTTTGAATGGACCAATATTATTGGCTTCTTAGCCAGGGGCTCTTTTAGGTGCAATTTATTCGTAGGCAGATGTGAAACTTGAAAATATTTTGAAATTTTTTACAGCCTTGAACAAAGTAAGCCTGTGGCAGTCTGTGCAATGTTAAAGGGATAACAACTCTTCATTTTGCCCAGAAAAGTGCCATAAAATAGATTTTCCTGGGGTAAATGACAGTTTTCCCTAACTAATACCAATGATTAATGAATCCGTCCTACATTGTGTTGATTGTTTTTTTTTTAGAGTTTCATTGTAATAATCTCTTAAGACTTAAAGATTTTGCACAGGGTAGCCATCTATGAAGGTCCATGAGGTCTGATGATGAGCACAGATATCAGAATAATTGCCATATTTTGGTGGTAAAATGGAATTTATTTTATTTCTTTGTGTTGTTTACAATGTATTTATTGTGGAATTTTGAATTTCATATGAAAAGTTGTTATCCTTTTAAACAAGATGTTAAGAAATGCTCTCGAAGAAATTGAAACATATTGCAGTCTTTTATGTGCAAATATGATACCATTAACAAATCACTGATGGTATTTTACCTAAGGGAAATAAATATAAACTTAAAAAGATCAAAAACATATTAAAATTTATATTAAAAGTCATTTATTGATCTCTACATATTGTAGATAAAATTTATTTTAACCATTACAGACAGTGCCAATTGCCAAAGAAAATATATAAAATGCTATGAAAAGCAGTTCATTACTTTTATAATATAAGCTCCAAATACCCCAAATAAAGACAGTCATTATGAAGTTATATGAAGTATTGGTTTACATATTTAGAAACCCTTATACAGGTGCTTTTCATGAATGTTTAACAAATTGAGCTATTGAAGAAATCTGCAGCCTAAAATAACAATTAACTGTTTCATTGCATTTTTCCTGACTCTTGGATAATAAAAACTGAGGTATACCAATATAATTTCAGTATAGTCTATAGTATATCCTATCATACTAAGGATCCCAAATTGGTGCTCTATTAAACCTACTGCCTAATGTGCATTTAGTTTGGTAACTATCTACAAGATGGTCTTCTTCCACAAACAATTCACAGCTCTGTCTGTCACTAAAATTGCCTTATTAAGAATCTTCTTGACATCTTGGAATAATGAGCCAGTCTATTCACAACATATAAAAATATGTTAATAAGAGTGCCAGTATTACACAGCAAATATACACACATATCTTGAATGTTCTTTGGAGTTTGAGTGTTGCAATATTAAGTGCTGAGGATTGGAACATTTGAGGCATTCATGTCACAATGGATGAGAAGTAACTTTTAGTTACGGTATATTAAACCAATTCATTTTTAATTTTCTGGAAATCAATTGCTTTTTAAAGACATCAATGAGAGAAGTAACATACAATTGTAATATGAAAAAAGCTGCAAAGGATTTATCTGATAAATGCATTGTATAATGCAAAAGAATGTATGAAAGACCAAAATATTTTTTAAAATGATGAGCAACTTTAAATTCTGTCACATCTAAAAAAGAGATGTTGAATGAAAATAATGTTTATATATATATCGATACCTTTCTCACTAGCAGTGGCACAGAAAGCTTATATTTCTGATTATTTAAACATAACTGTCTTCATCATTCAGTATCATAGATATTTTAATATGCATGATTGTTCTAGTATTATCATCTCTGAGATAACACCCTTAATAATTAGCTATGCATATTTCCATCAGTTTTAGCAGAGACATTATTTGAAGATACATATCCGGGAGACAAGAATCAAACATTAGCATAAAAAATGTTGCCATGTTCAACTGACGTAATTTTGCCACCTGTCTCATATTGTGCTTTTTATCTAAGTTGACCATGATGAGTCTAAATTCCTGCATTGTCTGGCATGCACACCAGTGTTAAAACTATTCACATGACATACCAACTGCTACTGTATTCCTGCCTTGCAGTAACCAAGACTATTATTGATACATCATGAGTTAAAAGCAATATTCTATTACCTATGCAAGGTAAATCCAATAGATAAAAGTAAATAATGTTACTTTTCACTCATTTCATTATATGATATATTCACGTCACGTGTGCTATTACGATCTGTAGATTTTCACCACATCCACAATAGGTTGACGACATATGGGGCACAGAGAGCCCTGCTGGTTAACCACATCATAGGCACAGTTATAGCACATACACATGTGTCCACACTTATATAGTACACTGTCAACAGGGTTTTCATAACACACTGTACATTCATTGGGATTATAGTCATCATCCTCTGTTCTATCACGAGAAGAGTCAGTAGACATGGAGCGCTCAGGTAATGGCGGTGGATTGTGTGAGGGCATGTCCATGACCCCGTCGGCTACCTGCTGTGGCGTCGGTGGTGCTGGTGCCACTGATAAAGGAATCAAGGGTTCTGGGCTGAGAGGGGGCCTAATGGGGCGTCTTGGTTCCACATGGGGTGGGGTAGACATCTCAGCAGAGGCACTGGTGCTCCTCTGTGGAGGCAGTATTGGATTGCGGGGTGGTAACATAGGTGCAGAGTTCTCTCGTGGTAAGGCCACTGTAAGACCACTTGAACTGGATGAGCGTGAAGATCCACCAGCACTCTCTGAACGGACAGGCCTGGGGATGGTAGGCCCAGCAAGCCCTGGAATGGACACACAATATATGTAAAATGATTAACTGGTGAATTTCATCAGAAAACTAACCTGTAAAAACATTCCATTTAATTGAATAATAAACTTTGTATGCACCTTGTCTAAAAAAGAAAGGATATTATATGACAAAATTTTACACACAAAATCTTTTAATTACTAAATAATTTCTAGTGATTGTTTTACTAAATGTAAAAGAAATTGATGGAAATTATTAGACATTACATTGAGATAATAGTGTGTAAACTTGTAACAAACATTTTAAGTCAAGAAATAGGATAAAATTTGTGTTTAAACCTCATAAACTTACCCAACATTTTGATTTTCTGTGTATTGCCATAAACATCAAAGAAGGCCCACAGAGGCAGTGTCTTGTCCACATGCATCAAGACAGCAATGTGTCTGCCATTTCGGCCATAATAAACTTCACCTAGAAACAAAAAATATTTATTTTCTTTATTAACTTACAATACACATTATAAATGTGAACCGTTTATAACATTCCACTAGACTTCAGTCTCTATTTGAAAGGGGCAGAGCATGTTTGTTGCAAGGGTATTACAATTACAAATTTACAATCCATCTAATAGTAACAAAAGAGTCAAAATATTTCAGATGGTCATTTCAGACTGTTATGTACATAAGGTAGCAGCTGCACTAGGTAATTGGAGGTAAATGATTGTATAGATCATTATTAGTCTTGCATAACATGTCTACAGTATTTACACTCCAGATACCTATGGTTCTTCAGCATGTACATTATCCATCAACATTTGAAATAGAAAAGATGGCTTTTGACAATCTGTCAAAAGGCTTTGTTTTGAATGAACTCGGAAAAAAGGGGGAGTAATTGCATAGATTAGTAAGGAAGTAAAGGTCCCAACAGACCCCATGACAGGGTCAGCTGATTTCACCTGGGACAAAAGCCTACAATTATGTTTATGCTGATAAAATCAACTTCTATTTCCTAAAACAATTTAGGAAATCTGCTGATAACAAATTTTAAGTAAAAATGATTTATTTTGGTCAATAAGACATGAAAAATGGTGGTCGTACCAAAAGGTACCATCAAAGCAGCCTGGATGCATTTAACTTCTTCAAATGAAAACACTGCCTGTAATGCCTGCTCATTAATATACAGAACAGGTACATGAAAACAGACCATATTGTGTGTTCAGTAGGGATAATTTGGGTAGGATAGCTGAGTATACAGTTAAGTAAGTTAGCTTCTTACCTTCACTAGACATAGTAAAACTTAGTTCATCTCCCAGTTCTGCCAGACTGCAAACATCTTTATTCACAACCCAATACTCTGGTCTATCAAGCAAGAGATCAGAGTCATCTGGAAGCTCACTTGGTGTCAATGCAGAGGGATCACAGGCTGTCAGTCCGAATGCTAACCCTCCTACATATGTCCTGTCTATGCCAAGAATTTGTATAACAATTTTCTCCCCACACCGCAGAGGCTTTGAAGTAAACACATAAGCATTGCAATATTCATCCGAGGGTCGAAAAGCAAGAGATCTGTCACTTGACAAGCAGACATTTTTTCCTGACATTGTATGAAATGGAAGTGGTGTAAATCGCACATCCCTGTGGAAGCGTACAGGCGGGGGCGCTGCTGGTCTTGCAGGCTGTGGGGGAGGCAGCACATGCTGCTGCTGTTGCTGCCGCAGCACCAACTGGTTGTGATTCTGCTGGGCATGGATAGGTTGTGGTGAGTGCTGAGCTGGGGGCGTCACATTGAGGTTGTTGAATGGTGGAACCAGGTCTGAGGAATACCTGCCCTCTGTCTGCATCATCTGCCTGCAGTCTGAAAACATGACACACATGGATTTTGAGATAATTCAATTAAAACACAGCTTTGATTTTACATAAACAAAGGAAAAATTTCTTTAAGAGACAAATAGAGACAAGAAATGTGTATGACATGGTTGCATGTTGAAAGTATTTGTACTTTTTTGCATCTTAAGCTTTTCACACCTTACATCTGGCATAAAAATGTTCCTTTACATAAGTAAATACTCCAAAGTAAAATGAACACCAAGTCATCCACGACTGTATAAATATTTCATAGTTTTAAACTCACTGGCATGAAATGATCAGTACACTGTTAGTATGCAGCTATTGGCTTAGATTTTGAAATACCAAACTTGGCATTAAGTTTTATATTGGCATGGCACATGCAGAATTTAAATTTAATAAACTATAACAGTAAGGGCCTATCTTTTAGCATTTTAAGTACATAGCAACAGTTCTAAAATTTAAACATGAGTAACACATAACAAAACAAAGCCTTTAATCTTGTAAACCAAGTATGTATATATGCAAACAGTGGATAGACTTTATAATTCTATCAGTAAACAGGACAGTTCAAGATTGAGCATATTTAAGCAAAGGTGCTCTTCTTTAGTTCAAGCATACAAAAAGCCTGTAGTGCCACGTCATGTGCTCTGCTGTTTGTGTGTGCTACATAAAAGCTGCTTTCCAAGGCAGACAACTGACTGCTTATATTGATTTTCTTCAAATAACCTCATTCTTTCTCATAACACAAATATGTGTCTCACACAAATATAAAAAACACAGGACATCAATCTATCCAAAATGCACAGCAGGTTATTTTATATAGAGCAAAGTGTCATGTGATGAGCATGAAAAATAAGACATCGGTCTTATATTTTTTTTTTCTATTTGAATCATTGCATCATAACGAGACCTCTCTTTTTAAAAAGACTATCTTGATAAACACTATGGTGCCAGCTTCACTTGATGTACAATGCTTGAACAATATACACACTCAGCTAGTTCACACAATTACCTTTCTTTTTCTTGAATATGGGCATATTTTCATAACAACTAACTGTTCCCACTGTTGTCAAAGATTCATGTCACCACTTACACCAAAGCCAGGCAGATAATCATTGATTACTTCCCGATTCTGACAGTAATGCATTCATTAAAATCCAACAGGTCACCCATGGAGACACTTCTTCCACAGATGAGTCCAAAAGCACCAACATGCAAGTTGCTATCCTCCTTACTAATAATTGTGTCGTCATACACTGACTCAGACTGTAAATCAATTATTGTAATTTCAACAGAAATCATTAGATCACTGTGTAATGCAAACAGCACAGTGTGCAGTGTAGTGCAGGTAAAAAGGTTCAGGTGAATAGGAATATGTGAGAGGTTTCGACAGCTGCGCAGCAGTAAGAGGATCAGACAGACTTCATGCAAATGTGAAGCTTCATCAGTGTTTACAGGCTAAAAAGCTTAGGTACAAGTGAAAAGTTCAATGTGTTTATTATAAATCTGGAAAGAAATGTTGACATGAAAAGGGTAATTATATCCAAAGACTGAACAAAAACTAACTGCAAATTTTATGTTGTGATAACATATTATACTGGTATGGTTGACCCTTCAAAAAACTTGTCTGAGTTAAAAGGTTGTCTAGGGTAGTCATACAGGTGAATCACGTTCCACTCACCTGCTATGCCATGTGACATGGCTCCACAGACATGTTTATTTACTCTACCATGCAGCATAGTGTATGATCGCCAATGAACAGCACTCAAGTTGCCTAATATGTATCTTGAGCTACCTTCCAATTGTGTGAACACTTGCATTCCACAAAAAGGGTGAAATCTTTTATGTGGCATTACAATATCAGATTGGATGTCCAAGTATATCCTCAAAATGCAATCCATAAGCTGGCAACTTTTGATATTCTCTATTGTATCCTTGCTTTTAAATTTAATTGCCTTCAACCTATTGTACACCTGTTACATGTACATGAATCATATGCACTATCAGCAAAGAGTCATTAATAATCACTGATTAATTCTTAATTGCTATCAACAACTGCCTGGTCAGAAAATTATGCGCACAACTGAAATACCTGCTCCTCTCACCACCAGCCCTGTTTCTGTCTTACACAGGACATGAGACGAATCCTAACCCACTGTCTACCAGCATACAACACAGACGGCAATTTGTTAAGCAACTTTGCGTCACTGTCTTGGTATTCTTCTCCAGACATGTCATATATCAAGTGACTGCAGAATGGCACCTATTTGTAGTCCATATATAGCACTCTATCTCACTCTCCTCCAGTGACACTCTGCTGTCTTCTTCAGACCTCTACCCAGAGTGGCAAGACTGGACATTCTTACTACAACACCTATGACTACTGATATGGATCAAAATCCACTGGTACAAAGATGAAATTCATATAAATAATGGATAATTTTTCTATCATAATAATAATACCAATTTTTATTTACGCAACTCTAGTCATACTGGTAACTTTGAAATAGCCAAATTTTTAATACTCAAATGCCACTGCTCATTGTTTGACATCACAGACTGTGAAAAGCGTCCCACTGACAGTGTTCCTGACACTGTTCATTTGCCAATTTATAGATCCATATTTCATGTGACCTTTACTTTAAGATTCCATGCACCTAACATGTATCCTTGTACATTGGAGTGCATATATATATTAAATTCTTTCCTTATTTTCCTACATGTACATAAATATGGAGATGGATGCAGAACTTGGGGTGTACAAAAATATCTGCACACTAATTTTTGTACAATTCATTTGCTATCTGCTTCATTTTCACAGTGTGTTTGTCACACACAATAATGAATTCTTGCCATCCATGAGGTTTTTGATTGCATGTTCTAATTTTTCAGACAATTACCCAAACTGACAAAAATTTACATTTATTCAAATTTTGAAAAATTACGTCCACAAACCAAAAGTGCAACCATGTAATAAAAATCAAAGTCAAATTGTTATCAGTGTGCACATGCAGCTTAGCTTTCTAGGTTAGCTTAGTGCTTAAATTATCATTTTCTGAAATTTCATCTTTTTGACAATTTATTTGGTAGCCTATTAAAACAAATCTCCCAATCACATGTTGTACAAAATCTGAATGTTTTTCCTTTTTTTCTTAAGCTGGAGTTACTTTCTCCCTAGCTGTCCCATTAGTTTAGCATTGAAGCTTTTTTATGTCAAAATAACCAATTAAAAAAAAAAACAACAAAAAACAAGATATATATCAATAAAAAGTGGTGGCTAATTTCAGTTTTTAATTTTTTTCAGATATCAGGAAACATTGCCTGTTTCTGTAACTATTTGAACAAAAGGTACATCAGCTTGGTGCTGGGCCCTTGCTGGTTACCTGCAGAGCTGCATAGAGTACACTATATACAGAAACATTGCTGGAATACCAAGAGTCCCATACTAACAATGTCTGGCACTCAATTAACAAAGGTGTTCACAGTTTTCTCGCTGCAGTAATATTTTCTCACACTTGTCACGGTCTCTACTGTGTCAAACTCCCATCACTGTCAGTAACGGCCTACATTATGTCAATTATTTTGACCTCCTGAGTATTCTTCTACATAACTCTTACATTATATATTATTACTCTATATCGTAAAGGCACATGACATGTGCTTACACAGCTCACAACTACATGAGTATTCAGTTAAAATATCAACCATGCCAGATTGCTATATCTTTTATCACTGACAAAATGAACATGAATAAAATTGTAGGCATTTCTAGTTACTTGTCCTCTGTTGATACCCACTGAGGCAAAACCAGTTTAAAATCACTGGTAGAGGAGGGAGATAAAATGATGGCTGCCTAGCCTAATTTTCGCAAATTGTTGGGAGAGAGTATGTTATTTTACTTATCTTATACTGACAGATACAATTATTCTTCATGCTTCGACTAGCAAGGAGGCTTCCTGTAGGATTATAATTGAATCCTGCTAGATTTTCAGCCAGTGTACTCTTACACAATGCTACTTTTGAAGAAAATGTGACATATTCAAAATTTGGCTGGCACAAATATTACTGCGACCAAGCATCCTTGTACATTATCACAATAGTGCATTTATTTTCATAACAAAATTTCCTCAAGATAAAACAAGATAATTGAGGATGCACTCTACTCATGGAAATCAAGCTGTCAACCTATTGCATAATTATCATGGGTTTAACTATTGATAAACTAAAGCATCCAGACACTGATAAAACATCTATGAAGACAGCTGCTAGTCTGCCTGATTGTATCTACATAATAACAGCCAAATACCATCAAAACTCACAAAAGACTATTACACATTTGCATGATTTGATAAGAGAACTCTTTGCTATGCTTTAGCTACTTTGTTTCCTTAAGTTTACTCTGCCACTGTGAGGAATGTGTAAAAAGTCAAGTTTAAAAACCTGGCAGAAAACGGTCAAAAATAACCAAACATGATGATACCATTATCTTATCAATAAGAGTATGAACACTGTTCATAAATATCCAAATGACAAACATTTATATCAGAAATTAAATATTTCATATCCAAAGTGGCTCAAGTGTTATATATGTTATAAATACACACATTCATGTACCTTGTTTTATGATACATATATAGATTTATCATTTAAATTACCCTTTTGTTTCAATTATGGTTGAATACTAAAATGCACATTATATCTCTGCACACATCAGTAATCTAAATAGCTCTATGTAAGTATATAATATCATCACTTGGGGAACCAACTTCACTCCAGTAAACAAATAAAAAAAATCCTTTCCAAACTTACCCAAAATCTCCACTGCTATGGTATTGCCATAAATGTCTATAATGCCCCATAATGGAACAGTTGTACTAACTCCACTGAAAAATACACCTTTTTCTTCTCCATTTATGCCAAACATGACATCTCCACTTCGAGTGACATAAAAATAAACAATATTGTTTGGTTCTCCATAGCGCTCACTCAGTGCCTTAGCCCAGTTTCCTGGCTTGTTAGACAGGTCTGGGCAGGCATACCTCGGGAGAGTGGTTCCATTTATAGTACTTGGGTCTCTACTAGTAAGACCAAACCTTAGCACTCCACTCCAACTGGTTGATACTTCAGAAAATTTCAGATAAACTCTTTCTCCAATAGCTATGGGTCTGTTGGTAAAGCAAATTCCTTTGCAGTAGCTCTCTGCACGCCTGGCTATTCTCTTGTCAGGCGAGAGGATACAGTTTTCACTGTGAGTAGTATGGTAAAGAAGGGGTGCATTTCTTGGTCCATGACCACTGAATTCAGAGGGTCCTGAAAATATAACCAGCAATCTATGTGAATATTTCACAAAATGTATGTATCAATTAGTATGTATGTATGTATGCATGTATTAGTTATTTTGTTGACATTCTGAAGATATATAAAATAAAATTTAGTCTACAGCAATCATACAATCTCACCTTTTCACAGTCTTATAAAATGTGAACTGTATAATAAATAGTCTCTCGATTAATTATCCAGACAGAATCTTTTATAAGATTTATTAAAAATCAATCTAGTGAACTTCAATGTGCACTTACTAGTAACTTTTAAACAACACTCTGAATTTCTTGAATACTTCCATCTTAACAAAAAAAAAAGACAAAATTCCGAAGGCAAAGAAATAGTTTGTTTCAAGACTAAATCCACAATTTTTTAACTATAAAGGGGTCATTCAGAACATTTTTCAAAACTTGGCATTTTGAAAAAAAAGCAGCAGTAATAACTTCATATTGTAAAAAGGGTGCTTACAAAGGTTATCTACAAAAAACATAAGAAGATTTAAGACAATTAACAACCTGTGAACTATTCAACACAAATTCCCTGCCCAACTCTTAGTTAAAGTATCATGCTTCTACAAGTTTTGACGCGAATCTTTAGTTTAAAGTCGAATTTCCAAGTGTTCTTTTAAAAAATTAAATAAAACCCTAAAACTTATGCACACCGAGTGGTGCGACCTCATAGATAGGTGGCAACCTGCTGATGAGAATGAGATACAGATAATGCCGTGGCATTGCAGATTACTTGATCAAACCTACGGCTAAATCAAGATTGCACAGTAGTCTTACCTCTACTGGATCCCGAATTCCCCATTACGTGCTTAAATTCACAAATTTAGTCCATCCAATACAAAGTTTATGCAGAAGCTTTTACCATAATGCTTTGCTGCTTTGGGTTGGACATAGTATAGTCCAGTTAAGTCTTAGATAAATGCCCCCATTGTTCGTGTTCTGGAGTGACGGAATCTCAAAGCCGGAAGTGTTTGACCAACCAATATGGCTGAAGAGGCCGCTTGTAGCTTTATTTTATAATTAGCAATAATAAGTAACAACAGGTCTAAAGTTTGTTTGGAATAAAAGTTGAGTGCAATTAAAAAAGAAGCATATATATATTAACAATAGCAGATGTCAAAACTTATTCATATTGATCGTTTTTTATTGAACGTTTTATAAAATCTTAAGCAGCGTACACATGGGGTTGACTGCATGACCGCCGACACACAAGACTTATTTAGATGTAAATGAGTTGTTTAAAATTATTCCGATGTTCATCGGCTAGGCGGTACTTTTTATGAGTTCGTTAGTTTTTCTATGTTTTTGCCACATGATAAAACTTAACACATACATGATACAGTAGTGCAGTGCCAGTGGTAGACTAGTGAGAAATCATGGGCTCATTCCCAACCAAAGTATCATTCTACAGAGATTGATCCAAATCTTTGGGGACTTTCGCTGAATGCAGTCAGATTACCAGATAAACAGGCCTCCTCTTGTTTCCAACGTACTTGTATGATCAGCTTTTCTGTCTTCTGCTTAATGCTAGGAAGAAGCAGGTTAATCTGATTTCATTTGATGAGATTCCCCACAAAGTTGGATCACTCTACATAAAATGAAATTTTGCATTTCTGAATGAACCCATAAAGTCCTTTTTTTTTAATTTAGATTAATCAAATGATCAAGGTACTGTTAACAGCCGAGCATTCCAAAATATAATCATTGCCTGTACGGGGATATCTGTCATTGCTTTTGCTGCCAGTGTCACCAAGCACTTTCATCAGGGTGTAACTGAAATGCGCAATACACTGCAATACAGCGCAACACAGCGCAATACACTTGATAACACAAGTCCAGTTGCAAGTAAACACAGGAAAGGGTAATCTCAAATAAAATAGGGCGATATAAAAGCTAAATATAGTGCACAGTAATTAATATTGCTGATTCAACTTGACAATTTTTTCATTGTTTGGTCAGTCGCCATGTTGGCGAGTAGCTCTTCTTGGCCAGTAATATATCCAAGAAGAGCCACTCGCCACCATGGCTGCCAACCGGACAATATAAAAGTCTTGCTGATTTGTTAAGTTATATCAACGATATTACTTACCTAGCAATATAGGTTGTTTTTATATCACCCTGCTTTGCTGGTAATGGTAATTTCTTTTGTGCAATTGCAACTGGATTTAATTTTTGAAGTGTATTGCACTGTGTTGCGCTGTATTGCGGTGTATTGCGTATTTCAGTCATACCGCTTTCATCATAAACACTGTAAAAGGAATATAACTAATATTTGCATTAACAAAGAAAAATATTTTTGCACTAGCATTGTTATTTTCTGCTTTCAGTCTGTACATTTGACAGTTTTGCTGTCTTGTTTTCTTTATAGCTAAATATGAGGTGAATGCAAGTAGGTGCACAAAAAGATCAAAATGTTGTGGCCTGTAGGTGCATCTATAAGATTCCTCTTAATCTTGTAGTATGTATGTTGCTCGAGTGTTTTGCTCACTGTTAGCTAACCTCCACTTTATGTATGTACTCCTATCAGCATGTTTCTGATGACATAATTTTATTTTATATTTTTAAAGCAGTGTTAGTTACATGTAACCTCGATGCACTATATTTTCAGAACCAAAGTACATTATAGCTGCAGCTATTTGCCATGGAGATGCTGATTTCCGTGGTAATAGCATGTCTGATTGCAGTGCTTCCTAAACTCTACATGAAGCTCATAATTGGAGTTTGCAAAAGCAATGCAGATTTGTCAGGGAAAACTGCCATTGTTACTGGAGCAAATACAGGTACCAGTAATGGTGTTCAAAATAGTCTCAAGATATATAAGTTATTTATTTCATACATTTTATTTACCATGCAAGTATATCAGGTCAGAGTTTGCAGAGTGCTGCGTAATGTATGTATGACTCTTTACTTCACCTGTCACTTTCAGCATTTTTATTATCTGTTGAAAATGCATGTTTTGTCACTGAACACATGCTACATGTATTTGCCCACTGACTGCTATATACACAGGCCAATAGCCAGAGAGGGTTACGGCGGCGGGGGGGTGGGGGGTGGGGGTCAGGAAAAGTTCCATTCCAGGTAAAAATTAATCTAGGTGCACAAAAGTTTCATTGTAAAAGGTCCACTTTTTCGGGAAAAGAACCCCTCTTTTGAAATTGTTGGCTACAGGACTGATACATTGCATGTATTACTTATATTGTATTTACAAAACATTTTACTTTTCAGGTTTGGGATATGCTACTGCATTATGCTTTGCTAGAAGACATGCCCGAGTAATCCTTGCATGTCAAAATGCAGAGAAGGCAGAAAAGGCAGTAATGAAAATACAAAAGACAACAGGAAACCAGAACATCACATACAAAGTGATAGACACCAGTGACTTGGCATCAGTCAGGAAATTTGCACAGCAGATAATTCAAGAGGAAAAACACTTAGAGATTCTTGTGAATAATGCTGGCATAGCAGGTAGAAAATGATTCAAGGAAATGCTGATTACATTTAAAAAAAAACACCCATCAATAAGAAGTCATTGTGCACAACATTTTTGTATTTACAATCATATTTACTTAAACCATAGTTATTTATGCTGGCTAAACATGTCAATATTGGCACATGTGATCATTCAATAGGTTATTGTATGCTCATCAGGTTTTTAGTACACATATTGCACCACGCATTTTCTACTATCTTTTCCTTAATATTTTTGTATGAAATGGATCCAATATCTTGGTTTATTTTCTTTGTTTACTGTGCAGGTCCATTTAGAAGACATACAACAAAGAAAAACATGGAACTCACGATGGCTACAAATTATTTTGGACATTTCCTTCTTACAAACCTTCTTTTAGGTAACCATTTCATTGTGTTTTAGCATGAGGCAATTTTAAGAGTTTTTTAAAAAGATTATTAGATCTTGAATGTGTACTTCTAAGTATACAACCCTTAAACTTTTGCTTCTGCATATTAGTTAAAAACATGTTTCTGTTACTGCTCACAAATGCACATTTTATTGCATAGTTTTTTCATGTGCAAGTCAAGTACAGTGTAGCCCCACTGTTGCTTTTACTTAAGAGAAGTAAAAATATGTGAAAAAAACTTAATACGTTAACATACACAAAAACTATTTAATTTTCTTAAAATTCCCCAAAGTTCATTTTCACATATCATTGCATCATTCTACCAATTAGTGGACTATAATTTCAATTTTATTTTAGATTTGCTGAAGAAGTCGTCACCAAGCAGAATTATTAATGTTTCATCATCTGTTCATCGTTGGATTAAGCTAGATCTTTCAGATCTAATGCTTAAAAATTTCTATAATATGCACAAGGCTTATGCCAGCAGTAAGCTGGCTATGGTGCTGTTTACCAAAGAATTGTCTAAAAGACTAAAGGATCAAGGTATTGTAACAAAGCCCACAATTAATTTTTGAAAAATATTGTTATTAAAATATGCAAGAAATATTTTGCAACAAACAAGTAACATGCTTCTAATTTGTTTCTATATAAAATATTTTATAAATTGAATATTTCAGCCAGTGGCTCTTGAAGACATTATAAGTGTTATTATAAAGGGCTAATGCAACTGTTTTGTGAAGGCACCTTATACCTCATCATGTGGCAATTGTTGTGATGACAGAATCATTACCTTTCTTGATTTAATGTTCAGTGCACTGTGTGAGCATATATGTAAGTACATGTACTATGTACGCTCACACATTAGGAAACAGATCTTTCGGATGGATAATAAAGATACAAACTTTATCTGAAAATTCTCATTTCTTTATAGGAGTATCTGTATACAGTGTGGAACCAGGAACTGTTCGAACAGACTTTTTTAACAAATTCCCTCCTGTCATGAGTGAAATTTTTAGGGTCATTGGTGTCTTTTATTTTAGGGTAAGTACTGTAGATATTGGGGCTCTCTACATTTAACATTTCTGTATTAACCAATTTGAAAATTCTTGACCATTCTGAAGAAATTTTCAATTTAAATTTTGGAATCTATTGAAATACTATGAAGGGACCACCTTTCTGAAAAAAATATTTACCTTTGAACCATGTTTGAACTTTATGTGGGTCCAAGACCACAATTCGCATTGCAAGATCAGATTTTTATTAAATTCATTTTGGCAGTGGTACATTTTGCAAGTATGTGCCCCAACAAGTATAATATAATGAAGTAGACATATCCCATCTTTTCCTTTTTTTTTCGATTTGAAGCATGTACTATGTCTTGGGGAGGGACTTGCATTTTTCTAGGAATGCAGTCTCAGAACCAGATGCAGACCAAAATATGTACCTCTTTGTGATTTTGCTTGGTTGTAATGTTTGGAGATATGTATGAAAGCTGATTGTGTTACCTATTTACTACTTATTTTAATTTCCTTTCCAGAGTCCAGAAGAGGGGGCTCAAACAGCCGTGCACTGTGCTGTAGCAGATGATGTTATTGGTTTATCTGGGCATCATTTTGCAGAGTGTGCCATCATGGAAGATTGTGCTCAAGCAAAGGATGCTGGGATTGCCAAAAAACTCTGGGAACAAAGTGAACAGATATGTGGACTCAATGAAAACTGAATAGCCCTAATTGTTGATGGAAGAAATTTTTAAATCCTGTATGATCTTTTCTGTGTGCCATTAAGTACTGACAATAAGTAAAAAATAATCAGAAAGTTTTATTCAACCATAGAGTTGATTGTTTAATCAAGTATGTACAATTATTACAGCTTATGGTGTTACTGTTATTATTAAAGGACCCAATATGCAGTATTGGCAACTGTCCCAGGTTGGAGAATAATGCCATACTATTATTTACCACATGCTGATATATATATATATATATATATATATATATATATATATATATTTGAAAGACACTTTTATGAATTTATATTAAAGTGTAATAAAACTGAAAAAAAAAAACATGACAACATTCCAAAATGTGCACATCAAATTTGCTTTTTAGTTAACACTGCACAAGCCTGAGAATTTGTTTTTAATCTAGAACTTTTCTCTCCATTTTTATGTTTTTGGCCTGTAACTTTTCTCTTTCTTCTTCAGTGGTATATTTCCTAAAAAAAAAAAGAAAATAAGAGTTTTTACCTTCAAGTAAAATACTTCACAATATTTAAATATTTTGTTAAGAAGACAGTATGTGTGATATTTAATAAAATGTGCTATATGAATTAAGAGTGTCATGAGTCATTAATGTTAATCTCTATATGAAACCATTTACAACATGTACCTGGTGGTGCCACAAAATAATCCTCTTCTACTAAGGCCGCATTTTTCAAAATTTCTTGTTTACAGTTCCCTTCAGTCACTTCATCTTTTCTTAAGTATGTATTTCTGAAATCGTTTGTCAGGTTTGCTGTCAGTCACATGTTACCAGCACTTCAATCTAGCACTCAAAAATTGTCAATTATCATAAAACTGGCAACTTTAATTTTTGAGCAAAGAAAATGTGCTTTGATATCATCATTAATGTCAAGAAATTTTATAAGTAAGTTGTTTTTTAACCTGCTTTCTAGTACTGAGTCCATAGGCTGTACCCCAGTTGTGTCTACCAAAGTGATTTGGTCTGCAAAGCGTATGGCTTTTTCGAGTCTTTCAATTCCTTCTTGATTGTTAAAATCAACTAAAGCAAGTCTCTCAAGATGGCTTATAGTAGCTTCATCTATTGTTGTTGGCTGTTATGGAAAATAAGAATCAAGATAATCCCATCAAATGATTATAAGTAAGCTCATTTTTTTATTAAAAGCTAAAAACTCGAAACATGCATTGAAAATAATGCAAAGATAACCGTAAGAAGCAAATTCTATAGATGCAAGTAAACATTACCAAGTATGATGTCTATGCATTGATGAAAAACATATTTTTGTGTTTGTCGATCAGAGTAACCTGTGCCCACCTTTGGCAGAGTACTTGGATCAATTTGCTTCCATGTGGGTTTAGCTGGAACCTACATGTATATGAAAATTAATAAAAATATTAATAAACATCTGAAATTAATAATATGGAGGATGTGTGTGAAGTTAAATGAAGACATTATGTTGACAGATTACCACTTTATCTCTATGTCAATTTCCAAGCAGCTCGATCGGATGTTTTCAACCATAACAGAATTAAATCGGCAAATCACTAAGGCAATCTGTTCAATATTCCATCTCAAGTCTTTTAGTCCGAGGGTCAGGCTAGCCGTACTGTGTTGTGAAGTGGTGAAATAATGTGCATACGTAATATAAAGTGAAATTGTGCATGTTTGACACAACAAAACAGTGTTTGAGAGATATGTCTTTTCTTTGTACATGAAGTGCAGTGCTCTTTCTCTCTCTCTCTCTCTCTCTCTCTCTCTCACACACACACACACACACACACACACAACAAGCACAAACATACATGTAATCTGTCTGTCAGCACATAATAACGTATCAACGTAATAAAATACACACTGATTTGAAGTCACCTTTGAAGATAAACACCGGTGATTTAATGTTAGCATCCATGTTGACATTTTACTTATGTTGACGTAAAACCTTGTCATTCTTGGCTTAGTCGCTCAAAAGTGGCTTTCTGGGTCGTGTTCGTGATAAATAGGTCAAAATAGTACGTTAGCGGATTAATATTTTGGCAACCTTTTTTTATATAAGTCATTTAATGATATTTTTAAAATCTATGTAAAGTCATTTTACCCATTTTTATGGTTTTACTGTATTAAGCACCCTTAAATATTTTATTTAATTGATAAAAATGTATAATTTTATACGTCTCGCAAGCATATCCGGTTGGTCTTGAGAAGTTAGTAAGAATTTCCGGTCCATGCTTACTGCCAGAGCAATTACAAATTGATTGTTTACATTTTTGTACTTTGAAAATGTTCAGCTTAAGTCAAAAATGTCAACAACTAAAAGAACAATACGACCAGTGTTTCCATAAATGGTTTTCCGAAAAATTTCTTAGCGGAAGTAAAAGAGATGATTGTGCTGACCTCTTGAAAGAATATTCCCAGTGCGTGAGGGTGAGTAGACTTTTAATTAAAATTTCGAAATATTTGTGCAAAACATCCATTCAAAGAAATATGATTACACGCACCAATTGTGTTACATGTATTTTGTTGTCTAAAAGAGGAAATTCCCTTTTGCTTCAGACTTGCTAGAGTTACAGGACCTTTTTAGTAGTTAAGAAGCCCACTTGTCACTGAGATTGTTCTGTTTCTAATTTTCTTTAATTGACGGTGTCATAAGTCATAAGCGGTTAAATTATGATTATCTTTCAGTGTTAACACTAATACAAGTACCAGTACAGGTAATTACATATTCAATATTCATGAAAGAATCGGGATCAATGTTTGTAAAATCAGCCAGTGTGTTCTATTATTTTTGTATAACTTTGATTTTTTTTCCAGGAAGCCATGAAAGAGCATCATCTTAATTTGGAAGAAATAGATCAGACTGTACTTGGAACAGACAAGGAAAAAATAGAACCAGTTGATAAAGAATCAAGTTGATGAATGGAGGTTATTTATTAACACAACAGACTAGAACACTATACACTAAACTGTTATCATGTTGAGTATCAGGATGGATTAAATTTTTGTATTTAGATTATTATGCTGGTCATATGCATATATTTCCACAAAGTTACTGACAGAAAGAGATACGACACCTAGGGAGAAATCAGATGTAGCTCATATTTTAAATTTACCTGTGCAAGGACAACAATCCAGCTTATTTGTCAAGGATGTTTATATTTTCAAGAAGCTGTTAATCAACAGTCTGGTTAAGGCATAAATGTAAAAACTGTTGAACATTGAAGATTTAATTGAAAACCAGAATTTTTTTTTATTGAACATACAATTTTAAGCCAAACATGCTGTCGAATGAGACTGATGCAATCATGTATTGCTAGTACTGTATATATTTAATGAAAGAAAAGAAAAATTATGTTCTGTGATTCATGGAATGCTATTTCAAGTCCAGACTCCATTACATAGAAGTATTGCATTTATTGATAAAATCTTGAAAAAGAAAAGCAGCATTGTTCATTGCTGTAATATAAATTATGGATAACATAAAATTTAACTCTGTGTACTGTCAGTTTGTTAGTTATATACTTTTCTATCACTATATCTGTCCAAATTTTATTTTCCATTCTGCTGACATAGTAATCCAATTCAGGCTGCAGTGGAGATGAGGATATTTCAGATGTGCAGTAATTTTGCCATTTTACTAAAATCTAGATCATATCTCTCATGAGCCCCTAGTATAAAAGACAATCATAAAAAAGATATAAAGCACTATTTTAGGTCATTGTGCCAGGAAAAATAGAGAACAATTAAATATGCATAAGTATATCAACTATTAGTATCATACCGAGTGGTGATTTCAAACAATTTTAGAAATTGCTACATCCACATCTTATTTTTTTTTCCAAATCATGGTGCATTGTACTTGACCCAAGCCAGTCAAGTCATATTTTTATCTGACTATTATTTTAGTTTGCCTGCCATCAAATAGATAAGTGCTTTTGGTCATGTTACATTTACCTACCCTGAAGGTGAGTATGAGTTAAAGCTATAGAGGATAATGGGGTGAATGATTGCTATAATACACCCCAATCTATGTAATATGTTTTGCAGTATGTTTCTTTTAACACTGACAGTTATACATTCACCATCCATTCAAAACATAAATAAAACATGTATGCAAGCTAAAGTTTGAATTTCCTTCTGCCTAAATGAAATTAATTAATTCCCACCTTCGTGCGTCTGGGTTGTTGTCCTTGCTCTCCTGTCCAGGAAGTGTTTCACTGTGACAAAATACATACATTATTGATTTTTGCCCTTTTCATGGCGCGTAACACTTTGAAAGATATCATATATCGCAAATGTCGAGGATTGCCTTGTAACGGTTTGAATGATATTAAGTATGTCAGGGTTTGACATGTAACAGTTTGAATGATATCATATATGTCCAGGTTTGGCATGTAACGATTTGAATGATATCATATATGTGGAGGGTGCATGAATAATAAATAGATGTATTGATTTTTTCAGAATTGATGAGATTTTTGAAAATGTCATTTGGTAAACAACATTTAGATAATGACTCGAGGCAATGAGAGCATATGCGGTACAAATCAAATTGCAATTCATAGAAACGGGCTTTTAGTTTTTAATTTATACAAGAAATGCCTTTAGGATGTTATTTCAGTTTGTTAATCTCTTATTTCCATGTAATTCCAATTTAAGCATTCTGTCATGCAGATAGGTTCCAACGTTATGAGCAATGCAAAAAAAAAAAAACACATTTAGATCAAGGGCGAAAAAGTTTGTATTCTGAAGTGTACATGCATTATTTTCGTAAAATTTTAATTTCACAATCTCTCAAACAAGATAACTTAGATNGAAAGGCCTTTGGGATGTTATTTCAGTTTGTTAATCTCTGATTTCCATGTTATTCCAATTTAAGCATTCTGTCATGCAGATAGGTTCCAACGTTATGAGCAATGCAAAAAAAAAAAAACACATTTAGATCAAGGGTGAAAAAGTTTATATTCTGAAGTGTACATGCATTATTTTCGTAAAATTTTAATTTCACAATCTCTCAAACAAGATAACTTAGATCTAAATTGAAACCCTGACAGGCTAATAAAATAGAATTTTCTTGATATAACATTCTATCCATCGTCTGTTATCCTAATGAGCGCAGAGAAAGTGCCTAAATTTCACGAGATTAACATTGGTCATTTAATTAAAATGATTCACTGTAGAAACATTTGTTTAAATAAGTGACTGTATCTATATTCATAAGTCACAAACACGATTTTCCTCTGACATTTTATTCCAGATAATTCGCAATAAAGAGAATACAAATACATGACTTTCTTTGTACAGTCTATGAATATATTGCAAAACATCGAAATAGATTCAAAACAAATTAGTTTCATTACTTTTTAAACATACAATGGTTAACCAATCGGGTACAATTCTCTATAAAAAAATGAATCCATCATAAGACGGAAGGAGTGGTGCACATCTACTCCGGACAGACACCAAGACCATAATGTCTCTCGCAACACGACAACCGAGGACTACGATAAACGTTGTACCATTTCAAATATGTTTTAATAATATGTGCAAATATATATACATTTAATGCTTTTTTGAGTAAATTTCACATTTGAATCCATAAATATATATTTTTCCTTCAAACAAATTGACAAACGACTTTTGGCAATGTGGGTTATTATCTATATTGCCACAGACAAGAGAACATGTTAGTAATGTAATGTATAAAAATACTTTGGACCAGCTACAAACTACTCAGCACGGGCACATGACCTTCACGCTTTTGAACAGGTCATTGTTATATCAATATCTACAATGGATATGCAGAACTTTCAAAATATACATATACGCATTTCGCAAAACATTTCTTTGGTTAAAGTTAAGATTCTGTGATAATTCACTCTGAATTGATTTGAAAACAATAATAAATTGCATTATAGTTCGTTTTACATCTTCATGGGGACGTAGCACATCCTGCCATTTAACGATTTGCTTGTATGTGAAAATTCCAGTATTGTAGGCGTGCAATGGACTGTATATCCATATCAAGTTAATATCATGATGATAGCTACATTTGTTTCACTGAAACATATTTTGAGCAATCTCTGAAATAAATAAATCATTCCTTTACTGTACACTAAACCGGTAGATAGTAGGACACAAGCCTACAAGGTGGCTGAAATAAGGCACCCTTTTGTCCAAGTCCTATAGCTTCTGCAGTCGTTAAGCATTTTAGATTATATAACGACTGCAACCAATATTTTCATATTGTAAAAATATTGCCCTTTCTTTAAAGTGCACATGGCCTGCATGTGGGAATACTTGGGTGTTTTAATCGCCTACATCTTAACCATATCATCCATATCAACATTCACTTTGATAAAAATTGTGTCATCTCGAATGTAGTCCAGCGTTGACATCACCTCCAACTCCACAAATTTCTGCGCACCAAAGCTTGCGTTTCTATCTCCGGAGGGTCTGCCCAAGAAGGGTTTATTGTCCTTGCAGGTGTTTGGTTTTACTGTATATGTGACGTTCCGTCGCGCCGCTGGGTCCTCGCATTGGTCCATCAACGTAAAGGTTACTCGATGCGAAAAAGGCCACGAGAGTAAGGCATCGGATTCACCTTTGCAAATGCACGCAAATAGTGACATAAACTTTCCTCGGGCTGAAAAGAAATCAATAAAAGGCGATTAAAATTTCAAATCGTAATCGACGTAATGTAAAAGTTTCTTGCTTGATTTGACGAAGACTACGTACATTAAATTTATTCAAAACAAATTGATTCTCAGTGCAAACGGTCCGTTATGAAGTTATTAAAGTGTGTTTCATTTTATCGATAGGAAAATAGACGACTTTTGTGACAACTTGCCAGTCCTGCAATTTACCTTTGCCATCTCCGAAGAGGCAAGCGGAAAGGGCCATCTTGTACCCATTTCGACTGGTGAGGAACGGTTGGCTAAAAATGGTGCGTTTTGTTCCAGCCTTCGCCTCATCGAGCTTCTCTTGGTAGCTGTCGATTTTCCAAACGAACTGAGCGCCGTACAACTTCTCAAGACCTTCGATTCTTTTCTCCATTCCTGCAAGTTTTTCGGTGTGGTCCTCCATTGACAGCTTGTACTTATCCAGGATTTCCTTGTGTCTGGCTATGGTTTCTGCCACCAGGCTTAAATGCATCGTAGGCTCTTCATTGACGTGAGCTGTCAATTTTTTTCTGTTGCACTGAAGATGGATACACATTCCATATTTATGTATGACTTTGTATAACAGCTCTCACAAAAATACAAATCTATCAGAATGCTAAGGTTTCTTTATCTATTTCTACAAACTCTTGTTTTCAATAAGTCTTATAGAGTCTATCAAAGCACATTTTTGCAATTTAAGTTTTCATAATTATGGCCCCATTCCAATTTCTTTTAAAAATCCAATTTCAAAAAAAAAAAAAAAAAAAAAAAAATTTAGGTTTTACTTACCCTGTACTCACATCCGCAGTCCACAAAAGGACAAGGTACTGTCTGCTTCGGGCAATCCCCCTCCATGTGTTCGGCCACCTAAAACCAACATGAATAGTGTACAAGTGATATATTGAATGTGTACTGCGGGCACATTTGGTGAAATAGACACTTGTTTCAATGTCAACCAAAAACCAAGCTCTACCCACCTCCTCTCTGGGTATGTCCTTTCGTTTGCAACCATTTGGGCAAGGGATAGGGAATCTCTTGCAGAGGTTTAGATGTTCAATTTCTTCTTCGAACAGAATGTTGCTCTTGCAGAATTCGCAGGCAATTTTCCTCTTTGGACAGTCTTCATCTCTGTGCTTGTCGAGGAAACGTTTTTCAAACTCAGCTCCGCAACCTTTGGGGCAAGGAATAACTTTGTACTTGCAATCTTCTTGGTGTGGCTGGCAAATAGATAACGTCGTGTTAGGGAGTTTATCGAAGTAACCGGGGTTGTTAATTGGTTTTAATAGAAATGAAATCATGAATTTATATGGGCATTTGTTTGCTGTAACGTATTTGTAAAAGTTTCACATTGTGGCAACACAAGTTTATCGTTATAATATCTCCTTGCTCCTTCTTTCTGTACGTTATTGTTACTCAGAAATGACGCTTATTGCTAGTGCCTCAAATCATCGATTTTAAGCAGGTAAATTTCAAAACCAATGAAAATGTGTGGTTTACAGTACTGAAATTCCAATTACCAGACGTACTATTTCTGTTTATTTATATATTCAGTCGGACACTACAAATCAAAACAAAAATGTGCCGTTTTTCATTATTGCCGAATCGCAACGCTTACCACTAATTCTTTTAGCGCACCCGTCCATTTGCATCGCCCATTGCTGCACTTGACGCCCAGGTGATCAATATCCCGCTGGAACGCCTTGTCCACATAGACCTAGGATAGTTGATAAAAGTCGTTGTGAGAAAAATACTTATATCTCCTCCAAACAGTGTAGTATCAGAATCAATTAACGAAATACAATGACAATGACAATATACTGGTTGATTGATTTTGACCAGTTGAGGAGGCTTTTATCTATGCCAAAGCAATAAGATAGCTGAACTATGGCACGAAGGCTTTCCTAATCATATGTTTGTTTTTTTTTTTCCGTATTAGCATTTTAGTAACCCCACAAAATTTCTTCATAGGTTACCGCTTGCAATTACATTTGGTCATGTCACAGATCAGTACTTTTTACAGTCATTTCGAATTACCGTTTTGAATTCATGGTAAATTAATTAAAGTAAAATCGTAATAAATTTCATATGGGTTCAGGATAAATAAAGGCGACCCTAACTTGTTAAATATCAATCATTGTGAGAACAACGTTTGGAAATGGAAATAAAACGTTGTTCTCACAATGCTTGTTAAATATCAATCATTGTGAGAACAACGTTTTATTTCCATTTCCAAACAGTCTCCTTCAATGCTTGAAATCTGCAACTTTTTTTGTTCGTTTTTCGTGACATGGAAACTTCAAAATGACTCAGCAATATTTTGATGCATCAATACAAAGGTGGACGTTTCCTGTATTGCGCAATTTACGGACGGATTGCTTCGCCTGTTTTTAAACGACCTACACTCATCTTAAATGATTTATCTCCCAAAGTAGAGTCCCATTTGCTTTTTTGTGATTACTTTATACAACCAATTACCCAAATAAAAGAAATAAAAGAATGACCCCAGTCTTTGCCATTTTCCTTATAATCCGTGGAGCATAAGTAATTAATTAAACAATTAAGACGTAAATTATATGTAAATTAATAATCAATATTTGAAAAATGTTAGTCAACGATAGCATCTTGTATTCGAGATATCTTGTGCAATACCTTTTGTCTTATCAGTTTCAGAATTCCAAAGCTAAAATCATATCCCTTGACGAAAAATAGGGTAACTATTAAACTTTTATACTTTTATATCTTTAATTAACAGGTCTGTGAATTTCAAAATAGGGCAGATAATGTTAGAATTGTTATATATTATGGATGTTTAGCATCTTTTTTTAAATGTAAACAACTCTCTATTTCTTTCAGCATGACCTGTTCGTACTAATTAGATAGGCAAACACAAGTGTCAGAATTATTCACTGCCAGTTTGATAGTAGCCCTTAAATTAATTTAACTAAAATTCTAACACAGCCTATGTTAATTTAAGCGCACCACGGTAAGCGTGAAATGAAAAAAAAAAAAACCTCGGGAGACACGAACTACCATCATTCTCATCCTGCGCACACCAAAAGTCATTCCAGAATACTTTAGAATAATCAATAACTGCGATGAAATGGGAGAATTTTGTATAATAGCAAAATGGAATCTTCGCATCGATAATCAATTGAGCATGATTGGTACGCAGTACTCAATAATAAAAATGTTTTTCTAAACTTGATGTCAGAGTCTCGTTTCCATGCTCCATAATTTAGTTATTAGCAACTAATGCCCTTTTTGTGCCGAGCTGAATCGCATGTGTATTTGAAGAAAAGGGATTTCATAGATCAATACGGCTATTTTGAAAAAGAAGTTTTTCAAAAAATACAATAAGGAAACGAAAATGACATATTCATTTAGCGCCCGACATTCACTTCAGCCAGTCCATAAGCTAACAAAAAAATATAGCAATGTTTGAAAAGACGGATGTTTTGTCAATGCCAACCATCTGTATAAGCATTACATATTGATGACTGTTAACCTTGAATTTACAGTAACACAAATAATGCGTTTGTAAGAGAGGTCAGGAAATTGCATTCACATCTTTAAAAATATAACACAAAATCGATATGGTATAGACAAAAAGATAAGTTTTCTTTTAATAGATTTTTTCTAGAAAGAATGGAAATTAGGCCAACGAAAATAAATGACTTTGGTGAGGGGAGGCGACTCTCGAACAAGGTCGATCAATAGAAAATTTTTCATTTTTTAAATTATCTTTTAGCATGTGATGAAGATGAATGTAAGAGACGTGTTTTAGGGGAGGGAATGTTAAATCCACAGTGTGACGATTTTACAATATAAAGACATTCAGGGTTGTTCCTGGGGTTAATTATCGTGTCTCCATCTAACAAACAAAGAGCCAATGTATTTTTCTTTTCCATTTGAAAAAAAAGGTGCGAAAAAAGTATGATTTTCATAAAATTAGGGGCGATCACTCATGTTCGTCAAGTTTTCAGTTTCGTCTGGCCTTACCTTATCTCTGTCAATGTGCCGCTGGTCAATTGGGCATCTTGGGGCGACCCTGAATTTAAAGAAAATATTGAAACTACGTAGGGGTCATTATCCTTTTTTATCTAAGAGAATGAGAGGGAGAGTTCTAATTTAGTGTTAGTTTAATTTCTAACTTCATAACTACGAAGACGCAATTCACACCATTTTCAATCACTTTCAATTAAATGTATGTGTTATTGTCATTATTTCTTATAGGCCTATTTCTAAGAAAGCAGAAACAGACAAATTTATCGTACCGAATAGAAATTGTACTTTCTTGGGAACAAGAAATCCCAAATTTGTCAATATTTTTTTTCATTCAGCAAAACAAGAGGTAGCAAAGATCCAGACATGCAGGTACGTAAAAAAATTTAATTAACGAGAATCTATCAGCTTGTAATTATCCATGTAACTGTGAATTTCAAAAAAACGTCCGTAACATAAATCAATCTTCCATTGCGTCTATTGAAATCCGTGTCAATTCAAAATTACACGGCGAAATTATATGACACTGTTCACTACTCCAGACATGGCAGTTTCACATTTTACCGCTTACCTAAGTAACTCTGGCAAGCAGGAGGAGCAGCATCTGTGTCCGCATTCGTCAAACTGGATGGGGTAGCGTAAAACCTGGCAACACACGGGGCACTCATATTTCTTCTCTAGGGGCTCCTGGAAAGTGATCTCCAAATTTGGGCGGTCAGATACAAGAGAACCGTTGGAGTTGCGACTGACGCTGGACAAAGCAGATCCTAAATGTCGGGAGTTTCTAGAACCTCCCGAACCAGTCGGGGATCCGTCGACTTTTTCCGGCATGGCTCTTTATACTGCTCGTGTGAAAAAAAAACGACGCAACGATCTCCTGCCTTTTTCTGAATAGTCACACCTTTTACTGCAGTATCTCTTGCCACTTCGCTGTTAAATATTATTTCGAATTAGAAATGTTAAAAAAGCAGTATCTGGAACTATAGCGCCTGCTTACACACAAGATTAGCTTTAATGCAGCTAACTGCGCTCCACAGTTATGGCTCACTAACGGTATCGCATCTGAACCAACCTAGCCCAGCAGTCTCCTCCCCTCACACAATCGATTCCCCACCATCGTCACATCGATCCAGCTTTTGTGTTCAAACAGTTGTCACCAACTGCATAGTAACTTCCGCAAAACGGAACAATGTATTCAAGCTCGTTGATGGTTAGCATGGCAAAATCGATGAAATGCACATGAAAAATTTAAGATATCATTAACAACCTTTTGTACTCTGACATCGATAGGGAGTGGAGCGCCATCCACTTTGCATTCGAACCTTCCACTCATTTCGATGGTTGAAATTAAAACCCCTGATAAACACTTAGCTTTGTCTCACTGAAATTTTGGTAATAAAAAAATGCGAGGAAATGAAATATCGCGTTTGATACTGGAAACCTTTTGGCTTTGCGAGATATTAAATTTAATTTTTATGTGATTATTCTTCAATACAAGAAATCAAAAACAAGATGTATGGAGGACCGATTAACTAGCAGCACATCACTTACCTTCACTAAGAGTTTGGAGGATGACGGGGTTATATCACGAAAGAAAAATAATTAAATGCAAATGCTTAAAGAGGAACTGACGGTCATTTAACCAACAATCGCTTATGAACTGCACTTGTGGGGCATTTTTGATTGATATATTTTCACTGCAATGCTCATACTCAGAATACCGCTGGTGTCTATTGAATGTTTGCGTGCTTTATTTTACGTTTGATTTAGTTGTCATTGGCGTATGCCATCAAGATTTTTCATTCATATTAGAAGATGCATAATGGTACCATTCAAATCTTAATAATGGGATTAGTCGGAACATTCCATTTAAAATCGCTTGACGAGAAACCGATAGCGACAAATGGTTCTGTCCGTATCGATTAACAAAGTGGCAGAGCCTCTTTAAATATTACCAAATTACTTTTGGCATACAACAATTGTACTACATACAACAATCTCAATTGTCTGTAGTGTTTTCCTTCGGTAAGTGCTGAGCAGCACTGGGGCATTTCTCACGGAAAGAAACAGACGTCACCGGTCGTCCGCTGGTCAATTTTCTAAATTAAGAACTTGTTTTCTTACTTATAGCCATACTTTCACAATCCTCCGAGTGCGGGTCCTTCTTTTTACCAACAGTGTCTCAAGACATGTAACATATCCCAAAATACGTCTATTACAGATATGTTTAAAAAACCTTAACACTAGTGGATCAGAACAAATGTGAAATAAAAACCGTAAGCAAGAATGCAGACAGCGGTAATTCTAACTGTGGACAAACAAGGAAATGATGTAGGATCAACATATTTCACGATCTGTATGGCGTGATGATAATGCCTTGTAATGATTATCGATTATCAGTGCGTCCTGTTTGTCAAGATTCTAAGAAGCCATGTTCCATAATTTTTTCGAAATTAGAAAAAAATTGCATAATACTTCAGATGTGGGAAACCGGTAGAATCAACACATCATCAGGCTAAGTAAGTAGACATCCACTTCCTTGCTCAGACGCACCTTTAATTGTCTGTCAGGAAGTTTCATTTTACGAATCTTTGGCTCATTATAATCACAAGCCGTTTGTCAAATGACGAAAAGCACTTCTTGTCTTCTACCTCATAACTTATAATTTGCAATTGAAATAGTGTTTTTAAGGGGTTTCTCCAGTTTACTGGTCTATCATGTTCGTATTAAAGATATAAAGCGAGCGTACCCTAGGTTCTAGATTGTGGTATTGCCAGCTCGATCTTGATTTCATATATGACCCACATCAGCAATACCGTAAAGCTGTTAACACTGTAAAGCTAACGCATGGAAAAGTAAAGTGACAAGCTAGCTTTATAGTGCCCTGACACTCCGGGTAAGAGAGCCTGGATTTCCAATACCGCGTTTAGCCAGGTCACCAACTCACCCCGTTCAAAATTTCTATTTAGATACTTAACTTATTATATGTAAACGTCAGTTCGGATGGAACAAAATGTAGATAAATCTTAAGATCATCTAAAGATTGTGGCTTGAAGGAATATTTACTAGGAATTTCACCCATTTTTTTTTTATTTGCAAGTCGACAGTATAATGGCCCTTTAGTTTTAAAAACTGAAGAGGAAGGCATCCAAGACAGAGAACGTTTTTGAAAAACGCATCTTCCCTGAAACAGATTGGTATGCCTTAAAAGCACTACAATAAAAATTACCAGTAGAAATTTGCAAATTGGGCACATTATTGAATCGGGAAATAGAAACATGTTGACGGTGCCTGCTTTATGTGTCTAAGATTTATATGAACATATTTCAATGTCAGTACTATGTACACTTTTAAAGAAATCAAATGTAATACAGTTCTAGTATGCAATTTCCAGATTGTGTGTCTAAACTCCTAATGGAATGATGGGTTACTGGAGGAGGAGATGGTCGAACAAATACTGTGTCCATAGAAGAATGTTTACAGATTACCAGACAAAAACCAATTGGTTATAATAATTTGTATCACATTGTACTAGTACGTTCAAATACAGTAAATGACATTCCAGTGACAGTTTAAATGAAGACATGATAACATTTAAAGTTTGTTAAACGTTGTCCTTACTTTATTAACTTAAAAGAGAAATGACATATTTTCTTGCTTTCCTTAACATTTGAAACATTTGATAAAGGTGTGAGATGTCTTGTAATTGTATCAAACTTACAGTTTTCACTGATTCAAGCAGTTAATCCTTGCACCCACTCCCTTTCTTCATTCCCATAAAAGGACAATATCACAAAGTTATTTTAAAAGTTTTTATACAAGTCTTTTTTTCTGAAACAAATGGTTTATTTCCGTCGTAATCTATCTACACCTCTCTCGATCCTCTCCCTCTCTTCCTCATCATCACTGTGATAACCAGCCACTGTGGCGCCTACGGTGTGCCCTCTAGTGGCCTGCATCAGCTCTGCATCAGGACCCTTGTCACGATTTTCATACAGCAATACATTCAGTGTCTCTTCATATATTCTTGCCTCAGGAAACTCAACCTGTTGATACATTTTAAAGCAGCCATTAAAAAAGAACAGATTTTAATTTTCCAAGTTTTTAATACCAGCATTTCAAAATAACTGACTGATGTTTTAGAACTTTTTTTATCTATTATGGACCAAAATGTGAACTGATCTTATTCTTATCATACATCATATATTAATTATTCCATACCCACCTTGGTGTGTTTTTTATCTGTTCCATATACTATAGAGGTACAGCAGACCTCTGCTATTTTTGATCCATGTCCATAAAAAGACCAGCAACAGATCTCATTACTTCCAATGACGTCCTTCACAAACAAAACACGCCCATTAAATCTCAGTGATAACTTGTCAAAGAGCTCCAGGTTCCTCAATAAATTGTCATCAGAATGACTGAAATATACAAAAGAAAATTAGACACACAATCAAAAAACAAAAAGAAAGATTGGGGAAAAACAAATCTAATGCACAGGAGGCCATTTATTGGTGTAAAATATTCAATTTAGTAAACTAATATTTTCTATACCATGTTTTGAATTTCATTAAAAAATTTTGAAGGCTTTTTGAATTTTATTTGAGAAGAACAAAATTCTTTGCAAACCTTTGCTATTATAAAGACTGATGTGAAAAACTTTATTCTAATGCTTTCTGTGCAAGTAATGCAGTTTAAATATTTTAAACACAGTATACTAACATTATATCATGGTAATTAATCACCAAATTATTTTCATTTTAAAACTAAACATTTCCCCCATGTCATATTCAGTGATTGGGAAGGTTCAAACCACCCATGGGACAATGGCCCCTCCTGGGTAACCCTTAATGGGCCATTTGCATATCAATGGGCCATCGCTTGACATTTATGGGCCATTTTTAAACATGACAAATATATTTGAAATATCTGTATCAATATTTTTGGGAATAATATGATAAGGTTTTGCAGTTAAACTTTGTTAATATATTTATTTAGTTAAGACTTTTATTTGTCTTTTTCAATAAAACCATTACATTGCCTTCTTTACTGAACTTATTTGAAGACTAAATGAAAAAACAAAATGATCAGAAAACATGTAATACTCATAAGTAATTGGTTTTTATTTGATGAAACCATCAACAAGAGGTAAACAATCTAGATCTATGAAAACCTTGATTACTCAAAACTGAGAAAATGTAAATGAAATTGTCTTCACATACTGTCTAGTACTTATTAATCAGTCTTACTGAAAAGAGATTTCATTACTTAATGAAGTAATCTCTTTTTCCTGTGCCACACATTCAGTGCATCCTCATAACTTATCTTACTCCCAAGAATCTTAACTCTTACACTGTTCGCAGTTGTACTGGAGCCAGGGCCATAGTTGAAGCCATCGGCCCGGGTTGGAAACCTCGTGCGACCTGAGAGTGAGAGGTGCTAGCACTAGCAGTAACACTATTGTCGGTGTCACTACTACTCGTCGTAGTGCAAGGAGCGCTGCTCTCAGAAGTTGGTACATTTTCTTCCCCCGTCTCCTTTGAGACTTCTTCCTGAACGATGGACGGACCCTTAGACGAAGCGGTTGAAGTAAATAAACTAACTAATGTAGGCTGGTCTGGCGAGATTTTAAAAATCTTTTTTGGCGGCATTTTTCTTTTCACTTCATCAAAGTGCTGCTTGAAAAAAAATCCCATGTGCTTTCAGAACGAAAAGCAAGGTTACTTCTAATTGGATAAACATGACCTATAAACTGATTGGCCAATAAGATATCAGCTTTTATTTCATTAACATATCTATTGGGACGATGTGCTCATTGCTCTCGGCAAACTTCAGGGATTGCGTTCGATAGCTTCCGAATTCGTTCCTGAGACGTCTTCAGGTATGAGAGGAAAAATACGCTAATCAGTTGACGATTAGTTTATTGACGAGTAGACTCTTTTTAAAAACGCGAGGTATAACAAAATCACGCGCCCTTATGGCGCACATACAGGGCTTTTTATGCACCCAGTTACGATTCTATGCGCGTATGGCGCAATGGCGCGTTCCTTCCCAATCACTGCATATTATTTACCAAAATGTCTAACAAATTCACAAATAGTTAGAATATCACAGTTTTAAATGTATCTCCCCTATATCCTATATTACATATATTTTTTAAAGAATGGGATGAGCATATCATAAAAATCAAACTTTTTTTTTTGGGGGGGGGGCATGCATTTAAATTCATCAAAACAATTCTGCGAAATGGTTTACATTATTACCTTGTGTAAGAGTATTTGTTATTATGTCTATTGCACGACAACTTCACTACAGGCTGAAATGAACAGAAAAGTCAAAGTTATGCAAATATACAAAATACAGTGTTAAAAGCATAATAATAATCATAAAAGGCACCAATATTTAAAATATCAAAATATGAACAATATATAAACATTTAGAGCAAAATTAAGCAAGAGGAATAATTTTCACTGGTTATAGATGCAAAATATGTTGGTGTGTGTATAATTCTGTTCCATTAATGAATAAATGAATACAGATCAATGGTTTGCATCAGCTGTTCATCCCATAGTAGACATATAGTTACCTTTGATGTTGAGCTGATCAGCAATTGCTCCTCTTTACTAGATGTGATCAATGGAACTTTGCAGATAGGATCCATTTCTTCTTGCTTTTTCTTCAATGCTGCTTCACATATGGTTACAAGATCTTGCACTAAATAGTACTTTGCTTCTGCTAATATCTCTGCAATTTCCCTTCTGTTGTCTGGCAGAGCCACGGACCCATCTCGCAGAAAATTAAGTATTGTACCAAAGTGCTTCCCACAGCGATCTATAAGGATCCAACCTGTTCATGCAAAAATTAATGTTGTAATTTGTAAGTTGTGGCAGAACTTCTTGAAATCAAATTCCAAGATGTACAATTATACCACAAAGAATATTTCTTTTTTACTGTATTTATAGTTTTTTATTGGTTAGCTAATATGTCAGGTTTTAAAATGTTATTTGTATAGATGTAGACTGTGGTATGCAGGGTAGATGGACTTGAGGTTGAGGCCTTTGCTTTCATGCATTAGCAGACAGTACATATCAGAATCGTCAATACATGTAGGAGTGCTTATGCATGAATTTTCGTGCTAGGTGGACATGTGCATTATTAAATATAAAGATTCCTCAACAAACCAATGTGGCAGCTAAACACAATTCTGAGAAACTCAGACCTCGCCTATTGAAGCTGTATAACTTCAACAAATTGGGTAAATATCAAGTACCTTCATATACACTTCCAAAATACACGCCCAGTTTAAAAATTAGTAGCATTTGCTGCCAACTAACCTTCTGAGTCTGTTAAGACCTCCATACGACCGCTAAACATTGCTCTCAGCATATTGTCGTGCTTCGTTAATGTCCCTATAGTTGTGTAGTGCAATGATCCACCCACATTTAACTTCACATATTTAGACGCATTTCCTTTGATGACAGTTCGGGCAGTGTCTCCATTCCCGACATTCGGCTCAGATTTAAGTGCCGGTTCTCCCGACATGGTGGGAGTTCGATTAAAATTAACACAACCAACGTTCTTGGAATAGTGTTCCCCGTCGTCTGTCAACCGACGGGGAAGTTATGAACCGGTGTCGCAGATTATTTCAAGCTTATATATAGAAGCTTATTTTCAGCTCATGAGTAATCTAATCTGAGGTCACCGATACAGAAAAAGTCAGCACATATTTGGAACATATTTAAAGGATAATATAAATAGAATAAAAATTCCATGATATTGTGAAATCTAATTTTCATGTACAATAATGTACATATCTATTTATTTTTATTCAATGATAATCAAATGATACCCTCAGGTCACTTTCTTGTCTTTACAAAACTATTTGCAGGTATCCAGATAGCTCTTCTTAGCAACATTCCAGTGTTTGAAAATGGCGGACGAGGCACTTGCCAGAGCGGGTCTTCATTTTGACGAGTTAAATAAGATAAGGGTGCTTGAGCCAGAGGTGTCTCAAGATACCACAGAATTGAAGGAAGAATGTAAAGATTTTGTAGATAGTAAGTACCCGTGATAAACTCGCCATACATAAGTGTTATTCCTTTGATATGATAAGAGAAGATAATAATAAGTGAAAATTAAATAAAGTTCAGAACTCGAAATGGGGTTAAAAACTGTGGATAGTATTTTGTAGTCGGCTTTGGTTTAAGTAATACATTGCTGATAATTAAAATTTGAAATTCTTAATTTTACATCATAAAATGGCATACTGTTCATTTTTTTAAAAAGTGTTTTTGACCTTTTCGAAAAAGTTCACTTTAGTTTCTAGATGTAAGTTAAGTCATTTAGACTTCAGGTTTTATAATATCTTGTATGCTATGATGTCAATTAAAAATTGTCAGATACCCAGGTTGTATCAATATATGGAAACCATAGTACATATAGTTATATCACAAAGATTTTGTTATGCACATGTCAGAAAAGGCATTTGAAGACAAGATATACTATACATTCAAGTTCAGATACGATTTTTGCCAATTAAAGTCAGAACCCCATGGTTTTGTGCCTTAAGCATGCCTCAAGCCCAGTTTTAAAGATTGCCAAGCCATTTCTTTCTACTTTTTGCTAAAAAAAACCCAAATCATGTCGGATATTTGAGCAATTGTAAAAATTATAAAAAATTTTCTGAAGCTACTTGGACATATTCATAACAAGCTCTCTACATTTTTGTATTACAGAAATGGGTGAATTTCAGAAGATAGTGGGATCATTTATAGATATGGTAGACAAAGTGTCAAAAGAAGTTGAAAAAGAAAAAATGAAGGCAAGTTCACAATAAGATCGACTATTACCAGATTTTACTGATCAGATATGTATTTTATTTGGTGCTATAATTTATAAAGAAACAATTCAATCTGTCAATCAAGTGTAAGGTTGGAAATGAAGATGGAGGTGATGCTCAAATTTGAATATTACAAAACGGTGTGCTACATATTTCCAATAATCCATTATCATGATATTGAATTTTTATGTCAACTTTGTCTGTTCACAGGCTATTGGATCCAGGAATCTCCTTAAATCAATTGCAAAACAAAGAGAGGCTCAGCAACAGCAGCTACAGGCATTATTAGCTGAAAAGAAAATGCAGTCAGAAAGGTACATTTTTCTTTTATTCAAGTAATTTACCTCTTGTAATTTTAGTGTTTCATTTGGCATAAAATTGACATTTCAGTCTTTATAACTTGAAAATGTGCTGCAGAGAGCTGTAATGCATTGAGTAAAATTTTTGTCTTGTTATTGGCATCAGTAGTTATAAAGCAACTTTTGCTGTTTTTTTTTCAGGTTACGAGTACAATATGAAGCTTTACAAAAGGAAGAGGCAGAGCAAAATGAATTTATTGAACAGTTCATTTTACAAAAATGAAACTCTCAACTGGACTGTGATATCTTATTAAAGAAAAGCAAATTGTATGTTTTTGTAGCATGGGAAAGCAGGAAGGTTTTCATGTATTCCACAGGACAGGAGCACAGCAGTGCGCTTTTCTTTTTATGTAACTGACTAAGCAGAACTACTTTGCAACACATAACCAGTGCCAGATTATTCACTGAACATCAGTGCAGAGGTCGACCTTTTTTCAGAAAACAAGTGAACTGCAATATCTCCTATCGGTCTCATACATTGAGGCGTGTCAACTTGGGTTTTAAATATTTGCCAATTCATAATTGTATTATGTTGAAAGCAGTACAGTACTCTTGCAATTTATAGAGTATTCGTTAGGTTTTTTTTTAACATTTTGAATGACACGTACAATCTACAACCATTAACCCCAAAAATATATTGTTAAATTAAAGACAGAAAAAAAAGCAACTTTCTTGTTACTAAAGTGATGCTTGTTATTCTTACTTACTCTTTGAAATATATTTTTTCGTATGTGACCTTGAAGTTCTAAGTTTATTTAAATAGTCCAGGCCCCCATTTCACGAAAAGAATATTAAATCTGTAGTTGACTAGTAGCCCGACGTAACTAAGTGATGTAAGGACTTAATTATGTTGGTAACCAAGTTCTGGGAACCCGACTTAAGTTTTTTTGTGAAACAGAGGCCAGATCAAGTCTGCTTATTTCTTCTGCTTTAACCATCAAAAAGACATAATGTAGTGTACCATTCATCAATGTGTAATTTGACCAAAATTGTAATTTAGACAAAAACAAAGCTTTAACAAAAACACAGAAGTATCAAATCCAATATATTCATTCTTTCATATTGTCAGTTTGAAACAAAAAGAGTCATTTCTTCTTTTTCAAATTTTATTGAAAATGAAAACAAATATCACAATTGTACTTATTAAAGATTAAGTACAGATCACAGTTCTTAAAGCAACAACAGAAACTGTTGTTATGTAACATAGAATAATATAATAGTAACAAAAATAAATTAATTTACAAACACCATACATACAACTTTTTGATTACAATAGTCAATTTTTCAACATCCTACTTGTATAATAACTTCCTCTGATTTTACATTATCATATCAAAAGTTTATCTTTGGTATAACTCAGTAAGTTAAAAAAAGTATTTTTATATAGTATAATAGAAGTTCATTTGGCAATGATACTAGATTTTCTGCTGGATTAGTCCACTTCCTCCACAGTGGGGCCACCATGTGGTCCTCCTGTAGGCTGATCTCCTGCTCCCCTCTGTCCTGCACCATGGATCTTTGCCATGATTGGTGAGCATACCTTCTCCAGCTCTTTCAGCTGATACTCAAATTCATCTTTTTCAGCCAGTGAATTATCATCTAGCCACTTCATGGTATCATTGCACTTGTTCAACACAGCATCTTTGTCTTCAGAGGAAATCTTGCCTGCTCCATCTTCAGCAGCCTGCTTGTAGCTGAACATCATGGATTCTAACTTGTTTCTGGCTGCTATTTTTTCACGCTGCATTTCATCTTCTTTGCTGTACTTCTCTGCCTCGGAGACCATACGATCAATGTCCTCCTTGGACAGTCTGCCTTTGTCATTTGTAATGGTGATGTTGTTGGACTTGCCTGTGCTCTTGTCTTGTGCTGTTACATGCAGGATGCTGTTAGCGTCAATGTCAAAAGTCACCTCAATCTGAGGGACACCACGGGGGGCAGGGGGGATGCCACTTAGCTCAAATGTGCCCAGTTTATGATTGTCCTTGGTCATTGCCCTCTCACCTTCAAACACCTGGATGCTGACCCCTGGTTGATTGTCGGCATAAGTGGTGAATATCTGCGATGTCTTGGTGGGAATACGTGTGTTGCGGGTGACCAAGTTTGTCATGACACCTCCAGCTGTTTCAATACCCAGTGACAGAGGCACAACATCAATGAGCAACACATCTTTTACAGTGTCATCCTGGACTCCAGTCAATATGGCTGCCTGGACTGCAGCTCCATAAGCAACAGCCTCATCTGGGTTAATGGACTGGTTCAGTTCTTTTCCATTCATAAAATCTTTCAGCATTTTCTGGATCTTGGGTATACGTGTAGACCCACCCACCAGGACAATTTCTGCAATTTGTGACTTGTCTAGTTTAGCATCTAAAAGAGCTTTTTCAACTGGTACAAGAGTAGAACGGAAAAGGTCAGCACACAGTTCCTCGAATCTGGCCCTGCTGATGCTGGAATAAAAGTCAACACCTTCATACAGGGAATCTATTTCTATGTTGGCCTGGGAACTGCTGGACAGGGTTCTCTTTGCTCTCTCACATGCTGTTCTGAGACGTCGCATTGCTCTGTTATTACCACTGATGTCTTTTTTGTATTTGCGCTTGAATTCCTGTACGAAGTGGTTGACCATCCTGTTGTCAAAGTCTTCACCACCAAGGTGTGTATCACCAGCAGTAGAGCGTACCTCAAACAAGGATCCATCAGCAATTGACAGGATTGAAACATCAAAAGTGCCACCACCCAGGTCAAAAATTAGGACATTTTTCTCACCCTGTAGCTTCTTGTCTAGTCCATAAGCAAGGGCAGCAGCTGTTGGCTCATTGATAATACGAAGTACTTTCAGACCTGCTATTGCACCAGCATCTTTAGTGGCCTGTCTTTGTGAGTCATTAAAGTAGGCTGGCACAGTGATAACAGCTTCGTTGACCTTCTGACCCAAGTATGCTTCTGCTGTCTCTTTCATCTTAGTGAGAACCATAGAGCTTATTTCTTCAGGAGTGCATTTCTTGGTCTCACCTTTGTATTCAACTTGAACCTTGGGTTTACCGCCATCGTTCACAATCTTGAAGGGCCAGTGTTTGCTGTCTGCCTGCACCGCTGGATCATCAAATTTACGGCCAATCAGTCTCTTTGCGTCGAACACTGTGTTCTGTGGGTTGAGGGCAACTTGATTTTTAGCCGCATCGCCGATCAATCTCTCACTGTCTGTGAAGGCAACGTAGCTCGGTGTCGTTCGGTTGCCCTGGTCGTTTGCGATGATTTCAACCTTTCCATGCTGATAAACACCAACACAGGAGAAGGTTGTCCCCAAGTCAATACCTATCGCTGGAGCTTTCCCTGGCATGTTGTCGTTTTACTTTAACTTGCGATGAATAAAAACGATGAGAAAATGTATAGCGTATGGTTCGCTTTTCGCTAGCCAATACCTTTTTCTTGCTTATTTCTGTCTTTGAATTTAGACAACTGATCTCTGTGTCGCACGTAACGCCCTTATATACCGTATCCATGTCTATTTCTGTGTATTCCAGTTGATTCTAAATCTTGAAGCTGCGAGAAAGACCTCGAAACTCCTGATTCCGCGTGCTTCTGTTTACGGAAGTTTCTAGCATCGTGACGTCATCGGCGCAGTAGGTTGCGCAAATGCCTATATTGTATGTGCATTCACTTCCGTTTTCAATTGCTCGCTTGGAAAGAAGAGAAACGCTGCAGGGCTTACAATATAGGATGCCAAATATTACCCAAGGTGTGGAAGTCTGGGAAGTTGATCCTAAGGATACAACTCGCTTCATTGTCAGTTCTGGTTATCTACCTCTACCAGTACAGATTACACCTAGTCTAGGATTTAATTTGACGTTAAAAATGAAATATTACGATGCTAGGCTTGATCATCATCTCAATGTCACGATCTTTATCTAAATCGCGGCGTCACAACGAAAAGAACTTTCGAGAACATTCTAGAATTCAGTATGATGCCAAGTTCTTATGGAATAGTATTTAATGGTTAAGTGCTAACAGAAAGTTCCAGTTCATGCCACTATTGTATTATTAATACGAAGTCATTTTGGCAGAAACTACCAGAATTCGGAACCCTTCCATGCACTTTTCATTACTAAATGTAACTGATAATTACTGTATTACGGTTATGAGTATTAATGTATGCCTTTTGCTGTACAAACTGCTTTTTGCTGTACCCTGTTTGGAATTGGACTGCCTCCTAAGACACTATCGGATTCACACCGCNTGTATATAAAGCGAGCGTACCCTAGGTTCTAGATTGTGGTATTGCCAGCTCGATCTTGATTTCATATATGACCCACATCAGCAATACCGTAAAGCTGTTAACACTGTAAAGCTAACACATGGAAAAGTAAAGTGACAAGCTAGCTTTATAGTGCCCTGACACTCCGGGTAAGAGAGCCTGGATTTCCAATACCGCGTTTAGCCAGGTCACCAACTCACCCCGTTCAAAATTTCTATTTAGATACTTAACTTATTATATGTAAACGTCAGTTCGGATTGAACAAAATGTAGATAAATCTTAAGATCATCTGAAGATTGTAGCTTGAAGGAATATTTACTAGGAATTTCACCCATTTTTTTTTTTATTTGCAAGTCGACAGTATAATGGCCCTTTAGTTTTAAAAACTGAAGAGGAAGGCATCCAAGACAGAGAACGTTTTTGAAAAACGCATCTTCCCTGAAACAGATTGGTATGCCTTACAAGCACTACAATAAAAATTACCAGTAGAAATTTGCAAATTGGACACATTATTAAATCGGGAAATAGAAACATGTTGACTGGTGCCTGCTTTATGTGTCTAAGATTTATATGAACATATTTCAATGTCAGTACTATGTACACTTTTAAAGAAATCAAATGTAATACAGTTCTAGTATGCAATTTCCAGATTGTGTGTCTAAACTCCTAATGGAAGTGATGGGTTACTGGAGGAGGAGATGGTCGAACAAAGACTGTGTCCATAGAAGAATGTTTACAGATTACCAGACAAAAACCAATTGGTTATAATAATTTGTATCACATTGTACTAGTGTGTTCAAATACAGTAAATGACATTCCAGTGACAGTTTAAATGAAGACATGATAACATTTAAAGTTTGTTAAACGTTGTCCTTACTTTATTAACTTAAAAGAGAAATGACATATTTTCTTGCTTTCCTTAACATTTGAAACATTTGATAAAGGTGTGAGATGTCTTTTAATTGTATCAAACTTACAGTTTTCGCTGATTCAAGCAGTCAATCCTTGCACCCACTCCCCTTCTTCATTCCCATAAAAGGACAATATCACAAAGTTATTTTAAAAGTTTTTATACAAGTCTTTTTTTTCTGAAACAAATGGTTTATTTCCGTCGTAATCTATCTACACCTCTCTCGATCCTCTCCCTCTCTTCCTCATCATCACTGTGATAACCAGCCACTGTGGCGCCTACGGTGTGTCCTCTAGTGGCCTGCATCAGCTCTGCATCAGGACCCTTGTCACGATTTTCATATAGCAATACATTCAGTGTCTCTTCATATATTCTTGCCTCAGGAAACTCAACCTGTTGATACATTTTAAAGCAGCCATTAACAAGGCAGCAAAGCTGTCAAATGTACAGACAAAAAGCAGGAAATAACAAAATAGGCTACTGTCAATTCTGATGCAAAAGTACATTATGTTAAACTGCAAATTCAACATCAAATTTTAATTTTGCTCAACAGGTAATACCAATGTAAGTAAAATGTGTAACAAGCATAAGGCTTTGGGCCCATGGGAGTTCAAGTTCACACTTTGAAAATGTAAAACTTCCAGAAAAAGAAGTCAATTAGACTGCTTTTCCAACTCAGGCTGCACTTTAGTCCTGTATTTCTTTTTTGAAAGTTTGGCAATCGTAAGTAACGTGTTTTCCCCAAAATGGTCATCATGGCAGCAGCACCCAAAATTGTGTTTTCTTCTATTTTGATGCAATATTACATAATGGCTTTAACAGCATAATGTCAATCAATTTTTAATAATAAAATAAACATATCATGGATTTTCAGAAAATGTGACTAGCATGGGTCTTCAAGCCCGTAGAACTTCAAAGTCACACATTGAAAATGCCAATATGTAAAAAATTAAATTTTCACAAAAAAATGTTTAACTGGCAGATTGCATTGCCTACTGAAGCTATATTTTAGTCCCATGTTTCTTTCCTGTAAGTTTGAGAACAGTAAGTGACATGGTTTTTCTTAAATGGTCATCATGGGAGCAGTGCCCAAAATAGGTTTTTTTCAAATTTTGATGCAATATTACATAATGTTTAACAGCATAATGACCATCAATTTTTAATAATAAAATATTAGTATCATGGATATTCAGAAAATGTGACTAGCAAAGGTCTTCAGGCCCATGGAACTTCAAAGTCACAACTTGAAAAAGCCAAAATGTAAACAAGACAGCACTGTTCTGAGATGTTTTTTTTTTCATTTTTTACAATTTTTAACATAAAACAAAATTAACAGTTTACTGCCATTTTTATATGATCAACTAAGAAAATTGATGAGTTGGGAAAAATATCAATAGAACAGTGTTAAATGTCCAATTTCTTCCATTCTGAGATTCTGAACACAGTGAATGATTGAATCTGACAAACTGCAATGATATGAGTTTATTTCCATTTTTGACACTTTATTACACAATACACGATAACAAGTTTACCATCATTTTTACAAAGTCAACTAACAATGTTGTAAAGATGCAGGAAATGTCAAACAAACACTTTTATGTATCTTATTAATTAAATAATGAGACTGTTAACATGCCTAAGAATTGAATCTGAGGAAATGTGAAAAAACAGCATAACTTCTAAAATAATAGCCCGAATTTGCTGATTTTCGAACTCAACCTGCCTTTTGGCAGGATTGACCACTCCTGTGAGTTTATTGACAATTGGCCAATCTGTTTTTCTTATATTGTGTTTACAGTGTTGCATATATACTGAAAAGTGAAAAAAAAGCATAACTACTAAAATAGTGGCCCGATCATGCTGATTTTCGAACTTGACCTGTGTTTTAGTAAGATTTATTACTCCTGTGAGTTTTATGACAACAGGCTTATCGGTTTTCCTTAAAATATGTTTACAGTGTTGCATATATGCTTAAAAAGTGAAAAAACAGTATAACTTCTACAATAATGGCCCTATCATGCTGATTTTCGAACTTGACCTGCGTTTTATGAATATTCATCAGCTCTGTAAATATAAAGCCAAAAAGTAAAACTGCCCTCCACTTTACAAGGAAAGTGCATGGCGCCGGCGACGACGGCGACGACAGACGCAGGTGATGGCAATATGTACAGACACATCTGTGTCTGTACATAAAAAAGAACGGATTTTAATTTTCAAGTTTTTAATACCAGCATTTCAAAATAACTGACTGATGTTTTAGAACTTTTTTTATCTATTATGGACCAAAATGTGAACAGATCTTATTCTAATCATACATCATATATTAATTATTCCATACCCACCTTTGTGTGTTTTTTATCTGTTCCATATACTATAGAGGTACAGCAGACCTCTGCTATTTTTGATCCATGTCCATAAAAAGACCAGCAACAGATCTCATTACTTCCAATGACGTCCTTCACAAACAAAACACGCCCATTAAATCTCAGTGATAACTTGTCAAAGAGCTCCAGGTTCCTCAATAAATTGTCATCAGAATGACTGAAATATACAAAAGAAAATTAGACACACAATCAAAAAACAAAAAGAAAGATTGGGGAAAAACAAATCTAATGCACAGGAGGCCATTTATTGGTGTAAAATATTCAATTTAGTAAACTGACATTTTCTATACCATGTTTTGAATTTCATTAAAAAATTTTGAAGGCTTTTTGAATTTCATTTGAGAAGAACAAAATTCTTTGCAAACCTTTGCTATTATAAAGACTGATGTGAAAAACTTTATTCTAATGCTTTCTGTGCAAGTAATGCAGTTTAAATATTTTAAACACAGTATACTAACATTATATCATGGTAATTAATCACCAAATTATTTTCATTTTAAAACTAAACATTTCCCCCATGTCATATTATTTACCAAAATGTCTAACAAATTCACAAATAGTTAGAATATCACAGTTTTAAATGTATCCCCCCTATATCCTATATTACATATATTTTTTAAAGAATGGGATGAGCATATCATAAAAATCAAACTTTTTTTTTTTTTTTTGGGGGGGGGGGCATGCATTTAAATTCATCAAAACAATTCTGCGAAATGGTTTACATTATTACCTTGTGTAAGAGTATTTGTTATTATGTCTATTGCACGACAACTTCACTACAGGCTGAAATGAACAGAAAATTCAAAGTTATGCAAATATACAAAATACAGTGTTAAAAGCATAATGATAATAATAAAAGGCACCAATATTTTAAAATATCAAAATATAAACAATATATAAACATTTAGAGCAAAATTAAGCAAGAGGAATAATTTTCACTGGTTATAGATGCAAAATATGTTGGTGTGTGTATAATTCTGTTCCATTAATGAATAAATGAATACAGATCAATGGTTTGCATCAGCTGTTCATCCCATAGTCGACATATAGTTACCTTTGATGTTGAGCTGATCAGCAATTGCTCCTCTTTACTAGATGTGATCAATGGAACTTTGCAGATAGGATCCATTTCTTCTTGCTTTTTCTTCAATGCTGCTTCACATATGGTTACAAGATCTTGCACTAAATAGTACTTTGCTTCTGCTAATATCTCTGCAATTTCCCTTCTGTTGTCTGGCAGAGCCACGGACCCATCTCGCAGAAAATTAAGTATTGTACCGAAGTGCTTCCCACAGCGATCTATAAGGATCCAACCTGTTCATGCAAAAATTAATGTTGTAATTTGTAAGTTGTGGCAGAACTTCTTGAAATTAAATTCCAAGATGTAAATTATACCACAAAGAATATTTCTTTTTTACTGTATTTATAGTTTTCTATTGGTTAGCTAATATGTCAGGTTTTAAAATGTTATTTGTATAGATGTAGACTGTGGTATGCAGGGTAGATGGACTTGAGGTTGAGGCCTTTGCTTTCATGCGTTAGCAGACAGTACATATCAGAATCGTCAATACATGTAGGAGTGCTTATGCATGAATTTTCGTGCTAGGTGGACATGTGCATTATTAAATATAAAGATTCCTCAACAAACCAATGTGGCAGCTAAACACAATTCTGAGAAACTCAGACCTCGCCTATTGAAGCTGTATAACTTCAACAAATTGGGTAAATATCAAGTACCTTCATATACACTTCCAAAATACACGCCCAGTTTAAAAATTAGTAGCATTTGCTGCCAACTAACCTTCTGAGTCTGTTAAGACCTCCATACGACCGCTAAACATTGCTCTCAGCATATTGTCGTGCTTCGTTAATGTCCCTATAGTTGTGTAGTGCAATGATCCACCCACATTTAACTTCACATATTTAGACGCATTTCCTTTGATGACAGTTCGGGCAGTGTCTCCATTCCCGACATTCGGCTCAGATTTAAGTGCCGGTTCTCCCGACATGGTGGGAGTACGATTACAATTAACACAACCAACGTTCTTGGAATAGTGTTCCCCGTCGTCTGTCAACCGACGGGGAAGTTATGAACCGGTGTCGCAGATTATTTCAAGCTTATATATAGAAGCTTATTTTCAGCTCATGAGTAATCTAATCTGAGGTCACCGATACAGAAAAAGTCAGCATATATTTGGAACATATTTAAAGGATAATATAAATAGAATAAAACTTCCATGATATTGTGAAATCTAATTTTCACGTACAATAATGCACATATCTATTTTTTTATTCAATGATAATCAAATGATACCCTCAGGTCACTTTCTTGTCTTTACAAAACTATTTGCAGGTATCCAGATAGCTCTTCTTAGCAACATTCCAGTGTTTGAAAATGGCGGACGAGGCACTTGCCAGAGCGGGTCTTCATTTTGACGAGTTAAATAAGATAAGGGTGCTTGAGCCAGAGGTGTCTCAAGATACCACAGAATTGAAGGAAGAATGTAAAGATTTTGTAGATAGTAAGTACCCGTGATAAACTCGCCATACATAAGTGTTATTCCTTTGATATGATAAGAGAAGATAATAATAAGTGAAAATTAAATAAAGTTCAGAACTCGAAATGGGGTTAAAAACTGTGGATAGTATTTTGTAGTCGGCTTTGGTATAAGTAATACATTGTTGATAATTAAAATTTGAATTCTTAATTTTACATCATAAAATGGCATACTGTTCATTTTTTTAAAAAGTTTTTGACCTTTTCGAAAAAGTTCACTTTATTTTCTAGATGTAAGTTAAGTCATTTAGACTTCAGGTTTTATAATATCTTGTATGCTATGATGTCAATTAAAAATTGTCAGATACCCAGGTTGTATCAATATATGGAAACCATAGTACATATAGTTATATCACAAAGATTTTGTTATGCACATGTCAGAAAAGGCATTTGAAGACAAGATACTATACATTCAAGTTCAGATACGATTTTTGCCAATTAAAGTCAGAACCCCATGGTTTTGTGCCTTAAGCATGCCTCAAGCCCAGTTTTAAAGATTGCCAAGCCATTTCTTTCTACTTTTTGCTAAAAAACCCCAAATCATGTCGGATATTTGAGCAATTGTACATATTCATAACAAGCTCTCTACTTTTTTGTATTACAGAAATGGGTGAATTTCAGAAGATAGTGGGATCATTTATAGATATGGTAGACAAAGTGTCAAAAGAAGTTGAAAAAGAAAAAATGAAGGCAAGTTCACAATAAGATCGACTATTACCAGATTTTACTGATCAGATATGTATTTTATTTGGTGCTATAATTTATAAAGAAACAATTCAATCTGTCAATCAAGTGTAAGGTTGGAAATGAAGATGGAGGTGATGCTCAAATTTGAATATTACAAAACGGTGTGCTACATATTTCCAATAATCCATTATCATGATATTGAATTTTTATGTCAACTTTGTCTGTTCACAGGCTATTGGATCCAGGAATCTCCTTAAATCAATTGCAAAACAAAGAGAGGCTCAGCAACAGCAGCTACAGGCATTATTAGCTGAAAAGAAAATGCAGTCAGAAAGGTACATTTTTCTTTTATTCAAGTAATTTACCTCTTGTAATTTTAGTGTTTCATTTGGCATGAAATTGACATTTCAGTCTTTATAACTTGAAAATGTGCTGCAGAGAGCTGTAATGCATTGAGTAAAATTTTTGTCTTGTTATTGGCATCAGTAGTTATAAAGCAACTTTTGCTGGGTTTTTTTTTTCAGGTTACGAGTACAATACGAAGCTTTACAAAAGGAAGAGGCAGAGCAAAATGAATTTATTGAACAGTTCATTTTACAAAAATGAAACTCTCAACTGGACTGTGATATCTTATTAAAGGAAAGCAAATTGTATGTTTTTGTAGCATGGGAAAGCAGGAAGGTTTTCATGTATTCCACAAGTCAAAGGACAGTGCGCTTTTCTTTTTATGTAACTGACTAAGCAGAACTACTTAGCAACACATAACCAGTGCCAGATTATTCACTGAACATCAGTGCAGAGGTCGGACCTTTTTTCAGAAAACAAGTGAACTGCAATATCTCCTATCGGTCTCATACATTGAGGCGTGTCAACTTGGGTTTTAAATATTTGCCAATTCATAATTGTATTATGTTGAAAGCAGTACAGTACTCTTGCAATTTATAGAGTATTCGTTAGGTTTTTTTTTAACATTTTGAATGACACGTACAATCTACAACCATTAACCCCAAAAATATATTGTTAAATTAAAGACAGAAAAAAAAGCAACTTTCTTGTTACTAAAGTGATGCTTGTTATTCTTACTTACTCTTTGAAATATATATTTTTTCGTATGTGACCTTGAAGTTCTAAGTTTATTTAAATAGTCCAGGCCCCCATTTCACAAAGAATATTAAATCTGTAGTTGACTAGTAGCCCGACGTAACTAAGTGATGTAAGGACTTAATTATGTTGGTAACCAAGTTCTGGGAACCCGACTTAAGTTTTTTTGTGAAACGGAGGCCAGATCAAGTCTGCTTATTTCTTCTGCTTTAACTAATTTGACCAAAATTGTAATTTAGACAAAAACAAAGCTTTAACAAAAACACAGAAGTATCAAATCCAATATATTCATTCTTTCACATTGTCAGTTTGAAAACAAAAAGAGTCATTTCTTCTTTTTCAAATTTTATTGAAAATGAAAACAAATATCACAATTGTACTTATTAAAGATTAAGTACAGATCACAGTTCTTAAAGCAACAACAGAAACTGTTGTTATGTAACATAGAATAATATAATAGTAACAACAATAAATTAATTTACAAACACCATACATGCAACTTTTTGATTACAATAGTCAATTTTTCAACATCCTACTTGTATAATAACTTCCTCTGATTTTACATTATCATATTAAAAGTTTATCTTTGGTATAACTCAGTAAGTTAAAAAAAGTATTTTTATATAGTATAATAGAAGTTCATTTGGCAATGGTACTAGATTTTCTGCTGGATTAGTCCACTTCCTCCACAGTGGGGCCACCATGTGGTCCTCCTGTAGGCTGATCTCCTGCTCCCCTCTGTCCTGCACCATGGATCTTTGCCATGATTGGTGAGCATACCTTCTCCAGCTCTTTCAGCTGATACTCAAATTCATCTTTTTCAGCCAGTGAATTATCATCTAGCCACTTCATGGTATCATTGCACTTGTTCAACACAGCATCTTTGTCTTCAGAGGAAATCTTGCCTGCTCCATCTTCAGCAGCCTGCTTGTAGCTGAATATCATGGATTCTAACTTGTTTCTGGCTGCTATTTTTTCACGCTGCATTTCATCTTCTTTGCTGTACTTCTCTGCCTCGGAGACCATACGATCAATGTCCTCCTTGGACAGTCTGCCTTTGTCATTAGTAATGGTGATGTTGTTGGACTTGCCTGTGCTCTTGTCTTGTGCTGTTACATGCAGGATGCTGTTAGCGTCAATGTCAAAAGTCACCTCAATCTGAGGGACACCACGGGGGGCAGGGGGGATGCCACTTAGCTCAAATGTGCCCAGTTTATGATTGTCCTTGGTCATTGCCCTCTCACCTTCAAACACCTGGATGCTGACCCCTGGTTGATTGTCGGCATAAGTGGTGAATATCTGCGATGTCTTGGTGGGAATACGTGTGTTGCGGGTGACCAAGTTTGTCATGACACCTCCAGCCGTTTCAATACCCAGTGACAGAGGCACAACATCAATGAGCAACACATCTTTTACAGTGTCATCCTGGACTCCAGTCAATATGGCTGCCTGGACTGCAGCTCCATAAGCAACAGCCTCATCTGGGTTAATGGACTGGTTCAGTTCTTTTCCATTCATAAAATCTTTCAGCATTTTCTGGATCTTGGGTATACGTGTAGACCCACCCACCAGGACAATTTCTGCAATTTGTGACTTGTCTAGTTTAGCATCTAAAAGAGCTTTTTCAACTGGTACAAGAGTAGAACGGAAAAGGTCAGCACACAGTTCCTCGAATCTGGCCCTGCTGATGCTGGAATAAAAGTCAACACCTTCATACAGGGAATCTATTTCTATGTTGGCCTGGGAACTGCTGGACAGGGTTCTCTTTGCTCTCTCACATGCTGTTCTGAGACGTCGCATTGCTCTGTTATTACCACTGATGTCTTTTTTGTATTTGCGCTTGAATTCCTGTACGAAGTGGTTGACCATCCTGTTGTCAAAGTCTTCACCACCAAGGTGTGTATCACCAGCGGTAGAGCGTACCTCAAACAAGGATCCATCAGCAATTGACAGGATTGACACATCAAAAGTGCCACCACCCAGGTCAAAAATTAGGACATTTTTCTCACCCTGTAGCTTCTTGTCTAGTCCATAAGCAAGGGCAGCAGCTGTTGGCTCGTTGATAATACGAAGTACTTTCAGACCTGCTATGGCACCAGCATCTTTAGTGGCCTGTCTTTGTGAGTCATTAAAGTAGGCTGGCACAGTGATAACAGCTTCGTTGACCTTCTGACCCAAGTATGCTTCTGCTGTCTCTTTCATCTTAGTGAGAACCATAGAGCTTATTTCTTCAGGAGTGCATTTCTTGGTCTCACCTTTGTATTCAACTTGAACCTTGGGTTTACCGCCATCGTTCACAATCTTGAAGGGCCAGTGTTTGCTGTCTGCCTGCACCGCTGGATCATCAAATTTACGGCCAATCAGTCTCTTTGCGTCGAACACTGTGTTCTGTGGGTTGAGGGCAACTTGATTTTTAGCCGCATCGCCGATCAATCTCTCACTGTCTGTGAAGGCAACGTAGCTCGGTGTCGTTCGGTTGCCCTGGTCGTTTGCGATGATTTCAACCTTTCCATGCTGATAAACACCAACACAGGAGAAGGTTGTCCCCAAGTCAATACCTATCGCTGGAGCTTTCCCTGGCATGTTGTCGTTTTACTTTAACTTGCGATGAATAAAAACGATGAGAAAATGTATAGCGTATGGTTCGCTTTTCGCTAGCCAATATCTTTTTCTTGCTTATTTCTGTCTTTGAATATAGACAACTGATCTCTCTGTCGCACGTAACGCCCTTATATACCGTATCCATGTCTATTTCTGTGTATTCCAGTTTATTCTAAATCTTGAAGCTGCGAGAAAGACCTCGAAACTCCTGATTCCGCGTGCTTCTGTTTACGGAAGTTTCTAGCATCGTGACGTCATCGGCGCAGTAGGTTGCGCAAATGCTTATATTGTATGTGTAATCACTTCCGTTTTCAATCGCTCGCTTGGAAAGAAGAGAAACGCTGCAGGGCTTACAATATAGGAGGCCAAATATTACCCAAGGTGTGGAAGTCTGGGAAGTTGATCCTAAGGATACAACTCGCTTCATTGTCAGTTCTGGTTATCTACCTCTACCAGTACAGATTACACCTAGTCTAGGATTTAATTTGACGTTAAAACTTAAAAATGAAATATTACGATGCTAGGCTTGATCATCATCTCAATGTCACGATCTTTATCTAAATCGCAGCGTCACAACGAAAAGAACTTTCGAGAACATTCTAGAATTCAGTATGATGCCAAGTTCTTATGGAATAGTATTTAATGGTTAAGTGCTAACAGAAAGTTCCAGTTCATGCCACTATTGTATTATTAATACGAAGTCATTTTGGCAGAAACTACCAGAATTCGGAACTCTTCCATGCACTTTTCATTACTAAATGTAACTGATAATTACTGTATTACGGTTATGAGTATTAATATATGCCTTTTGCTGTACAAACTGCTTTTTGCTGTACCCTGTTTGGAAATGGACTGCCTCCTAAGACACTATCGGATTCACACCACTCTATTATTTGGCCACTTATACAGAATAAATGATTTAAAACAAGAAACGCGTTTTTCAGTATTGAATACACAACGCTCCTGAGTTTCGGATATTTCACACCATAATGGCATCTAATGAAGTGAACGTTGCTACGAGTTTACGTACATTATAATTTGTGGAGAGGTGGGGGCAATCCCAAGTTGTTGAGAAATGCATTAGGAAGCCTTCTCGATCTTAGTTGTCGTAGCTTGTGTCTTTCTTGTCCCTAATGATTCTACCCTTTAAAGGTTAAGTACACGATGAGGTGCCCAACAAAGATACTAAATTGTAAATGGTGGTGGTCGTGTGCGAGTTAACAGGGGATGCATAACGCTGATAAATTATGTTTATGCCAAAAATCTACAATTAGTACTGCCAGCTTGAGACAAGGTAGCCCCTATTTGAGAGAACAGATATAAATTGTAAGGGAAAGCATTCATTAAAATTACTACAAGTATTATTGTACTGAAGTTTGGTTTTAAGATTGTCAAATTTTGGAATATTAAAATTGCGAACAGGAAGAACAACTGTAACCAAACCTTGCTTCCTAGTTGCATTACAAAAATGTCTTGCTCTTGTCAAAATTATTGCTGGCATTTGTTTAGAAATTTACTTCCAAAAGGCCATTCTGAAAACTTTGCCAACTGATAGCACCCACTATATTCTCCTTTTAAAATATCTTTTATTCACATACGTCACATTTTAGTGACATTTGGTAGCTTAGAACGGTCGGCACCTGTGCTATTTTATGGGCACATTTAGGACGAAAAAAAGCAAAGATTTGTAGTTACTCTGAGAACATACTTTACTTGTGTCTATATTCTTAGCATACTTCAGGAGTTCAACACCTTTTCATAAGACAACAAAAGAAATTATTTTTTAAAAAAATTTACTAGTTTCAGATACCATTCTATTTACATAAAACATACAAATGCTAAAATAGTTTTCCACATACGTGAAATCAGAAGTGCAAGACAAAATGGTCAACGTCCTTATATTTTCTTATTTGGTGATACCAGACATCAACATATGCAATAAAAACTCATTCAAATATAAATCTCAACCAGCTCAACTCTTTTTAATGTCTTCTCTTTCATTCAATTTTAATTTGCATTATTTTCCACATGAGAGAGTTGGTGCACTTTCATCCATCTTAATATGGACGATCTCTTCTATCTCGACGATCATCTCCTCTGAAAGTGTAAAGAAGGGGGAAGATAAGTCTCGGGCATCGAATACTCTGACATCTACACCAATTGAAGTCATACTGTCAGCTAAATGAGCATTATTTTTTTCTCATTTCTAAAACAAACATTTCTACTTTTTGACTATTGTATTAAATTAAACAGTAAATCAAAATATCGAAGAGGACAAAAACTGTGAAAAACCTACCTGCCACCCCTTCCTCTGCCTCTGTCTCCAAAGCCACCTCTTCCTCCACGTCCTCTGTCACCAAATCCTCCCCTTCCTCTGCCTCCTCTGTCGCCAAATCCACCACGGCCACCCCCACGTCCACGGAAACCACCACGACGATCTTGAAAAATTATCAAACAGAATCGTTCAATGCAGCTGTACTGTTTAAATCATTATTGGACACTCTTAAAAAATACCCTTACAATACCTGGTATCATTTTCCTAAAAAGTGGCTACTAAGGTGAATGTCAAAGAAGTAAATACTCACCACCGTCATCATCATCTGCACCCTCAGGCTTTGCAGTGTTACACCTGTTGCACTCATTCCTCCAAGAGAAATTGTTGTTGCCACAGTCACTGCAAAATATCAATACATTGAAAAGTGAATTTTTCTCTTTCACAATAGCAGGCTACAGTTAAGTTACTATGTTTCATGAAAACCTCTTTTCATTGTCATGTTTATTTCATGCCATATTCATTTGACACCAAGTGCCTATAATTATCTGGACTTTCAAAAGTTAAACTAGCTAGATATTATCAAGCCAGAAAACAAGAATCACTTACGGATTAGGGCAAGTCCAGTCACCAGGTCTGCCAGAACCACCTGATCCTGAAGAAACAAATATAAATCAATCAATTCAAAGCACCTTTAGTCATAGCAACATTTCATATGTTGCACCTTCACTTATAATAGTTAGTATTAGTGCCAGAGCATCCAAACATATTTGGCCATTTCTAGAACTGAAAGATCCTTATACTTACCACCACCTCTGCCACCACGATCTCCTCGACCACCTCTGTCAAACCCTCGACCTCCTCTATCAAAGCCACCTGCAAATTACAACTAAGAGTGTTAATCAACGATGGAATTTGTAATTTAATTTCCTACTTGTGCTACTGCCATAATGCATCAATTAGCAAAATGCTGTTGTACAGAAGTCACATTCTGAACTGTAATAATTTGAAGACAGAAATCGTACATCATAGTTTTGCCATTACCTCTTCCACGTCCCCTGCCACCGCCAGGCTGCCAAGCCTTTCTCTGGGCCAACTCTACTTTGATGATTTTGCCATTAAATTCTTTCTCTGAAGAAGCAAAATAAAGAAATGAGCCTAATTAATCCCACCTTCCCTTTTTTTCCTGTGCATTGCACTTTTAAGACTATATATTACAAGACTTAGGACAGCTTTAATGAAGAACACTTACCATTGAACCAGTTAATGGCAGAGGAAGCTGCCTCTGTGTCATCATAAGTAATGGTTGCTTCTCCTTTTGGAATGCCAGTCATCTTGTCCTTGTAGATGAAAATCTTTGGTTTGTTTGTTCTTCTGTCATTCTAAAACAACAACATTTCACCATTAAATCAGTTGTTAAAAAATTGCTTTTGTACAGCACAAAGATTATGATTTGAAAATTTTGCCCAGCTAGCTCTAACATTTGGCATGATGTGATAAATTAGGTTTTTGTCCTTTCTTGGATGGCCATCTTATTTGCAACTTGTACCCAAGTGAGATAAGAGTGGTAAAACAATTCTTTAGATTTCATTTACTCATTCCACAACAGTTTGTGGAGCATGGTATTGCATCAATTCTCACAATGTTACAATATTACTGTGTCCAGAGTTATAAGTCACGTGCAATATGATGTAGCAGCAGCATTAAGTAAAATCTGTTCAATTAACTTTTCTGAGACCTCCAAAATTGAACTTCAGTACTGAAACCAATAAATTCCCAACTTAATCCACTGCAAAAACCATGTATGCTCATCACAATTACCTTAATCACTCCAATAGAGCCAAAGTGTGCTGCCAGTGCCTCTTCGTTTACCTGTTGGCCAAGGTTGGTCACAAATATGGTGTCATACTGGGTCTCCATCTGTGCTCCACCTGCAATTACAACTCAAACATATACTAATGTGTTTAGAGGGAGGATCCAGATCTGCAAGACTTGTCAGTCTAAATACAACTCATTGGTTGATGTTTTGGCAACTTTTTTCATAGAATCCCTGCAAATCTGGATTAACAGTTCATAAGCAAATACTTCTAATCTTATAATAGATTAATACAGACTTGGGCTTCAAACAATTCTCGAAGTTTTAAACCCCCCTTGAAATGAGTTATTGAAGAAGTGATACAGAAAACACAATGTACTTCTGTTGGACAAAGAACTGAAGTTAGTATGAGAACTCCTGCAATATATTGAAATTGTAAGAACATCAAATGTATCATGCAATTTTCCTTTTTTTTAAATTTGTGGTGAACTTGTTTTATGTTTTTCGAACTGTGTGAATCCGAAAATGCTTTGCCTCTCTGGAGAGCAAACTAATAAACTTAGATAACCCATGGTTTGTGAACTTAATGAATCTGTGTAGCCTCTTTAGTCTTAGCCTTTTTTCACCTATATTATACTTTTGGCTACCTTCACCTTTCTAGAACACATGCAGGACCCGAACTGTGCTTATCATTACATACAGTATGTGTACCACACTCCTTTTTTGTAGATAAAAAAAAAGTATTTTATCCTTTTTAACAAAATTATGTATATTTAGTTATTTTTGCATTAGCAAACCACTTTGCTTTAACATTCAATTTTGAATCCTTATCAACAAATGACCCTTTTAATTTCTTTATAATACTAATCTATAATACATTCTTGGCAAGTTGTTTCCCACCATAAACTACTTTTATAGAAAACTTCTTTTGTCAAACACCAACACTACTACCCCATCATGTGATGTCATTCACATTTTCAGATTGTATTCCATTTGCATCCATCGAAATCCCCACTTCAGACTTATTTTTTAAGAACCAAACTGCTTTAGTACCTTTATCTTCAGCACACATTACCCAGAAATCAGATATCACCAAAAACAACTACTAACTTATAAACTTACTCCACTCGAAACATTACTTGCCCAGTGTTGATGTTTTTTTTTCACCATTGCTTTAGCAATCTAACAACTAAACCAATATATTTATGGTGTTAAGAAATCCTTATTGTAATCTTTTGTCATAAATATAAAATACAAATTTTCCATTTGAGCATGATAAGGTTTTTAAATCCATACCAATCTTTCTGAATCGGTTTCCTGTTCAGCTGTAACATCAAAACAGTGTTGTACGAGGCTTTATCCACATTGTATTGTGGTTATAAAATTGAAACCAGGCACCACTGTGACCATATCATAACAGTTCAGTTTTTTTTTTCTAGTCATTGATTTTGATGAACCACCTTTGTTTGTTGTAATAAAGGTTAAACAGTACTGTACTTAAATTAACATTTTTAATCACCATCGTTTTATTAACAAATGTCTTCATGTTGAAATATATATATATATATATATATATATATATATATATATATATATATATATATATATATATATATATATATATATATATAAAAATGAAACGGCACAGTGAGAATTGAATTCATGTGTGTTCATATAACCCCCTTATATTGAAACATTGCATTTCAGTAATCACATGGACAGGAAAACCACAAGGATTTATTTCGGACTTTGTATGTCCTACTACTGGGAAGAGCAGACAAATAAATACCAATAAAAATGAAGTATATTGTGTGTTATATTATTACACTTCAATTTAAATGATACAAAAACACATTCTTATCTGTCCAGAATATGTGCTGTGAATATCAGTAGATATTTCTCCATACATTTTATCCCTACCAATCCCCTTTATTTACACCGAGTAACAATATACTTATAGATACAATTCTTGCTCTTCCCATGAGTGGGTATCATTTGCCCACCTTGCATTCACTTACCACCATACCCTCCTTTGTCGTATCCACCTTGATTACCACCACTGAAACACATAGAAACCCTGTCCAGTACAGCACATTGCCCCTTGTTACTCATGTTACAGACTAGGGCAGAAGTGCGTACTGGTATACACTCTTCCTTCTTGACTCTGTTGTAAAGTTGAAACCACAATTCTGCTGCTATGCCCACTTTGCTGCATGTTGTTGGAGATCACCTTAAACTAAGTCTTAATTCACATGGGTTTTAAGGCAAACATTTTTTTTTAAATTAAACTTTTTTTTTGGCATGAAAGTATATTCAATAAAAATGAAAAAAAAAATAGGTGAAGTTTCTGGGAATTTTTAACGTAAAATTTTAGATTTCAAGGCACAAAAGACATTTTTCCAATGGTTAATTTCCAAAGAAAATGTTAAAAACAAATATTAAATGTAAATAAATAAATAGTTCAAAAATATTTTGCATTGTGAACATGACACAAAGCTTAGAAAAAAGTATTTTTCTATCAGCAGTACCAACTCTAAAGTGCTTATAGAAAAAAAAATGCTGACACCTTGTATGCTTTAATAACCAATCGTTGATATGCCATAATATTATTTTTGTTTACATATTAGGTAGCAACTTCCCAATGTTGCACAACCTGTGGATTCCCATGATTTTTGTATGTAATTCAGTGACAGTCAGTAAAAAGTACCCAGTTCTCATTATTTTAGGAAAATACTCCCACTAAAGCACACCTGAAATACCTGGTAAGAATTAAAATACTCAAAGAAAATTATTATAAAAGTAGCATAGAAGAGAACAATGTAACCAGTATAAATATATAATGGCTCTGTTAATTATATACAGGCCATCACCTTTTATAACCATTTTGTTCAACTCCATTTCATCACCATAACCTATGTTTAAAGTCATGACATCCTTGATTCACCAATGCATACCCATTATCATCCAGATAGTATTCAATGTACCACAAACAACCCTTGTAAAACCTTTTCATCAAGAACTCCAATGTTTTTTTTCTCTTGAAATTTTATATATCTTTTACCCAGAATACATTTGTTTTTTTTCCTATGTCTAATATTTTTTTATTACTTCTGAAGCTATGTCTTCAACCCTTCAATCCCCTACAAACTTACCCATATGATCCACCGCTGCGTCCTCCACCTAAAATGAACAATAAATACAAGTGAGAATATTGTTTCCTTCAGGTATCAAATAAGACTGATCTTTATGCAAACCAATCTTAAAATATATTCTTAATTTTGCTGTTCAACTACAAATGACAGTGCCTATAAAATAACAGCATCCAGTATAAGAAAATGTGACATTACCATAACCACCTCCCTGCTGTCCGTAGTTGCTGCCACCGCCACCATACCCTCCTCCTCCACCACCTCCACTGTGACCACCATAGCCACCAGACTGACCACCACTATGACCACCATAGCCACCAGATTGACCACCTGGGCCACCGTAGCCACCTTGCAAATAAACAGACTTATATAAGCTCTTTGACAAAAGTGAATTCGTAAGAAATCAATTCATACACCACCAAAGATACTGTATAAAATATTTCGAAATAAACCTTAAAACATGACATGGATAAAAAATACTGTTAACTGTCTCTTTATTAAAATGACACATCTTGCACTACCTGACTGCTGCTGTCCATATCCTCCTTGCTGCTGCTGTCCATAGCCACCAGAAGTATCAGACTGTCCATAGCTTTGCTGACCATAAGACTGCTGTTGTGGAGCTGGGGGCTGAGCTGGAGGTTGTTGACCATATCCACTCTGACCACCATAACCACCAGCTGACTGAGCACCTAAATCATAGCAAAACTGGGGTTTTAACAACAGCAACAAACACACATTTCTCAGTTATGAAAAAGTTTTCATCCTTTGCATCAAAGATACCAGTTATTAAAAAAAAAAAAAAAAAAAAAAACTGCTCAGCTAAGTGTCATCATAGAATTTTCTCTTTTTATCTTTCTTCCTTTCTGCTTCTACAAAGACTCACCTTGTCCGTATCCTGGTTGTTGACCATAACTAGATTGCTGACCATATCCAGATTGATGTGAACCTTGAGCCTGACCGCCTTGTGAATACTGACCTTGATCATAACCATAGTTCTGTTGGACTTGCCCCTGCTGACCATAGCCCTATAGCACCAAAAAAGGAGCAACAGAGCATAAAAGATTGCATGTCATCATTATTGTAATTTAAGTAATTTAACTACAAGGTTTTACAATTTAAAGAGCACCACACTTACACCAAAGCTGTATTTCATGACTTACAGCAAAGACTATCATATATCATTTTATTCATTGTTTATTTATAAAAACCCTTTTTATCTTACTTGTTGTCCTCCATAAGCTGCTGGGGCATCAGTGCCACTTCCACCTCCATAGCCACCATACTGCTGCTGGTAGCTAATAGGAATAAACCAAATCATCTTATTCATTTGTTGTTAATAATCATCAAACTTTATTCAATTTTGACCTACATGTACCTGGACTTCATTTGATCAAATTGCTCCCCATTAATTTCTTTGTAAAATGTTAATACATATGATTTATAGATATTCAAGACAAAATGTGTTCAATAAAACATGGCCTGTTACCAATCATTATGTTAGGAAAAGGGCCAGTTAAGATTTATTTGATTCAAGCCTGCTTTAAAAATAATGTCTAAACAGGGATTTTGTTGGGCGTCGGCAATCGGACTGGGACCGATTAAAATTTTTAAAGTCCGAGATTTAGGCTGTTGCTCGGTCTGATTGTCCGAATATGATATACGCTGTATATATATACACATTGTATAACAAATTGGAAATAGTAAAAACAACTAAAAAGTAGTCTACCTTTGATTTAGCAGTAAACAGAAATATTTATTACCTCAAAATAGATTTTAAGCTTTTACTGTCAAGATCGGCGCACATGACTTGGACTTTGTGTAAACAAACATAATTGGTGACGTAACACGCATAAATGGACCCCGTGTGGTTAAAACACGCGCTTCCTGAAATATCCTGTGGATCACGTGAGTCGTTTAATGTCGGAAGAAGCATGTTTCCCATCAAGTGGAGGAAAGGGGCTGTTCCACGCAAACCGGTAAGTTACACGTCAAACAAATAATGACGCCCGGGTAATGACGACATGCACACGGTTAGTTCTGACACGAAAATAGCGAATTCCGTCCAAAAATGACCTATTTGAATATTTTCACAATTTTTTTTCACTTGTGTCCAGCATTGTGCCTTTTACGAATTCAGAATAACATTATAACAGCGGTAAACCGGCAGCTTTGCAGTTTCCCCATTTCGGTCTTACCGCTAACATTTAAAGCTCAGGCTAGTCCTTAACTCTGATATTAACGTTAGATCAGGGACAGGCTGCATTAGTTAAATTTAGGGTCTGTGGTTTAGTTTTGGGGATGCTGCTGCACATACACCTGAATTTGCAATATTTCCGCTCATATTTTTAAAAATTAAAATTAAAGTTTAGGGTAATTAAGCCAGCATAGTATAAAAAAAAAAAAAATATATATATATATATATATATATATATATATATATATATATATATATATATATATATATATATATATATGATTTTAAACCATTTGACTGATATGGATTGTCAGGCAAGAAATATGTCCTTAGTAAAAATAGTGCCATTAGTAATAGTACTTATCAAATACATCAGTTCCTGTAATTTTATTGTAATGCTCATTTAATTTAGGACAATCCAGGCGATTCCGCGCATGGCTCAAGCTGTAATCCTTCCACAAGTATCAGTCAGAGAGACCAATCACCTCTAAAGGCACCTTCTAAGGTACACAACTTGATAACTGTATATTGTATTTTTCTGTACTGTATGGATCGTTAGTCAATACTGAATAGGCATATGTATGTTTTTAGGAAATTATAATTCAAGTTTATGGTTGCACTCTTTAATTAAGTCACTTTTTTGTTTTTCTTAATTAGGTGAATCCAGCTTCTGTAACTCGCAAATTTAATGGAGACTGGAAAAAAACTTACCCTTGGGTAGAGCTGAAAGAAGGGGAAGGTGAAGGGGGGATGGTTTGCACCCTTTGCACTAAAGCAAAAAAAAAGAAACATCTATACATCTGAGAATGGATGCAAAAACTTTAGAATAAGTTCTTTAAAGGAACACTCACTAACAGTGGACCACCGCACTGCAGCTATGGCTCCAAAGTTAAGTACAGACTATGAAAGAGCAGTGAGCAAAGCATTATCAGATAAAGAACAGAGTGCTCTGGTGGCCCTAAAAGTGGTGTATTTTATGGTGATGGAAAACATCCCTCTTACCAAGTTTTCATCTTTTCTGGACTTACTAAAAGATCTGAAAACGCCATTTGTTGCTGGCCTCAAAATTAGTGACAGATTAGACTACACATCCGCCTATTCTGTTTTGGGTTTCTTGAATGCTTTGAACCAAGTTATTGACAATGATGTTAATAAGAAGTTGGAGGAGTCTCCTTATGTTACTTGCCTCACTGATGAATCCACAGACCGATGCACTAACAAGCGGCTAATACTGTATGCAAGAATCACCGACGTTACTATGAAGCCCAGTACAGTTTATATATCAAATATAACTTTAGAAGATGGGACTGGTAAGACCATTGCTGAAAGAATATACAGTGAGTTCGAAAAAAGGGGTGTGTCAAAGGAGAAAATTATAGGATTAGGCTCTGATGGGGCAGCAGTTATGACTGGCAAAAAGAATGGTGTTACTGGTTTTATGTTAAGGCACAACCCAGCCTTGGTTAATGTTCATTGTGTTGCACACCGCCTAGCCCTGTGCACAAGTCAAGCAGCAAAAGATGTGCCAGGCATGCAGCTTTACCAGGAAAATGTAACAAACATATTTTATTACTTCAAATATTCATGTGTAAGGGTGTCCCAGTTGAAGGCAATTCAAGATGTATTAGATTCTCCATCCATCAAATTTAAGGAAGTGCATGCTGTCCGATGGCTGGCATTTTATGAGGCTTTAGAAACTGTGTACAGAAGTTTGGATGCACTGCTGACATATTTACAAGAATATGGTACAACTAAGGATCCAAAAGCTCTAGGGCTGAAGAAAAAGGTATTACAAAATCCAAGAATTTTAATTTGTTTATTAGGTAAAAGTTATCTGGTATTTTCCCTTACAAACCTGGATGAGGAGAAACAAGAATTTTATTAATTTTCTTTTTAGTAAAGGCCTTGTCTGAAGTTAATTTCTATTCTGGGCTGCTTAGATTTTTATTTAGTAAAAAATGGTCTATAATTGTTTATGATAATAAGTAGCAGGGTAAGATAATCTCTAATCAGAAAATTTTATTGTGTTCCAGGTAGCCACAAAGTCCTTTGTCTCTCTCACATACCTTCTGATGGATGTGCTACCTGTTGTGGGTCATCTAAATCTTTTTCTTCAAAAAGAAGATGTGGACATTGCTTTGGTGAAGGTAAGAACAAAGCTGGGCAATAAAGGTTATGTATAATTTTTAAGTATAAATTAATGTCAAGAGTTACTAGAGATTTAAAGATGTTAAAGAAATGAAGTTAAATTTATCAATGTATAATATATTTTCAGTTGAATGTTGAAAAGTGTGTCAGTGACCTCAGAGGCCTTCTTAAAAACAAAGGTGCTCACCAGCAGGAGTTGGAACAGAAGCTGGAAAATGTTGATGGAAAGCTACTTTACAAGGGACACATTCTCTTGCAGACACCAGGAGAGACCTTGGAATCTACGAAATCAAAATTTATCATGAAATTGATAGAAAATATGGAGACAAGGTTAGCTGCTACTGGTCATGTCAAAGTGTAACTTTTCGTGAATGAATATAAATTATTTTTAATACCTTTTTAATGCAGCTGTACATAATACAGTACTTGGAAATGTTTTTAAAATGCTATATTTTTATTGTTTGTATCAGCAATAAACGGTATATGCAGCAGTTTAACAGCATCTCGTCTTTATAAGGGTTCTGTGTAATCCTGATTGTAACTTTGAATATATTGTTCAGATTTCCAGATGCTGATCTTGTAAGTGCCTTTGGCACTATGGGTATGAGGCCCATTACCTTCTTATCCCAGGAAGATTTATCTACATGGGGAGACAAGGAAATGGATATCATACTTGACCAATTTGCAGAAGACAAGAGTTTCACTTGGAAGGAAGATGGAGTTGAGCATACAGCTGTGAGTGCTGCCATTGTCAATAGAGAGGAGTCCAAAAAGGAATGGGCAGAAGTTAAAAGGGTGGTAGTGGCTCAGCGGTATCCAAGGGACAAGTTAGCACATCTCTGGATGTTGATTGCACAGTTTCATGCAGAACAATTTCCAAACTTAGTAAAATTAGCACATTTATGCTTGATCTGTCCCATTCACACAACAGGATGCGAAAGAGGCTTTTCTCGACAGAACATCATCTTAAGTCCTTAAAGAAACAAACTTCTACCCGAAAATCAAGACAAATTAATTAGAATAAGTGTTAATGGTGGCAGGAATTCTAATGCTAGTGAAGATTTCTTCATAAGGGCTTTAAAACTTTGGAGAATGGAAAAGTTGCGCACTTTGTTAAAGTGAGACTCTACACCTAAAAATTGGAATTTTTGGACCTAGCTGAGACACCTCAAAATGTTTACCAAATGTCAGGGTATGATGAAAGTATTGTAATTGAACTATTTTAAAAGCTCATCATATGCAAAAATTAGGTCTGATGACAATGTTCCATAGGTTGTGAAAAGTAAAATGGTGATAGCCAATGAAAACATCTTTTATTGTCATTTTTCATTATTATAATTATAAAATCAGTTACCTTCTTATAAAAGCATCATATAATAAAACATACATAAGTAAAAGCGAATTTAAATGAATATTTGTCCTGGATTTTTTTACATACGTCCGAGAAAAAAATATAAGTCAGGACACGCTGTCTTGGAACACAACTGACCCAACAAAAACCCTGCTAAATGTTAATTAAGTTTAACCTGTAAGAAACATCAAACGGTTCCTTTTATGTACTAATTCTGTAAAAGTAGGGCATTTACCTTCCAGACCCTTGTTGTCCACCGTAACCACCATAATCTGCAATATCAAATTTTATTTGCGTTATTTGGCATAAAACGTAAATCATGAAAATCAAATTCATCAATGTTCATGCCTTTTTAAAAGTAATGGCCGCCTTTTGCTTTGTTTGAGCGGACCGGCATTTTGTGTTTAATAGATTACCAGCTGCGAAGAAGAAGTTTCGCGCAAGAAAACAAGTAACTACTGAAGAATAAATAAATATGCATAAAACAAGGAATCTAAAATATTTTCCCGATAAATAAAAGAGTAAAATACGTACTATCTGCCGCCGCTGCCATCTTCGCTTCCTCTTCACGCTGTTCACGTGTATCAGGATTTGACTGCTATTGGCTGACGCTGTCACATGACTTGACATGTGACTTGAGCCCGCGTGGGTTCTAGTAATATGCATCATGAGCCCACACTCGTATATTTGTATTAATTTTTAGGTGTATGATCACTACAACAAAAGCAATGCGGCTCTTCGGTTGACTATTTTCATTTGTTCGAATGATTTGTGTTTTAAAAATGGCAAAACCATATGGATATATCAGTCTGTTGTGCACGTATTTAAAAATTTAAAAAGAAAGGGATAAAAAGTCCAATATTAAACAAGAAATCAAATTCGGACTCGGGACATACTGAGTAGATGGAAGGAAAATGCACTAAAATGACAACAGAAGTCAATCCCCAACAAACTTTATGCTTTGCTCAGCAGTTCATCAGCAGCCATGGATGCAGTGGCCGAAGCAATCTCTCAACTAAACAGTTCATCGCAGTCAACAGTTTTCAATGCATTGGTGCAAATACGTACTAAATATTTTAAGGTCTCCGGTCGAAATGCCACAGAAACGTTCAGAAAGTTGGATGGAGTCAAAAGTCTCATTAAAATTGTTCAGAAGCCGACCTCAAAGAAAATACTGGACATATGTTTGAGTATACTAGCCAACTGCTGTATGGATCAGCAAACCAGACTTGAGGTATGTTATATGGCAAAGTAGCTCTGAACTACATTACAAGTATAGATTTGAGGTTGAAGTGCAGAAAAGGAGCCTCATTAGTATTCTGTACATCACATTACATATGCTTTATTCATACTTTCTGCACCAGACTGAGCTGGTGAAAATGTACAGAGATATGATAGCAACAATAATAATGATGATAATAATAATAAAATACATAGATGAATAGCACCAAAATTACATACTAGTATATACAGGTACATGTACATGTAGAAATGTACCATTATTATACATATACAGTACATATCCAGTATTTCATAATCATAAGCTAGGTGCGGTCTTAATGCCGAGTCAACTGCTCACAGCACTGATCATACGCTAGCATCACACTACGAGTATTGTACACATGACTAAGATTTAGATATTAATTATGCACGAGCCTGTTTTCTGCTATGTGAAACAAACCTTCATATTTATGGTAATTATTTATACTGTACATCACAAAGTGAAAGATATAGCACAGTTTCTTTTGTCAAAAGCGAGGTTAAGGAATTTGGCCAAAGATATTGTCATTGTCTTATTTGGGTTGATCATTATGAAGGATAATTTTTCTTTGTTACATGTACTTGTTAAATTAAAAGTAATTTATATATAGGGATCCTTGGTTTGCCCCAGTTTTCGCCCTAACATGCAAGGTAAGGGTACCTAGCAGTAAGATCAAAAACTGATGCAAATTATTGGCGGGCATAATCATGCTCAGCTGTCACCCTGATCTGGAAATTAGTATAAAAACCACAAATTAGTATAAAATACAGCAACAATGTCACCAATGGACCAATTTCCACACAAAAAATTGATAAATTATTTTAAAGAATTTTTTAATATCTCTATACTAGTATATGTGTGCTGTAGTGCTTATTTACTAAATTAAACTTACCATATTAACTTATTATGAAAATATATATAAAATACAGGTAGCTATAATTGCATATATATATATATATATATATATATATATATATATATATATATATATATATATATATATGGCTTTTTTATTAAATTATTTTAATCTAATATATTACTGTATAATGGTGGATTACTATGGAATTCTAATAAAGTGTTTGAACATTTAATAGGTGTATATTTTCTCATAAAAGAGCATTTTTCAGCTTTGTTGTAGTTCTTAGCTGATTTATCCTCTATATTTGTTTTAACTCACCAAATAAAAAATGGTTCTAATGAAATTTTTATTTTGGATAGGTAAATATGTAAATTGCTTTCTTGTGTTATAATGCCTTCTTTTACAAAATAGCATGTTCACATTCTATTGAAATGAATGAAGATCTACAGGATGTTTGATGCATGGAAAATATTGTCATTTATTGATACAGAAGTTGATTAGCACAAAAATTCATGCGTTAGCACTCCTATTGATGGTTCTGATATGTACTGTCTGTGCACAGACAGTACATATCAGAACCGTCAATGGGAGTGCTAACGCATGAATTTTCATGCTAAAGTTGATGAAGGTGGAGGCCAGAGGACAAAACTGGTGAAAGAAATTACAGTAACAAAAACTTAAATATACAAACTACATATTGATGTAGTTTTAGTTGGTTGGTCATCTGAGTTTCATAGTTTGCTTTTTTTAGTTCAGAAAGGGTAATTATTTTCAAATACTATATACATCACCGAAATTCTGATTCTGAACTCTTTTATTACTATGAAGTGCATAGTCTCATGAAAAGAATAAGCTCTAAAATCTTCACATTCACTGGAATTTAGAGAGACTTTAGGCTGAACTGAGATAAAACCTATGAGGATATAGCCACCTGTTAACAAATCATTCATTGCATTCCAGTATGCACTCTTATCTAAGACCCCATTCCCAGAGATAAGATCGATCCAACTAGATCGACCTAACTCCCTGGGGGTTCACGCTAAATAGTTGTCAGCCAAGCGGGCACGGAAGTTAATTACCCCTTTACAGCTTGTAGTAGGCGGGACGGACATTTAAGCCAGATTATCTGACAGTAATCTAGTGAGACTCCCCACGGGGATAGATCGATCTAAAATCTATGGAAATGCACCCTAAGGTAAAAATGTATTACTACTTTTTAATAAAATGAATTAATTAATTATATTAATGAATTTGATAAAATGGAATATTTCTGCAAAAAGCTTTTTATTCATCTAAATAATCTTTTTTTCCAAATGGTGTTTGAAACTGTTAGTTATAACATGCCAAGTTTTGAAGCGATATGTCAGTTTGTCATTTGAGTTTCTGGGATATATTTTCAAAAAAATTGGAATAAATTGCCTTTTCACTGTGAGAGATGGGGCTAAGGAAGGGTGACAAACTGACAAACCAGCATTTGATATACTTCTTTGCAAGAGTTTGTTTTATTTTCATATACTATTACAGTGCAGTTGTCAAAGTATTTTTTTTTTTGTTATACTTGCAAGTTGTATGTTGTTATTAAGAAATAAACATTTTTAAAAAATCGATAGGCAATCTGGAAGATAAATTTAATGTTTCCTTAAGCTCATATTGTATGCAAATGTTGTGTGACTTTGAAGTTTGTTTTTTTTTAATCAGAAAATTATTTAGAAAATATATGGGGCTCCAAAGAAACATTGTTAAGGAAAATGATAAAGAGTAAAGAGAAGTACAAAACATGTAGTTTTGGCCAGTATATCTGTGCTCATTTCAGTGCCAGAAGTTCACAACATTGCTTCTTGAAGTGCCACCTTGTGTTACATAAGAGAAGCCCGTCTGCTCCCTCTCTGCATGACCTGCATATTGTGGGTCTCACACACTTCTTCCCAGTTGTCTTCATACAACTGTTTCACATTGGTCATCCACTGTTTTACACGGGGAAATGGCTTAAAGTCAAAACTGACGAGATCTAGTGTGGTCAGCAGCATGGCAACAAAGCAATCCACAAATAGACCTAAAGGTGATAAATAAAAGATCTGTATACAATAGTTGTGTTAATATTATTGTTGCACAGTTTATGTTTCTGTCATGTTTTTTTTATTAATGAGCAAGCATCAAATCAACATTGCTTGCTGATTTGAGTTAAGGTATTGTTGAATAATGATGGTCCATTTATGTCAAAAATTGTGAAATTTTGATATTTTACTAGAGACCAAAATGGCAGAAGACTTATTATAATTAAGTAACTTCCTGAGTTACAAAAGCTGGCATTTTTTAAAAGTCTTTTAAAATCCACACTGTTCTTATTAGTTTAAGTTATAACAATTCCTTATAACTTACAGTCATTTCCAAAAAGAAACTTTGATTTCCCCAAGTAGTGAGTGTCAAGAGTTTGGAGATGTTGTCTGATGTCAGTTTTTGCTGTCTGTGTGAGTGCCATGGCTGCCTCAGGGTCTGATAACTCTGAATTCTTCATCATTACATACACATAGTTGGTGATTACACACCTGGAAAATATGGTCATATAACATACATTTATAAAGATGATAGAAATATTGTTTTACTTATTGAAACCCATACTCTTCAGTTACTAAGATAGAAACCAGTGAAGTTCAGGGGCGGATTTAGGCCGTCTTCTGGGTCTTCTGGAAGACGGTCAGATTCAAGTTTACATTGTCAGCCATCTAATGTTTTCTGTCGGAAGACGGTCGAAAATGGAAGATGGATCAACAAAGATAATTTGGAAGACTGTCAGAAAATATCTCTGGATCCGCCCCTGAAGTTGTAATGTGATAAATGAAGTTCTCACCTTTGTAGGGTGTTATGAGCCCAATGCATTGTAGACATAGCTCGTATTTGTTCACTGAGAGTAGAACCCATTCCTTGTTTGTCTGTGTATTCTTCTGCTAGATACTGTATGATAGCTGGGCTGAAAATATTCATTTTTGACAAATGTATAAGCGTACCAAGATTTCAACAAATTTTCAAAGTTCAATTTTAAGATCATCCTATTAAGATGCATGATTTTCATATTGCATTGAAACAAATTCAGGAATGTAACATATAGAACATAAATGAATGAGAAATGCACTTTTTATGTACAGACACAGATGTCTCTGTACATATTGCCATCACCTGCGTCTGTCGTCGCCGTCGCCGTCGCCGTGCACTTTCAGCGTTAACACCATAAGTGGAAGACAGTTTTACTTTTTGGCTTTATATTTACAGCGCTGACTAATATTCATAAAACGCAGGTCAAGTTCGAAAATCAGCATGATCGGGCCATTATTGTAGAATTTATGCTGTTTTTTCACTTTTTAGCATATATGCAACACTGTTAACACATTTCAAGGAAAACCGATAGGCCTGTTGTCATGAAACTCACAGGAAAAATCGATCTTACTAAAACGCAGGTCAAGTTCGAAAATCAGCATGATCGGGCCACTATTTTAGTAGTTATGCTGTTTTTTCACTTTTCAGCATATATGCAACACTGTTAACACATTTCAAGGAAAACCGATAGGCCTGTTGTCATGAAACTCACAGGAGTGGTCAATTTTACTAAAATGCAGGTTGAGTTTGTAAATCAGCATAATCGTGCCATTATTTTAGAAGGTATGCTGTTTTTTCACATTTCCTCAGATTCAATTTTTAGGCATGTTAACAGTCTCATTATTAAACTAATAAGATACGTGAAAGTGTTTGTTTGACATTTCCTGCATCTTTACAACATTGTTAGTTGATTTTGTAAAAATGATGGTAAACATGTTATCGTGTTTTGTGTAATAAAGTTTCAAAAATGGAAATAAACTCATATCATTGCAATTTGTCAGATTCAATCATTCACTATGTTCAGAATCTCAGAATGGAAGAAATTGGACATTTAACACTGCTCTATTGATACTTTTCTCATCTCATCAATTTTCTTACTTGATCATATAAAAATGGCAGTAAACTGTTAATTTT